CCCGTCCAAATACTGGTCTGTGAGGAGTTTTTCACCATTTGCACTTGAGACTGCGGAGGCGAGGAGGTACTGTTTTGGACGGTAGACAACCGTACGAGATATGAAACAGATGATTGGGACATAACAGCGAGGGAGAAACGAGTGTGACTATGGGACGTTATTTTGCTTTTAAAGACAAAACGCTTCATAGAGAAGGCACTCACAGGTTTGTTCTCCGTGGAAAAAGGGGAAAATATTGTGATGGTGCCTTTTTTCAACTAAGAAGATGTTTGTAGATGCTTTTCAAAGTTATTTAATTCCAGTTATAAGAACTGCGTGAACTTGTCTGACTGCCTTAAAGATGCTGACAGTGCGATGGACACGATTACATATGATGGAGGAATTGGTTTCAAAGGCGTTAGCGACAAAGTTTACTCGATGTTCCAAAATTTGAAAAAATGTAACCAGTTGGCGACTTTGGTGTTTCATGCGAGCCTTAATTCAAAAGTACGAGGCTTGGGTAGTGGCAACTATCCTTCTCAATCCGAAACCACAGGGGCTAGATCTGTAAAACAATTAATTAACATCAACATCAAATGGATTAGAAATGACCATTTACATGGTAGTCAAAACTGACAAATTAAGATGTAAAAAGTCGCTTTCACGAAAAAAACTATTGTAGTGATTTGTGTGGAAAAAGGAGAAGTTAAGTCACTGGGGATATACGAGGTATAGCGGTACGACCGCAATCAATTTCTACTAGCAACGGTTTTGCATTGCCACATGAGAATAGACAAATTCGATCTAGAGTACTTTTTTTTTAAAAAAAAGCAATCCCTCATGAATATGTAGAGTCACATGTGGTCGGTAATTAAAAATTCATACAAACTAATGCATTTGTTACACGACAACCCTTGCGCCGTAAAACATTGGCGCCATTCGTCTTTCGCTCACTGCAAAACGCAAAAGTAGGGAAGCCGCGAGTCACACTGAAATTAAAGTAGTTGGGTGGATTAGTAAACAGTGAGAATGTTTCATAATTGGGCTTATGCGACACTTCTTACGCCATGGTTAAGGTAACTCAAAGGGGTGGAAGTGTGGATTGCGAGCTCTACAAAGTCGTGTGGCATCACGTCATCTTAATACCGCGGGCAAATCACTTCGAACAACTGTACATTTTTTGCATTTTTTTGTGGAGGGTCAAGTTGAAATTGCTGACCCACAGTTAAAGGTAATATTATGCCATTTGTGATTGTCAACTTATCTTTTGTCAGGCTTGAGTTGCCAAGTTTTACTCCCCCAACTCCTTAATCACTGCCTTCGAATAAACGACTTACCACCGCAGTTGAAGATCTTCCGAACGGCCGTTGTGGTGAGCGTCCGCTTACGCAGCCTGTCCGCCAGCTGACCGCTGATGGGGACGATGATGGCCATTATCAGGTGGGGCACGGAAGAGAGGACACCTGACTGCAACGACACAAAAAACGCCAAATTAGTAGTTGGAGGTACAGATAACGCTTCTTGCATGCTCAGTCCAAGATAGTCTTAAAAAACCTTATAAAGTTTAATGATTCCATGCTTTCATGCATTTAAACTCAGCGCTGTGAAATTTGGTTATCACCATTTGGAGCCCGCATAGTTTTTAGGTGAGACAATAGCACTGGCAAGTTAATTTAATTGCTTCTTTTGTGTATCTTCGAAAGGGAATTTCATTACAACTCATGATGTATATTGATTGAACTCAAACTCTAAACTCTAAAAATCTTCTCAAATTCGCACTATTTGCTAAAACAATCGCTTTCCACTAGGTGGAGGCTAATTTCTAAATGCAAGGAGGTGGAACCTTGGTAGTTGTAGATTTGGGGTGAATTCACTTACTTCAGCAGTAGAGCATTCGAACACTTGTTTCAGATATTTTGGACATTTCATGATTAGTAGAAAGAAAGACCAGCTCCGAGCAATGTTGGCGACAATTATGGCGTAGACCGGCATGGAGGTGAAGATTGACTTCCATGGAATGGATTTCTAAAGTTCAATAGCGCTTCTAATCAGAACCATTAGTAGTATCCAGAAACTGATCGGTCGTCGCAGCATAACAGAGGTAAGATAAGACATTACTACGTCATATTTCACAGGCACTACCCATCACATGAAGTCAAATACCGTTAAAATTTACTTCTTAGCTTCATGAATGTCACATTGTAATACAAATATGGTACGTCAGATTCACTATATCTATTACAAACCCCTACTACTCACTAGACTTGGTGGGAGGTCAACCTCACCGATGGACTCCTCAATGTAGTCGCGCTCTTCTGCTGAGATTTTTGGATGTGTGGATGGCTTCTCGTAGGAGGTTTTCCAAAACACTGCAAACCACACCATTCCCAGAATGGCTGCAATGTAATATCACAATATTACCTTCCAGAACACCTGCAAATACTTTGGTGGTAAATGGCTTAAATCGTGAATTTATAACTCGCTTTAGTCAAACTACTTCATTCACATCGTCCTGTTTAAAAGATTTGTTTTGGCACATTCGATCTCTAGGGAGTGCCTAATGGAATCGAAAATCCTAAAACAAAACTCGAACATAAAAACTATGCTAAAATTGGAATCCTTCTGATAAGGAGACCAGTGGGAATCCTCACCGTAAAGGTAGAAGGGAGACTGCCAGCCCAAGTATTGCGCAAAGATACCTGATACAAATAGACCCATCACGGCACCGGCGTAGGATCCTGAAAAATTACAAAAAAGAATGCCTCAGTTTTTTCGGTTTGACTTCGCCCCGAGTTACTACAGTGCTTGGAAATCTCAATGTCAATTCAATCACTTCTGCGTGCGTCTCGAAAATCCAGTTAACAGACCATTCATTCCAAACAATTTGAAATGTCACCTACTTTCTGAACTGTAGGTAGATGCTCGAGTTAGTGGTGAATGCTTGCAGCTAGTGCTAGGTCCTAATAGAACATTCCATTAAGAGTTAAAAATGGATTTCACAATGTTTCCAATCCATTCAAGCGTCCAGCAAAAGTGTCTATGACATTAAAGGCCTATTCAGCGTCACTACTTTGTTATTGAAGCAGATGGAATGGATTATCGCAAAGGAATAATAAGCTTTTAAGCATTACAATACATAGATAATTAGAAAATCACTTTTACAAGTTGGTTTAGCACTGTCTTTATTGTGCTGGCTCCTTGGTATATGCGTGCAGCGGTTAAAATGTCTGTCTGTCTGTCTGTCTCAAAATAACTATGTAACGTGAGAAATCCCCACTATTAGTATGTTCATGATTAATTTATTCACTTTATGAGAGGAAATATGAAATCAAGTTATCATTCAATCTGTCACTTGCAATCAACCACCACTCCTGCACGTATGATTTCCTTTTGATTAAAATGCGCTTGACAACACTTGAGTGGAAACGGATGGTGCTTTTAAGTGGACCACTTAATAAAATGTTGGGCGATAGTTCTATGCCCAATGAGAGTAAAAGAAGGTGAGAGGGCAGCAGAGGACACACCGCAGAAGGCGATGGTGGCCAGTCGGGAGCGCTCAATAGGCGGCGCCCAGTAGCGCCAGATGCCGTGGCACGCAGGATACGAGACGCCCTGAAGCCAATGGAGAATAGCAGGCTGTTAGGCAAGCATTGAGTTTGAAAATTAATCGGAAGAGCGCTTTTTTGAAGGTGGCAAATCTCCCACTCTAGACCAGCGCTTAACTAAGTTGCCTAATAGGCTGTCACGAGCTTTTCTACCGAACTACTTAAGTAAGATAGATGCAGATTCCGCTCTTCTCATCACCGTGAGACTTATGAATGTACAACTCTCTGACTTATTAACTTTTCATGAATCTGTCAAGCAGATCTGCTAGGGTTCATTGTTTGAGTAAATCTGTCAAACCCTCCCCAAAGTAATTATGTCAATGTGAAGTAGAATAAGGATGGAATTCCATGTAAATAGTTACATAATTAAGAATGAAGTTACTGTGGAATTAGTCGTTTCGACAACAGTGAGAATAACGGCCTGTCCTAAACGCTTTCCCAATTCCCACTAAACGTCAATTAGAACTTGTGTGTACAAAACCAGTTCGTCCTTAATCAGACAGGATTCGATGTTATTTCATTACGTTTCTGCACCAAAGGACTACAGAGAATATTTACCTCACCTTCAAGATGGGCTTTAACGTCGTTGTCAAGATCACATTGTGGAACCATTTGACGATGCTGGGCCACATTTCGAAGGAATGAATAGCCGCTGAATTATTGGATGGATAGTCAAAGAGATGGAGTCAGAACGGAGAAAACTCACCTCAACAAGTCCCTGAAGCACACGAATGAATGCGACAACGCCATAGGAGCCGCGACAGGCTATCGGCACAATGAGATTGCAGAGCGCGCTGCCGCCCACCGCAATGCCAAAGAGGCGGTTGGCAGGAAAAATGGTGGCGATCGCTCCCCCAGGGATCTGAGTTATCATATAGCCATAGAAAAAGGCCGACTCCACGAAGCCTCGCTCGCCCGGCGTCCAGTAGAAATTCGGCCTCTATGCAATCAAACCAACACCACTTTAGGACAGCCCACCTTCCCTCCACTCGCATTCGCACTAGCATTGCGGCGAGCTCAGTGCATCCGGGTATGGTTTGAAAATAAGCTAGCTAAGTAAATCATTCATGCGCATTTTAGGTGGACGGAGGACGTTGGTGATGCATACAGAGGATATTTAATTAATAATTAAAATTCCGATTCACGAAATTCCATTGGTAGGTAGATGAGTATTTTCGGGCGCCAGACAGGTTCACCATTCTAGTTTATGTGAAATTTTAGAGTAAACAAACGGTGCTACAGATCTAAAGATGGAATTTTACTTTTTGAAATCTAAATGGCTATTCTGTTAGTCTATTCTTTTGAAATGAAAGCTTCATTACTGAACCTGATGCCAATTTTTCTGAATTGGTTAGTTGAGTATTAAATGTCGTATCTTTGCGCGACAACATCGAGGATGGGTTGGTGAGAAAAAACATCCCCTGTATTTATTAACATCGTCTCCGATGGTTGTGTGTGTCTGTCATGTTCTAAAAAGCAGACCGTCCTTAATTTTTTCCCCACAGAAATATGCCTAGGGCATTCAGTCAAGGTTTCTGTTAAAATGGACCCATTTGAAAAGCATACCATCTGTTTTAAGGTGAGCACAAACTTATAACAGTTTGAGCTTTTCACATGCTAAGGTAGTATTTGATCAGTTGCTAAGATGCAGAGTGGGCAGAAACTCAGTCGTTAATAACGCTAAATACCCGTACATTTCCATTTTAAAGGAAATCAGGAAAAGTTTCCGGACCCACAGCTATTGTTCATCCGAGATCCAGCACCCTTTCAATGACGAAATCGCAATTAACCACCTCTGAAACTAATCTTGACAAGCCACTCGTCTATTTGCTAAACGTCCACTGTGGTGGATGAGTTGGATGGCGCCGTTGGTGTGGGGTGTACTTTGAAGGAAAATTTGTAGCTCGTGGCCTCTTAACAAACAAATGGACAGTCGCTCGCCTTTTTAAGTACCACCGCTTCGTTGTTCTCTGCTCTGTGAATTGTGAATTGGTTTGTGGTGCCAATTCAACTATATTTTACACCAGCAGAAAAACCGGTAGAAATTAGGACGGCTATCTCTTGTTTACTTGGCCAGAATTTAATTTAAGGTAGAGATCTGTCAATAAATCACCAAAGGTTTTTATAAATTGAAAATTGCCTTTGAGTAATAGTGCAACGTTAGAGACAATTCATGATTAAGACAAATGTGTTGAGGTATATTGGCGAGTTGATTCTTTTAAATAAAACTATACATTCATAGCAAAGAGAGCTACTAGTTCTGGCGGGGCGAGAACGATACACTTGCCCCAACCGGTGAGATTAATGTCAATTCATGTTTTGGTGGGGAGAGGAATAATGCATCTGCGTTGTCACTGAAGGAAGTAGTGAATTTGCCATGGACATCTAATGGTATAACTTTAGGCGCTTTTTATTTTGCGGCTTATGTTTACAAAAACATGAAGAGAGTGAGACTGGGCTAATGGAGATGCGGACAGAATATGGCGTAGGCTCTCCACCCAATGCGAAATTATTTATAGACGTAAAGGCATGATTCGCCTTTGATCATTTACATCAGCTGGAAAAAAGATATATTGAAGTCAAAATGTTGGTAAAACATCTGCGGTGATTAATTACCTACAAGAATTTGTCAAAATTTGTCAGATCCATTGGATGGTGATAATTGAAAAGCTGCCAAGCAAAAAACCTGATATTAGGTCACCGTACCGGTACACGATTACAACGGGCCTCCCGAATGTCAGAACTAACTTGCATAGTCGTGTGACGGTTGTATGCATTTCCGCAAAAGACGTATTACGATTAATCTAGAGGATCCGCTGTTGCGGATCGTGTTAAAAAATCACGCATGGGCGACGTCAAGGCGCACCTTCCCCTGAAACGATCTCGAGTCCAGTCAACGACCCACTCGCATACATGCGAATTCTAATGCCCATTTAATCCTCAAATTGACACTAAACGAAAGGCAAAAAATTTTGTTACTATTTTTGTTTGCATCAAACAAATGTCATTTCAGCAGACAACTGATTTTGTCGTTTTTTGGTAATCAAATGGTCAATTATGCATCGTTCTTTGAGTCAAATAGGAAGGACACAAAACGCCGCTTTCCGTAGTTATCCCCGGAGCTGTGTTTGCCAATTTAGTCATCGGTTTAACTATTTAGTCCATGTTGAATTCAGCCACAGCTCAGTGGAAGTTTGGCGCCCACTTTACTTTATCCTTCTCCCGTTACCCCTTAAGTTGCGGTAATGCGCGGGTCTTTTGGTGCACGGTGCTGCCATCAAGCTGAGCAGCAAAGCAGTGTGCCATCTTTTTACGGAATTTCTTGCAAAGCGAGCTATTGCAGTAACGGCATATCTTGACTGAAACTACCCAAACCCACAATTGGTATAATGGCATCATCATTATGGTAGAACTTCACTTCATACATTCATTGGGTTCTAAGTTTGTTGGTATGTAGAAAATTAAGGTGGTAAAAAGGATTGGTGAAACTGATTGGTGATAAATTTTAACAATGCTCTTGATTTGTTAGCAATTAAGTCGACGATGTCAGATGTACCTTAATCGACTTTGGCTTGACTTCTCAAAGGTAATTCTGACTTCAGAGCCACGAGATCGCATGGGCACCCAGCGATGGCCTAGTTGTACGCGATAAAAACTGCTTTTGGTTAAGCATTTCATCCCATTATCAGTTTGCTCTCTGATCACTTATTTTAGTAAGGCATGGTTTCACGAGAACGGTTTGTTTTTGTGAGTAAAATCGCCTCAAAAAGATGTAGCACCAAACTAAAATTCATAGTTGCTCAAATGGAGTGAAAATGCACGCGCCTCCTAAATCCTAAGCGGAATGCCTTCACCCTGCGGGTTAGGGCACTTTTAAGAATCTCGGGCTAGATTTAGCTCCTTGGAAGGATATCCGAAGGAGTTTCAGCACCTCAGCCAAAATATCACCCAGACACGGCTGCCATGTGGTCGAACTGATTGCTGTTTCAGCCAACCCCAAGGTGGGTGGACGGTCCACATCACCAAACTTTGTAGGTGTGATTGTGTGAGCTAATCTGTAACCTCAAAGTTGTTCGCGTAAGAAAGGGAGCGAATGGGTGTTTGTGGAGGTGAGGCGGTGTACGTGAGAAGACGTTTGGGATGAAATTGCTTTTTTGAAGAAAACACCCCCATATGCTAACAATATTAAATAATATTCCAGTTTCGGTCGAGGCACGAAGCCCGGACCAGTAGGCGCAGTTGACTTCTTACCTATCGAAGTGTAGGATAAAAGGCAGAATTTTTATGCTAAGATGTCTGAATTTCATTAATGAATTTCACAATTTATTATTGAGTGAACTGGTGGGATTCTATTCTCGATTTTCCAATCACATTTAATCATTTATCAGTAGTAAATGATACTTTTCTGCGTAGAAATATGTTTGTGAACAGTAATGTCTTTCCGTCATTCTGACATGGTGGTTAGAATGCCATGAGGTAGTAGCAGATTTCATCACATTTCTGAGTTGCCTGCCATGGTGTAGGTCCACCAGCCGAGCATTTTAAGCAACCCACTTTGAGCGACTAACTAATCACTCAAAGCGTTGAGGCTCCCTGTTAAAGTGTATAATTAGTATACTTTGGAAAATTTACGTGCCTTAAAGTGGCGTGGAGAGCCGCATTCATCCCCTCACCAGATTAATAGAGCGGTTGCTGTTTTTTTTTTCAAAACAACTCCCTAATTAATTTGCGCAGTTACCCCACCCAATTTAGCATTGAGGTTAGAACACGAGGTTACAAAAAAATGGACTGGACAGAATATCAAACGACCTGTCTTACTCCTGCCTCTGGGAATAAGGAAATTAGAAACATAAAGATGTATCGGTAAAGGGCTTGTACTACAAAGTAATTATTCTCCATGTAAATGTACAATTTGGTCTTTTGACATTAATGTTTAATTGTTACCATGGCAACAAGTTAGAAAAAAATTTCAACAGTAGTATTTTTTTGCTCCAACAGTACTTAGTTTCAAACACGCATAATAGGAGTGGCTAATAAGAAACAGTGAGCCCAGTTGGGATATTTCAAGACATGGCCACCAGAAATGGGATTCAACACTTTCGTCGGCGCTACTAAATAAGGATAAAACCTCGCTTATCAACACAATAAATTGTCTCCAAATTAGCTCATTCTAGCAGGTCATCGCCTAAGTGTAAAAGCATGCAACTGGATCAGGAAAAATCGGGGACTTTGCCTCAATTAGTAAAGTGTAAAGTAGGGTGAGAGCACTTGGAATAGTCGCACAAGCTTGTAATTACACACTCAAATCGCTGTTTGTTGAGTGTATGTACTCCTAGTTAAGCCTATTATTAAATTGGACTTGCGCATCCTTTGATTTGCTAGAAACCTAAGATAGACGACGCCTTAAATTACTGCTCTTGACCTCTTTGGAATAGTCACTCCATGCTTGTCTTAACCAATGAGATTATTTTTAAAAAACAAGACTAGACTTTTCGTTTTCTTCAGTAAGAGCAAATAACGTCTTTCCGGCTTAGCCCGGATTGACCTCAGACGGCAGTATAGTGAGGATACGAGGACTAATCGCCGAATGGACTGAAAGTGAGCGCTGACTAATTCTGTTGGAGACTAAATGTAACCATTTAAGCGTAGGCGACTGTTCAGACTCTATAATTAATTAATTCACGTCTAAAGGTAAAACGCTGAGTAAAAATAAAGCAAATTGCTTAATCCTACTCATCGAAGCCTACAAAGCGGCTGATCCACTTTGGCGTGACGTGATTAAGCTGCCTACCCCGACGATGTCTGCAGCAATGCGATCAAGTTGGCAGCGCGTAGCGTAATTTCAAAACGGTTTTCGTACATCTGGCCTCCTCAAGTGTGACGACATTGGCGTTTGTGGTCTTGATTAGAATGCCTTTATAAACAGTTTGGTGAAGAGTTCGTGCCATGCTGCAAACCATTCAATAAATGGGACCAATAAATTGGAGCATTTTTGCCGCGGTCACACCAGTACCGCGACAAACCACTTCATCATGATGTATTGGCCCGTTTTACCTCGCATTCACTTCTCATGGAGCTCTGAAGCACGGAGACTAATAATAGCATGTGTCCGCCTACTTTTTCAAGGCTTCGAAGAATCGTGCTTCAGTGCCTCCATTGGACCTCTAAGTCCAACCCATTTGAGACTTGTTTGACCAGCAGTTTCTGAGGGATGAGAAGAAAATAAATATGGCGTTCTGATGGAAGTAGTCAAGTTAATAAGGCTACGGTGACCTTTTGGCAGCAACCATTTGAGGCAAATAGGTCTATTTAGCCAAGCCTAACTACTTGTGTTTTCTAGCCATCTCATCATTTTAGGAAAATTTAAAAAGGAGCCTCAGTAGCACATGAGATTTTTAATTTTGTGCAGAAAATATTCCCGGAAATCGCAGCTCTCGAGAATTGAGTGTGCTGCTATTGTGGGTGTGAAGCAGTGATGCGTAGCACCACCACTCTCGTCCATTTCACTGAATGTGGCAACTAAAGGAGAGACCATGCCTGCACTTTATTTTACTCATTCTCCTCTAACTTGATACTTGGACACATGCTCATGTTTCATATCAAATGGTCATATTTCTTATGATTGGTCTTCGAACTGTACTGAGCGTATTTCCATCAAAACAGGCCTTTGGGGAAAACGCTTGCAGACAAATTCGAACAATTATATCCCCATCAATGACGTAAATGCCGACACTATATGATGATGCATCAAAATAAATATGAGATAATTAAGGAGAGTATTGAGATTTTAAGTTTTAGCATCGCTATCCTTCGATCCCGCCGAAAAGAATGCAAAGTCGCCCCAACGGTATGTGATCCCAATTGGGGTTAAGGTCATCAAACCCAGCTTAGAATTATTAGAGGACGGCACAAATTTCTGACAGATCGGCTCTCAATTTCAAAATCTGTGATTTCACATAACGTTCCACATCCTCCATCTAATAATTATGCTTTGAATGAATGCATAGTGAAAAGCGGCTTCATTCTATGGGCCTATGGAAGGATGCCGAGACACTCCTTAGTCTGTTGGGGCTGTAACTATGGCGCAGTTGGCACTTCTTCATCATTGGCCTAACCAAAAAGCATTCATACTTAATTGGAGGCTTTGGGACAAGTAGTGGCAAAATCAACCTACTGTGGGTCCTCTGAAAAACAATTATTCTAAGTTAGCCAATGTGCGTAACTTATTATAACCATGTGAAATTACTATAAACTGCTGTATTTTGATTGGAATTTTCCGGCATTTTTTGTTGGGTGATGTGATAACGGATCTGTTTCTCATCTTTCAGTATGGATTATTTCCATTAAACAAGTAAAATTTTGTACCATTCTCCGAGAACTCTTCTAAACGTTCACACCGTCGGTTTCCAAAATACGCAATATGCGGTAATGTCACTGCCTTGATGAGAATGTTGGAGTTTTGTTCCACTGTAGAGCTCACAAATGTGAGGCTGCGACAACAGCGGCAACGCCTAACCCATTCGTGATTGGGAATTTAAACAGGTGTGGCACGTCCTCCTTGCGACATCCGTTACTTCCTACTCTTAGCCAACCATGTTTATGATAATTTTTGGCACTTATTGACTCCATGACTAAAAAATATATACATCCACTTATCAGAGCCCAAGGCAATGGGAATTCGCTTAAAAGCAAGCGATGATATACTGATTCTGTCCAACTTCTGATTTTCCTTTCCATTTGGTAAAATTTCCGTTAATAATATCCTTTTGTATTCATAAAGATCACAAGCAAAATCTGCTTTTGTTCCATTGCTTTCGACGAAAAGTCTAACTGTCTCTCGATGTCTTAGCCATAAAAAATAACCTAATTCTTGCCGCACTAATTGAGCACATTAAAGTTTTTCCGGCAAGCGCCATTTCGACTACTTGAAGCAAAGTTGTCTGTGTGTATTGGCTTAACATTAAAAGTAAAATGTGTCTAAAAACCAATTGAAAATGTCTTTGAGGGAGCAGTATTTGAGCGAGAAGAGCTGTAGTGCATTTGGCATTAATGTCAGGAGATCCGATTTAGCGAGTAAACCCTATTCAGAAATAGAAAATGTCCTTCCACTACATGAATAATCATGTAGTAATTTTTAATAGATTACGTAACAGCCTCCGGGCATTTTCAATATGCAGATTTGAAGTAAAGAGATTATATTTGCCCCTGTTTGTGCATGCCTACTTGAACCTCTTGAGCTATTTCATACTCGCCCAACATTAAGGGGGTAGGTTGGGAATGGATAAAAGTTGCCCTCATGACACGTCCACCGAACACGCCCCAAGTTCAGGTAAGGCAGGGTAAGAGCTTATGCTAATGGGAAGTGGGCGGTATGACTGGACTGATTCATGTCTTCCACTGTCAACACAAACACCACTAGCCATACATACTGGAGATTGTGTAGGTCCAGATTTGGCAGAAGGAACTCGGGAAGATTCAATCCAATTAACAAAACAGGAGGGATTGCCAACTCAACACGTGGAATGAATGGGTCGCCATTGGCTTTGGAGAAAGAGCAAGTACAATAAATCGTAAACCGAGTACAAAAAGGGGAGCTTTGCGTCTCCCTGAATACAATACTGATTGAACTGAATGCAGGGGGACACTTGGCTTGAAAGTGATGAATTAGGGTGAAAATCAGGACGCAATAGGGGTATCCTAGCTGCGTCTGAAATTCCATTTAACTGAGACGCCTGTACTTAGGCATTTTAGAACGAACTCCCCAATCCACACTCTAATTACCCAGGTAATTGGTGAGAATATGCTTTTCATTTTTCTAGCCATTTATTATCTCCAAATTTTCCCTTAGTTGTTTCAAGTTCATCCTTCTACTCACGAAAATGATTTATAAATTAACTCTTAGGTTAATTGTGAAGAGATTATTATGGCCGGTGATTTTCTACCATAATGGAGACGCAAATTTTTCCTCTTGCCTCCTCATTTTCCTTGTGCACAGGAGGGAGAGGGCTTTAAGAGTGACTCGGGCGCTCCGCCCGTACACCCCAGTCCCGGTCCCTTGAGGTGGCGGAAACAATGGCATTTGGCGCGTGCCTCTGATGGAATAAATGTACGAGTTGACTCATTCGCCGTCCCCCTGGTGCAACGACTTTGAATGAGCAGGAAAGTCATTTCCGTACTCCCTTCACTTCCCCATCAGCCAACGCAAAGGTAACATGCTTGTCTTTTTAATCGCATTGGACAAAATCCCAATGAAAAGTAGGCATAAAAAATCAGAATGAATACTTGAATTTCTAAATTTTAATATTGGAGGTTGGAGTAGCCTTTTAAGTTTTCGACTTCCTATATTTTTACAACAATCTTAGGAAAACTGCTATCCATAAAGCCACACAAATTTGAGAGACAATATTAGCAACTTTAGTGGCACCCGTTAAGCATTGAGAACGAAATACGGCGTGTTGAATATATTTGGTAGGTTTAGTGATCTTCTAGCTCCTGGATTCACAGGCCGGACTGATAAGAAAAATAGCATAGGTGTTCCACACAAGTGTCTAACCTTTGAGGGATTGAGGTAATTTTGACCACTTGATATACCATTGATATAAAACACTTCAAGGTAAAACAAATCTCCCATCTTTAAGAAATCATAAACATCACGGGGCTATTGCCCCAAGAATAGCCTAAAGTTTTTAATATCCTAGAAATGAACTGTTGAACAGCAAAAATGTTTGATAGAGGGAGCGGGGGGAGAGAGTAAGGACTCACCGTGGTGATAGTGATATTTTCAGCGATCTTGGAGATCGCAGCAGACTCCAGGTGGGTGTGGTGCTCCATAGCAAGTGTGACCCAGCTCATGTTGCAGCGGATGCCAAAGGTGATCAGGAAGCCAAGGGAACACATCCACGCAGTGTAGTAGCGCTTTGTGCAACGACACATGAGGATGTGCACAATGCGCGTCAGTATGTTCACCTTCATGCCCACGTCGGGTGCGTCGGCGTGAGGCGGCTCTTTATAGATGGGGAAACCATCCGGACTGATGTGTGGCGGCGGCATGGCGTCCAGCGTTGTCTGTCGGCGATGCAGCCTTCGCTGAGTTACCTGCCTCATCTCCTCCACTCCTCCTGCCCCCAGCGACTGCTGTGCGTGTTCGGCAGATGCTTTCAACTCCATCCTCTCTTCAAAGCGCACTTATTTTCCTACAGCAACAAGGCACTAATCAAATAGTTCAACTGAGGACTCCTTGTCAAAAAATTGAAGCCTCCTTCCAACATCATTCCATAATTCATGAAACGGGATGCAGTGAAGTGGTATTTCCATGAAGTGACATTTTGAAAAGCATAATAACCGGCTCAAAAGTGCAGCACGATGCCCTAAGGGCTTAGCATTCCAGATGTGCTTGTGTTGACGGAGCAGAGCACTTCAAGTGCGTCATGCGTGCCAAGTTGTCAGTGAGGACATTTTTGTGGTTGAAACTACAGCAATCCCTATTATTGAAAAGACCTTAAATTCCCTTATGCAGAGTGGGTTAATTTAATTCATTTCGTGTCATGACCCTCCAGAAAAATCTACTTGCCATGATTTATTAGCAATAAGGGGCGTACCCGGATTAATGGCTGCCAAAAAAAAGGATCGCTTCAAATTGAGACCCCGCCCAAATTAATTTTGCGCAGAAGCGTGAGTTACCTTTTTTTTGGCTGGATTTTATGGGCGGGAGTCTTTATTTTCAAAAACATTTGCATTGTTCACGAATATCAACCACAATGGAGCCATGGGAGCCAATCTCCAAAACCAGAAGACTAATTTTGAAAATGGTCACGCTCACTTTCAAATAGAAGTCGACTATGATATGACAAGTATTTTTGAAGATATACAAGGGAAAAGTCAATGCATCAAATGTACTTTATTCGCATCATTCACTTTGAAACTCCCTTCAATGAAAACTACATATCAGTACCTGTTTGAAAGGACATTTTTTCTGCGCGATTAGGTTCCGGGGTATGTTGATGCAGGCTTGCCGAGAACGACGAATGTTGGCCCATGCAATGCCACCCTAAATGAATCCAAACCATGGAAACTAGGTATCGTGCTATCTCTCGCCTATGTACCACTGGGTCCTGGATGGTAAACAAGTATTTCACTTACTTTTACTGAAGGCCATCTAAAAAAGAACTAGCGAAGGACTGAATTCGTGGCTAGGAAACTGGAAGTGTTCAATCGAACTTCCTCCTAAGAATTTTCTTTCAGAATTAATCAACTACACATTATCAAAGGGAAGAGGAGTTTTGCGGTTACTACATTGTTGCTCGTGTTTTATGCTACCCAACTGTCCTCTCAAGCCTCTCTGACCACTGCTGTCCGTGCTACTTGTCTGCCAGCCATTCCATACGTCTGCAGTAGCGCCACTTTTACGCACTTACACTTTATAATGCCTTCAACTCCTACAGATAACTCTGGCGGTTCGGGATAGCGGTTTGGCATAAGCCACTATCCCAAGGCAACCCTCAACAAGGAGACCGTAAATAAGGTCGCGTGAGCCGATTTCGGGACTGACACACTATTACGTCCCACATTCACTATGCCACTCCCTCACAGTCCCCTCGTTGCCTCTCTTACCACCCAGCAGCAACTATTACTGTCGCAGTCACATTCACTCTGACTAACGCCAGCCCTGAAGCAACCTTTGAAGCAGTAGCTGCCATAAAACAGCGGGTTTATAATAAAATACTTCCTTCTTAACCTCACTTTAAAATGGCGGGAATCACTAAGTGCCCATCTTTCACTTCACCTTTTGTAAGTTCTCGTGTGATCACTTTATTAGTAATTGAGCTTGAATCAGACAAATGACTATTTTGCAGTTTCACTGCACTATTTATTATTTCCCTGTCATCAATGCAATTAGTTGAGTGGAATTTTCTGTGCTGCTGAATGGTAAATAGCCTCCTGCCGTCCTTACTGCTATACACGAATACAGTGTGAGTTGAATAAACCATTTCCCTATAATTTGTTGCACCGTTGATGTTGTTAGACCCTGTAACCTGTTAGAAAGGGCAATCGAATTGTTATGGCAACTGAAATCACGGGCGTGTAACCGGCGATTAAAAAGGAAAATGAATATTGCCTGTGACGTCAAAGCCTCTCCTACTACTCCATCATATATTTTACATTCACACGTGAGTCACTAGGCTTTTTATTCATGCGGTTGAGGATGGATACACAGTGGAAATGGCCGACCGCCTGCCTGTTTACCTGCCGTGACGAGCCGGAGACGAGAGAGGCAGTGGCAGAGTGAGGTTCTGGCATCAGCAGTAGTAGTGGTAGTAGTGGCATTAACACACAGTGGCTTATGCATTCGCTGGCGCTGGCTGCATCGCTCCCACCTGGTCACTACCACCACGACCGCACCTCACGTGCGCGCGTGCATCACGTATGCACGCACACACGTGCAGGCGTGAGCATCCGCATAAGTACGCGTGAGAAAATCGATAGTGGGCTGCCGGAGTAACATTTTCCGCCCGATTTAATTGATGCGATAATTGAGGGTACCACGATAACGCGACTAAGTCACTAAATAATTTCAAGGTGAAACTCGTTGAACAGGCCTTCTAATCAAGAGGACTGCAGTGCCTCCAGTGCCCGTCAAGGAAGGTGACAATTTGGCATGAGAGAGCTCAACGAGCCCCAGGGGATGCTGTGCAATTTGCTGGAACACCAACAGACAGGGGCTTAATTGATCGCCCCCCAAGTAAACTACTTACAAGTGTCTGCAATTTACTTTTAATGAATTAGAAAAAAAAATTAATTATTTAGTTGTGGTTATTAATTACCTTTAATTTTTTCCATGTACACCGACCACTTTCGATGCGTTGCTAAATAGCATGAGGTGGTAGACAGAAGTTGAGGCTATTTCTCTTGGAAAAAAGTGATTTTAAGGCTTGTCGTGAGACATTTCCTACCACTTCAAATGTAATCACGATGCTTACAGGGCTACTTGATAAAAACCATCTTCAAATGCTTCTTGTTCCTCCTAACTAAGCATTTTTAGATGCATTGGAATGCCTAAAGACCACTTTCAATAGGGGCAAAATAGTTAACTCCTCAATAAACTCATTTTAAAACTAGGCGCCCAACATTGTTGCACGTCTTTTGTACCATCAGTGACACCATCAAACAGACAGAATAAGTGTCCGCTCAAACTAACCCCTTCCATCGCGCACTCATGCGATTCCCTGTGGTCAGAGACAGAAGTATTTGGCTAATGCGCACGAGTACAAATGTGGGCTCGGGATTAAGGCTGCCGCTTCCTTGTGCTTAGTTCACTTCAGGGACCTGATCAGCCATGATCATCACCCTCGATATAAATGCCCCCGCTAAGGCCAACTAAACGTCATTACTAGCTACTGATACAATGAATACAAACCACACAAAGACATTCAACTACTGCTTTTCCTCTGTCTTTTGATAGCTGTCAAATATGACAGTGAAAGAGTATTTAACTAGGCTTTTCATTTATGCTTATGTTATTGGGACACCGTTCCTCCCATAAAAAACACCTTTTTTGCTAACACTTCGAAAGTCAAGAAGCATCGCTTTCACCTACCTGACAGTCAAAGCCTATTTGACAGCCACCCAATGCAAATGATCAAACCTAAAGTGAGTAAAATCAACCACGAGTTAGGGGTAACTCTCTGGAGGCTCTAAGACATTCGCCTTAATGGGTACGCAAGAATTATCAACATGCAATGCCGGTTGAAAGTAAAACGTCTTCTAGATTGCATACATTAAAAAGAAGGGCTCTTTTAAAAAATACTACCCTAAATAAAGTGAAAGGAATGCACAGTCTTGTGATGTGTTGTCGCCGAGATGTTGCCATCTTGGGGTGGCAATTAAACGGATGATGATGAGAGAGATCTGTCAGTATGGTTATTATTTTTTGAGATGAGTAAGCTAGATGGATGAAGAATGAAGGCGCGCTTTCCGCCAAGAAATATATGTGTAGCTTCACCATTTTACAGGTACATTTTATTGATTTACGTCAAAACAATTTTTTCTCCTGCCATTGCTTCATGCATGAATTTCAAGCCTTTGAATACTTGAAATGCCTCCACTGTACCAATGCACTGTTAACTGGGGTTCGCAATGTGCATTTAGGTCCCATTAAACAAGGAAAGATGAAAGTTCTGTTGAAATCCTGCCTTTATCGTGCGATTAGTTAGTGGTAAGTCTAAAACCACCGTGTCCTCTTTTCCGCAGTGTCACTTATAGCTCCAACCGAAAATTAATTTCTTCTGCTCCCAAATAAGTATTTTTAATTAATCACTACCCTTAAAGTGGATTTTTCATTTTATTAAATGGAGAAATATTGTTTCAATCATTGTGCCTAATGATGAGAAGTAAAAATCCCATCACGGCACTTGGACAGTAAACACGGAATTGCAAATCCAAAATCCATTTGACATTTTTGAATACGCTCTATATTCAGTTGCAGCACTTTACGGGTTACCAAACTTATTATCGAAAGGATAAATATCAGTTCAACCGAGAGTTCTGGGCTCTTTGCAATTTTTAAAGCTGTCAACATGCTTGACCCATGTTTACAATTCAGATTGTGGTTCAGCCAACCATGAGAGAGACAGACACCCGCAGTGATTAGGCCACAGAAGCCGGACTGGACATTTAACTGTTTCGAAACTCAAACCACTCTGTTTTGCGATGGTTCAAAAAATAATCATGCTAAGTTTAAAAAAAATGCTTTTCTATGCATACCTTCCACTTTGGTCCTCTCTACCAACGCGTAGTATCTGGAGAAACTGGAGACAAACTTCCCTACTCCTATGGTATACCTTTGTGCAAAGATGTACGTGCCTATGCTAATTTTACACTGAGTTCGGCGTGACGATAATATGTACCTTTTGAATTCATCTTGATGTGTAAAAATTAAAGTAGTTTGGTTAAGTGTAAAACCTCCTCAAATACATTTTTCTTTAAAGTGTTTTAACTACAGAATCAACCAACATCTGCTGGTATGTCGTGGTCGAAAATATTTAGCGTCCTCCCATAGACTATCCACAGTAAACAAATTGAGGGAATGAGTGCACACAATGCGCACTAGGAGAATGGGAGCAGAGTAAAGGGGTGGATAAATGAAAAGCACAAAATGAGTGATATGACTTACTCAACGTGGGTACGACCACAAGAGGAGCCCAGTGGCCGTGTAGCATCAGTCGTTGACTTGTGGTGAGCGCTAATCGGTGCCGTGTGCCTGACAGGGCAAGCGGTTGGCCGGCGCTCGTTCGCCCTCTCGCCTTCGCTACCTCTCTCCACTCTCCTCTCGCCTCCTCCTCAGGTGAGCGTGGTGCGCGTGTGTGCGCTGTGCGTGCGTACGCGTTCAGGTGTACGAGATGTGGAGTACAGATAAGGCTCGTCCCCCGGCAGCGGCAGCAGCAGCAACTGCTGCCCTCACCCTTTTCACCCCTCCCTCTCTTGCCTTCTGCGCCTCACAGCAGCATACGACACGGCGCAGTGCACTGCAGCGCGGTCACGCCTCACAGAGATTGTGTGTGCGTGCGTGTGTGCACACGCACGCTCACATAATTCTGCGCGTCCGGTGAGCAGCCAATCAGAGCTGCGTTGGGAGAAAGAGAGAAAAATGTCCCTGTTAATAATAAATGTGCGTCAGTAGATAGCGGTGTACAAAATTTTCACTCTGCTCCCATCTCTCGCTCTCCGGTAGGGTTGTGAATTTTTACGTCGATAAGCTTACTTGCCCAAATGATTAATTTCCCCGATTAACTAAGCCTTGTACAGGAAGGGAGAGTGTTTTCCGACTCTAATGAGTTGCTTTTGTATTGATTTCCTCCTTCTTTATAACAGTATTTATGATAACTTGCTTAATTTTTTCTGGCTTTGGGAGAAGGAAGATAGCAATATGTATCAGACCTTTGAATGAGACTTTCTCCTCCATTGCTATATATTTTGGCCTTTCGATGAATTCGAGATGTGTTAGTGTTTTTATCAGAAATGGCACTACATTGTGCTTGTCAGTTTGAGTTCTGTTTATATTTGATTTAAATGGTTTACAAATCAGGAAGGCATGAAAAGAAATCCAGTTAACGAAAGATGAGGAGTGGGCATAATACGAATTGTAAGTGATATGTTAAGCTTCATGGCCGAAGTACCACAGCTTCGACCGCTACTTTGAATTGCTAAACTAACCCCATGCGGGTGAGGAATCAATTAGGATTTGGAGCACTTTAATGACCTGCGCCTTTTGCCTTCGAAACACGGGTGTTCGGTGCGACTGAGTATAGTCAAAACTTTCTGGCTATCATTAGTGCACTGAACTTGAGGAAGGGGCTAGAGTTCCACCTCTGAATAGAGAGGTCATTTTGCTAGAGCATCATTAGAACCTCTCTCCCATCCATAATGCACGCTTTGCTTCCTCAGTCGAGCCATATACGCAGTGATCGTGCTTCCGCCTAGTAATCAAAGCACAGTCTCGGTGTGATCACCAGTGGTTGCTGATTCATTACTTTTACCCATTATTATATTTTTATTCCTCTTTTTTCGGCATTTTTCGAACTCCAGAGCTTAAAATGCTAATAGGTACAAAATTTTTCCAATAGAGTTAAAACGGATTTGGGTAATGCCTGCAAGGATACCGATAGGGCCGGCTTTGAAATGCACTCTTTGTCAAGAATTCAGGGGAGTAGGAATTATTTTGCTTTTTAATCTCTTGATTGTATCACATACGCTATTCATAACCCATACTGTGGTTCCCTGTGATGATATCTGATATGTAAGTAGCTCATGAGAGGCTGACAAAGCAGAAACTGTGAAATAGATGGCGTACAAAAAGGTTAATCATGTCCCTCTGGTTGATAAAAAGGATGCTTTAATCAAAACGAATTCTAAGTCCAAATTTGGTGGCGAGACCAAATGAAGCTTTTGTTTGTGTGACCGGCCACCGCAACGATGTCCCCGTATTAAAAGAAAACAAACCTTTCTTCATATATCAGCATCACAAACAGGATTCCAGTGAGGAATATTAAGTTGAAGGCTACTCACTTTCCGACCGAGGCATAGAGACAGTGATTTTTGCAGGCAACAAAACAGCGTACTCTTTCGCTTTCAAATGATGACCAAAAGCAGCGACCCCTGCCTGACACATACCCTCAGAGGCATCACCTGAGAGGACACTCGCTCCGTTGACATTATTAGCAAACAGTCCCCCATGAATCCTGCAGACACTTTGGTTGCTTTTTTAGTCAAAGCAAGCACGTCGACAGCATGGAGAGTTTGGGGAACCAAGTGACAAGAACATTGTATCAATCACCTTGGTCCATTAAGTGGAACGATGACCATTAACTGCAAGCGCCACTTCCTTATTCGACGTACTTTAATCAACTACAACCTCTTCCACCTCTACAATACGCAAAATGCAACTCCTTCAATGAGAATGATTACTGATGACTGCCTACTTCAATAAGGCATGAACGGATGCAAAATACACCTTATCCCAATCACACGGATCACCGTGAGAGGAGGGCACGGTACTCGTCTTGCACCAAAACATGCCATTTCGGTTTGCATGTCGCATCAAATGCACTCATCGCCAACGGCTTCCTTCCCTGCCCAAAAAAAGTCCGTGAGGAACATGTATAATTCATTTATTGGATGTATTTCCAGGTGGAGAAGGGGCCGACCAAATGCAGTGCGGAGGAGGGATTCTACAGTTGCGTTCAACGGAATGTGAAAACACCCAGACGTGGCAGAAACTTCAGCGGTCGGCTTCGAGTGCGATACCTACAAAATGAGTGGAACAAGTAAGAACAACAAGCATTCGGTAGAACCGCGCTTTAATATCAAATAGGTCCAAACGAAAAAATGTCGCTAATATATTGTAAAAAGCCATATTGCGCGAGAGAGGCAACACAAGACGGTCAGCAAAATTTATGGAGGATAGTTTAAATTACCCCATTTATATAGAAACCGGTGAACTTAGACAAGCCCACAATTCAGCAGATATAATCGCGCCGTACTCAAAACGAATTTGGTTTAAAATAAAACTATTATAAGGAGAATATAAGGTTGCAATCACTGTGCCCGATGTAATTTTAAACGCAAACGAAACAAATTTTATACTGGTTTTGCTTCAGTCAAGACTAAAAAAAATAATTTGTTCTGATCCTGTGGTAGCACATGCTTTCATCAGTAAGACTATAGGAGAATATAATTTGCAAATGCACTTGAAACCACCTAAAAGATCCTGTAATTTGAAGTACAAATAAGTCCTTTGGGAATTTGCCCGTGAAAGACAACGATCTTTTAAACGACGTCTCTTATAACCCAAGCCAACCACTACTAAATACATCATGCCAAAAATTATCCTATGGAGGAACAGAATGGCGATCAAAATGCACCAAATTTTCTCCACATCTCACTACTTTCCTCGATTATCATACAGGTCCTACTCAGTAACAGAAAACACAATCCTGTAAAATCTAAGCCGGGTTCAAGTCGTTGCCTAGAAAACAATATAGCAACCCACGGTTTTTTGTGGGACATATTCCCGTGAGGTCGGTTATTATTGTAGTGGTAGTGGATTAGAATGTCCACAATTACCATGGTGGGACGATGGTGAAAATAAACAAGTTGTCTTACCAATTCCTATTCCCTGCTACCTGATTCGTAGTAAGGAAAATCAAACAACTCTGTACAAGCACTTGCTAGGAGCTATATGAATCTGCTTAGTACAAAGACTAACAACACACCGAGAACAAAATTTATTCTTTATATTTGAGTGTGTTCCTCGATTGATCACGCATTTACTTCTAGGAAAAGACTACGAAGCGGCTAAGCAGAAGTGAAGAGGGAGAGACCGACCTCACGCCACCTTGAGGGCAAAGGGTTTTGATTTCCAAATTGTCCTTGGTGAGAAAGATGGGGAGACAGGAGGCGATACGAGCGAGCTGGCAGGTAAGGAGATTCTCAGGCTTGTTGTTACTGCCTGCGGTAAATACCTCCTCTGAGACTCCCATCGCTGCCTCGTCGAGCGCTGTGCGCCCATCCTCACAGGGCATCTCCCTCCAGTAGCAGTTCACCTCCGTCTCTATCTCCTTTGTGTAGAGAGGAATAGGCGAGAAAAATGAATCGTGAGGCATTTTACAAAGCACATCAAACATTCGTCTCTTCACCATACAGTGACACAATTGTGTGATTTTACCTATCCTAAGCACTTTCTGCAGGTAAATCTTGGTTGCATAGGTGCGAAGGGTCTTGGTTTATTCACCCATAAAATAAACTAATACATCCAGAATGCTTGAGAGAAAGACATAAACTTTTAAATTTATGTGATTTTAAAAACACCCCATCCATAATTCACCACTAACTCTCTCATTCAGACACTGATCTAGTTGGAACATCCTCCATGCATCCATTGGAAAACCCACTCTTTATGTCCAAAAATAGCATGAAAACAGTAATGTCAAAGTGATGTTGTAGGCGCTTGAAAAACCGATTCGCCCGACGCAAATCCAGGAGAAAGACGCATTATGCATCAATCTTCGGCGTTCACACTAAAGTACAAGTCGCGTGTTAGTCTTGACTATGGTCAATAGGTAAGTGAAGAATTTAAACCCTCAATTAGTATGCGCTTATGTTGCCGTCAGGTGAGAGGCGTATTTAGTGACCCCAAAATGCGCGAATGTACCTGTATATGCATCGCAGTCAAGTCGCCGGCAGGGAAGGCATCAGTCTCACTGGCCAGAAATATCAACGAAGGGTCATCGGGGTAGGATGCGGGAATCGATGCGCCGATTGTCAGCACATCTGCAAGCCAAAAAAGCAGTATATCGACACATTGCGACTTTTCCTGACACTTTTACGGTGACCTTCAAACAGACTCATTAATATAAACTCCGTTGTCGCACAGCGGCAGCAACTACATTTCCATTTCGTGGCTACACCGCGTCGTAATGACGGTCTCTCTTACCCCTCCTCACTATCCGGTCGCCCCTCTTATAACCACATGCGGCTCTCCGCCGCTGCTTATTAACAGAGAACAGCACACTGAGGTCAATTTGAGTCATCCAGAGATAAAAGTGACTTGCTTAACTTATTTATGAGTCTCTGCCAGAAGTTGCCGGAAGTACAGAAGCCAAGTTGCACTTTTGTGTGAAGAAGATAACGGCCTTCCAAATGTTTGACGCTATGCTTAAACTTAAATGGGAGCAGATAAAATAAACTATTTTTCTAACACCGTAATTCACGGAAAATGTATTTGCGTTTGCTCCCGGTATGGCTAAAAGGCGAATAAGAGAAACTGCAAAGTCATTCAACTGCAATTTGTGAAACAATAAATGAGAATTACTTTTTTATAAATACGGTAGACTCTAAAAATCCAGTGAGAACAATGCCGTGACGCAAGAGAAATTGTGAAACACCTACTACCACAACAGTAGCCGTGTAATTTCAGACTAAAACATGTGAAAGAATTGATAACAAATGGAGAATTTCGCAGTCTTTAAACAACTCCCTCAAGCATACGACAATTCGCGCAGAGAAGCGCAAGTGTTCCGTGTCCAAGCTTCCCCAATGCGCAATTTCCCAATCTACTTATTATTAGGCTAAAAACCGAGAAATGTGGCATGAGATTGCTATCTCAACGTATCTAAAGGCTTGATCTGCCGAGTTAGTGCGATTCCAAAGCCTTTCAGGAGTCAATCCTACCTGAATAGTTCTACATAGCGGTGAGTAACTTTACCTTAAGAACGCTAAAGTGCTTAAAAATAGTAATGTAATTACTCTAGGTCTAGCCACAACAACGGCGATTCCAATTGTGACGGTGTCATGGAAGCGGTGCCACATGGCGTTGGAAAATGAGGTTGACATGAAAAATATGACATGGTTCTTTAGATGAAAATTCCGATGGTGATTTCTCCGCCTTCAAAGTTAAATCGTGACTAAGTAATGGGGGGAGAAGGCAAGTACACGCACCTTTTCCGCGAAAGGCCATTTGGCACTTGAAAATGGCATCTGATGGTTGAATCAAATCGAGTGCCATGAAAGTTTGAGCACGAGGCCATGTCTGAAGGAAAGAAGGGCAAAAGTACCTTGTCAATCGTGACAATAAGAAATCACCTACCTGTGCATTAAAATTACCAATATTTCCCAATAGGTTTCACGAACCCTCAAAGAATGCACAACAAATTTGGTGCTCTAAATGTGAAATTCATCAGTTAGACATTTACCTGATCATTTTAAACAACGCACTAGTTTTCACGTGGGGCCGATGGCTTAAAGCCAACGTGTCGGTTTAATTTGTGACAATGAACCCCATGGAAATAAATTTGTCCACGGAAATATTAGCGATGCAGCCTAACATGATCACCATTTTACTTTTGACATGAATGTGACAAAAGTAAATCCGCATTACGGTAAGAGTATACGTGCCGATGAAAATGATAAGCACCAGAGTGTTGTTTTCGGGGTTCCTCCCTCAACATGGACAGAGACTTCTTGCAAGATTGAATCGGCCATGAATTTACATAAATTCAAATAGCGTTGTGAAAAGTAACCACCCAATAATGAGATAGGAAGCGAAGTATGGGAAGCTTTGAATGTGGGGTTTTGTGAGCTGTCAGTTGCATGACATCAGTTTCAGCTAGTAAACAGTGGCATCCGAAAGAACGCAGGTACAACTAAGACCAACGGAGCGATGATAGCATATGAGGGGGCAATAAAATTTGGCCTTTTGAGATGGGACACGAAAAGTGCAAGGTAGCATACATCGTCTACTTAATATTTTTGAATACAAATTTTGTGGAATTTCCGGTAACAGCGCCAAAATGCAAATTCAACAATCCGCTTCAATATTATTGCACCTTTCCACGATAGGCTCCTTGAAAGACTTTACAAATACCTGATCATTCATTTGCAAATAATGAGTTGTAAATCCACTCAGAAAAAATAGTTTAATCAAAAGTTATGAATCTACTATGGTGCCAAAATAACCAAAACAGATTGCCTTACACATCATTGGTAAAGGCAACGAAACATTTCGAGAAAATTCAAAGGCGCTTACACTTATGTCTTTGAAAGTCACACGGTCCCACGTGCTCAAACAGATATCCTTACTGATGGGGAAGAAGGGTTTCTGGTTCTCTGAGAGATTGAGCACACCACTTTCAATTGCGTGTATCTGAAAGATGATAAAAGACAGCATTGTGAAAAAGAAAGACAAGGTGTCTCCATCCAAAATTTCAAAATACATATGAATGGAGCGAGACCATATTAATCACACTTGTTTGTATTGAGTCGAAATGCGGCTGCTAGAAGTGGCTTCTTAATAGCGCAACTCCGCATTAGGTGCATTTCTACCGTTTCAGTCGATTTATTGTACAATTTAACGAAAACTGAGAATGTTAGGACCTGCATTGCAAATACATTACATGAAAGCCTAAGCTTCGTCTTAGAATCTAGATTCTCAAAATTGATTTATTTTTCGGGGAGCATTTTTAAACCAAGCCAGAAGAAAAAGGTTACATTACTTATTAAATATTAAAGCTACAAAACTCTAGAAAAATACCATTTCCAAAATGATACTTGATTTTAAGAGGATTGCCTTTAAATCCATATTTCCAAAACTCACTTTCAATGTCTCATACGGAGGCGACGATTTACTCAGGATAACCTGTAATAAATGAATCCCGATATTTTTAAACCAATCTGACACTAATGAGAGCGAGTTGCTTTCATATCAACAGTGAGCGTAATGGAAAGCACCACCGTGGAGTAACAAGGCCAAAACTGACATGATGCAGCAAGAGAACTCCACAATTGTCCTGTATTAATACGTGAGAATAGAAGGGGAAAAAGACAAACCTCAGCATTGAGAGACATGCGAGATTCAAGACGCCGACAAAGAGCCGTAAACCAGGAGTCGATGAATCCGAAGGGCTCAACTGAGGTTGCGGACGACGAGGCAGTGACAGAAGAAGAAGTAGAAGCGTGAAAAAGAGTATCGCGAGCGGAGTCGAGGTAGGGGAGGCACTGGAGACCCCCCAGGTGCTGCGCCCATGCATAGGCACGACCGCCGTCATCATCACCACTGCTCAGCGGAAGGAACGAAGCTGGTCCGGTACCGCCGGCTACCGCCTCCCCGCCCTCCCAACGTGAAGCCTCCCCACCGCACTGCAAGTGCGCCAGCAGCCCCTCCGACGAGAGAAGGTCCCTGAAAGTAGCATTAGTCACTGACATACTCACAATTCATTAAGCAACGGAACTAGCATCCCTTTAATAAACATCGTTCTGTAAATGAGACTTTTACAGCCACTGCCACAATGTAGTGGGCAAGGCATTCTGTATACTATAAGCTGCACGACTGAGAGATGACTGAAAATTCGCTGAGGCATGCACCTTGCCGTTTGTGAGAGAGGACATAGTTTTTCAATCTCATGGACCTCCTCCTTGACAGTAACGAGTCTAGCTCGCATCAGCCACGTGAAGGTCAGCGTCAGTTGCAGGTTTGCCCACTTCGCATCAGATCCTGCAGCAAACAAAGGCCTTAAATATGACCGTTCGAGTGTTTTTATGCGTCTTAACATGGAGAAATGACTGAAGGTACCGGTGGCGATGTGCACAACGACAGAAAGGGGGTGGGGCGAATCAGTCTTATGCTGTGGCCGTTCTTCGTCTTCCGCTCCAATGCGTTTCGACTTTCGATGAGTCTTCTTCTGTAAGATGCAACAAAAGCAGGTTACTCAATAAACTTTTTGGAACTTGAAGATATGCAAATGAACCTATGATTAAACAAACACATTTAAGGATCAAATATCGTACCGAAAGGACAAACTCTTAATCCAAGCAATCCACCAACAATAGAATACCAACAGCAGGTAATTATACCAAAAAATTATTTTTATGAATCATACGACGATGTATCGTATCAATCGCGCTGAAATTGCATAAAAATGGGGATCATTAAAAAGAAGGCGGATACCCGAGTTTTAGTACTCCTTAAAGTAAATAATTAATGAGTAGGTTGAAAACAGTCAGAAAGTGCAAAATCAACATTGAGAGCATAGTTTGAATAGACAATTTGAGAAACTATAGGAAACGACTGTACACGAGAGTAGCAAAGTGCATAAGCTCACTCTTTTTAATAGCAGTCCATCCTGGTCATCCACTTCTGAGGAATCTGCATCGACCTCATCCACATTGAAAGAAGCCGCTGAATTGACCGACCGCGCTAATTCCGAATCTCCAACAATTTTCACAGTCACCCGTCTCTGCAGGTCTAAACCGAAGACGACAACCTTAGTAAAACGTACAAGGCGGAAGATGAGCAAACTAATACGTGCTTTCAACGTCAATGTAAGCGCTCAATTTCGAATAAATGATGTAGAGAGGCGGCGGAAGAGCAAAGGCAGACTGAAATGTTTCTTCGTTTTCACTTATTTTGAAACCCATTTCAGAATCAAGAGCCCTTGTTGACTAAAAACATTAAGTAAATGTAATTAAGACCCCACTTCTAGAATATTCCTTAAGTTTCCACCAATCCTGTCAAGATATGCCTGCTTTGTGGCTATTTTTTCCTTGACCTGTGCCATTGATTTTGAGATTTCATTAAGATTGGAATGTAATCTACCAAAACAAATAATGTCAAAGCTGAACAACTTTTTTCTCTGTTGCAACTCCCAATAAAGGCGGTCGAGCGTTTGTTGATGTTCTGATTTACAAGCCTCTGAGGTGCAGACAGTTTTGGCGTATTCCTCCACCGGAATAAGGCTAATCTCCTCATGGAGTGATCTGATGCATCAGAAGAGTAAAGAAAACAATACCTAAACCCCAAGCAAGTTTGAATGGATTCCTTAAGGTGCTCCAATTCGTAAAGTAGATTCTGAAGTTCCCGTGTTTTTTGGTCGACCGCAAGCTTTTTCTGAGAAATTGTTGTTGAGTCGCGGAGAGTAACGAACCTGATAAGTAGCTTCACGGAGGTCTTTGATCCTGAGCTGAGTCCTACGATTTATCGCTTTTAATGCGATGATATGTTTGCCAAAAGTGCTGCCAGACACCTGAATGTTTCGACCGTGATTCCTATTTGGTTATACTGATTGTTTCGATTTCTTGCGTTGCCAGGTGGTATCAAGGGAGCTTTTAAGGGCAGAACACTCTTGTTTGAAGAGTTTTAGGTCCAGCTTCCCATCGTTTACCAACTTTTTCACATCTAACCCGCCGTCCATACCTGCGCACAATCTACGAGCAATAGACTCAAAAAGGGGAAATGCACTTATAGGTTAAAAGTAATTGCCGGTATCAGCCAATTGGCATCAAGGTTTCAGTGGGTTTTTCATTAATATATTTAAAATAGTCAGAGGCATCGAAAGTAAGCTGATTAGGTTCCCATATGTCCTATTTTTAGACCAGCTAGTCTAGGTTGCCAATATACAAGCATCATAGTTAGATTCATCACTTTTATATGATAGAATTTTAGCAATAACGCTAGTGAAAAAACCCAACAGTAAACATATTTAAGCTCGAGTTAAAATAAGTAGACAGCTAATAAGGTCCCTAAAGTATGACTTTGTTCATTTACGTGTGCTTGTTCAGCACCCAAAAATTTGGATAATTATGGTATGTGGCCGTATGAGTATATGCAAAAAAATACGGCCACATGCAGTATGAAGGCTAATCACGTATCTTGTACAATGGCTAACTGTGGATTTTAGCCATGCAAACGCTCGAACTTCCTGCATCTGTGCTTCCGTTCTGAGGAGCTGCTATTGTGTAGCGCCCCGAGACTTCCCTGCAGACGAGAGAAGACAAAATACTTGGGCAGAATATATATTCAACACAGAGAAGGTGTATGGGCTACTGACATAGCTTGAAGGCCAGTCTGCCCAGCGAGGTACCAGAAGGCAAATTCGAAGGTTCATAAGTGGCGCCTCACCAATACCGAGGGATAAACCACCATCGTATTTCAGTAGAGTCATGCCGGTCACACCTTAATGTAATACTTATATTGTTTAATGTACCTTTCAGAGAGGAGGCAAGGTTGAAATTCAAACCTGGTGACGGAGTTGGTGTCTCCCAAGTCAGAGAGAGATTGCTATCCCTCCCTTTTTAAACTTTGTACTTTTTTTCCCGATCCACTTCCCTCTTATAAATATGTTGAAATTAATTCAACCGGGTTGTTCTAAGAGCACTAGGAACAGGGAAGAGGAAATTTGTGAGTCTCGCCCTACATTAATACCTTTTGGCTTTAGCAATACACATTTCTTTACAGCACTTTGGATTGTTGCGACTTAGGGCGAGGCTTAGCAAGCTATCAGAGGAGGGGAGCAGGTGAATACAACCTTGTGACTGAGGAGCATTCAAAACCCACTTAGCCGGAAAAGAGTCCCGCTGCCAAATGTCTCTAAACTTGTAGCCATCTCCATTTACACTAAGCGACAAATGTATCGAAATTCATTCAGTCTCGTTGTTCAAAGGGTATGAAGGCCAGGGACGAGGAGATAAACAAGGCCAGTACTACAATATCATTCGATTTATTTACAAGGGCATACAGATGCGATATAATTAACAGCGAAATCAATGTGCATTAGTAAAGGTCAGTAAATGTAATACACTCTTGGAGTATGCTAGTGACAATTAAAAAACTTTGCCTTAAATTCTTCGCGTTAGTGCCTGGAGTGTTAGGCGAGGAATAAAGAGGCCAAAATTGGGTCAAGAAACACTACCAAACTAGGCATGGAATGGATGCTTATATCAGCTTGAGGCAGGGGTTGTTTGATGCAGGTGTAATTTCTAGTTTTATCTAAGTCTTGCTTTTGGCAGCAAGCTTCTTAGTGGGTTCCGCCATTGAGAATCAGTCGGGCAGTCTGGATTTCAGGCCAATCTAGTAGTACCAAACTCTACGCTCTATCGCTGCTACTTGTTTTGCCTTGGTTCCAAATCTTCTTTCGTCTTCCGTAAAGTCTCTGGTGCTACAACAGGTGTGACCCCCTTTACATCAGTGGCTATGCTGAACAGCTGCTTCAGGATTTGCGCGTTTTAAGTTGCATTTAGTCTTTACAGTTTAGGTGCATCAATTCGAAAGAGTGCTTGATAAGCTCTATAATTAAGGTATTCACAAATTTCATTCCTAATTTGTCGTAGGTATCAATATGCAATAGTTTACATTTTTGTTGCTTCAATTCTCTGATGCGTGCAAAAACAATAATTGATCTTCGATTTGCCTCTCTTCACTTACAGTTTTTCTTACTATAGCATTTTTATTTGAATTGTTGGAGGCATGACGTTTCATGACGATGCATTACGTTGACCAATCATCGTGTAACACATTGTCAGTTACGAAATATAAGGTCTGCCATCTTGGCCGTTTCGTTGTATAGTAACGTGATGGGTCCGTCCACTTACGTTGGTATTTTTTTACTCTGTATTCTCACGTTGTCCCGTTGCAAATCCGGCAAAGAAGAGTACGGGACTGTCATAGGTATTGATCTGGGTACAACTTATTCATGGTGAGTTTTTTTACGTCGAATATTGGGCTTTTGTTTACTCGTGGTATGTAGTTTTGGTTCATTTATCGGGTTTATTTCAATTAAATTCGGAGTTCCATTATTATAGTATGATATTTGTGCAGTATTCTGGTTGTAGTCAGTTTGCACCAGTTTTCTAGGGCTTTACTGATATTAGGGTGTAGTGCCAACTATTTGTTCGTGCTTTATTTTTCAGTGTTGGTGTTTTCAAGAACGGACGTGTTGAAATCATCGCAAATGACCAAGGCAATCGTATAACCCCATCTTATGTTGCATTCTCTGGTGATGGTGAACGACTGATTGGTGATGCAGCCAAAAATCAATTGACCTCAAATCCTAAGAATACTTTGTTCGACGCCAAACGACTCATCGGTCGTGATTATGACGATAAAGATGTGCAGGGTGATATTAAACGTTATCCGTTCAAGGTGATAAATAAGAACAATAAACCGTATATGAAAGTTCAAGTAGGGAGTGAGGAGAAGGGCTTCGCCCCCGAGGAGGTTTCGGCTATGGTTCTTAGTAAAATGAAGGAAATTGCCGAGGCCTATCTTGGCACTGAAGTTACCCACGCTGTCGTCACTGTGCCCGCCTACTTCAATGACGCTCAACGTCAAGCGACCAAAGATGCTGGTGCCATTGCTGGTCTGACTGTGTTGCGAATTATCAATGAACCAACTGCCGCTGCGATTGCCTATGGTTTGGATAAAAAAGATACTGAGAAGAACATCCTCGTATTTGATCTTGGTGGTGGCACCTTCGATGTCTCCCTCCTGACAATCGACAATGGTGTGTTTGAAGTTGTCGCGACCAGTGGTGACACTCATCTTGGTGGTGAAGACTTCGATCAGCGCCTCATCGATTACTTCGTCAAGTTATACAAGAAGAAGGAAGGCAAGGACATTACAAAGGATGATCGCGCAGTTCAAAAACTGAGACGTGAAGTTGAGAAGGCAAAACGCACGCTTAGCACAGAGCACAGCACAATGATCGAGATCGACAACCTCTTTGAAGGCAAAGACTTCTCTGAACCTTTGACAAGAGCTCGTTTTGAAGAGTTAAATAATGACCTCTTCCGTAGCACTCTCAAACCCGTTATGAAGGTGATGGAAGATTCTGGTCTTAAAAAGGAGGATATTGATGATATTGTCCTCGTTGGTGGGTCCACAAGGATACCCAAAATTCAACAGCTAGTTAAGGAGTTCTTTAACGGAAAGGAACCAAGCAGAGGCATCAATCCTGATGAAGCTGTCGCTTACGGTGCCGCAGTGCAAGCTGGTGTTATTAGTGGTGTTGAAGACACTGGTGATATCGTGCTCCTCGACGTTTGCCCCTTAACCATGGGTATTGAGACTGTCGGAGGTGTTATGACTAAACTCATCCCTAGAAATACTGTCATTCCCACCAAAAAGTCGCAAATCTTTTCGACTGCTGCTGATAATCAGCCAACTGTCACTATTCAGGTGTTTGAGGGTGAGCGTCCGATGACTAAGGACAATCACTTCCTGGGCAAGTTCGACCTGACAGGCATTCCGCCGGCTCCTCGTGGTTTACCTCAAATCGAAGTTACCTTCGAAATTGATGTGAATGGTATTCTCCGAGTATCCGCCGAGGACAAAGGTACTGGAAAGAAAAGCAATATTGTCATAAACAAAGAGACAAACCGCCTCACTCCTGAGGAAATTGAGCGCATGATTCAGGATGCCGAGAAGTTCTCTGATCAGGATAAACAAGTCAAGGAGCGTGTGGAGGTCCGCAATGACCTTGAGAGCCTTGCATACTCCATTAAAAACCAGGTCAAAGATAAGGAGAAGATGGGTGGGAAGTTGAGTGACGATGAGATTAAGACTATAGAGGATGCAGCTGATGAGGCTATTAAGTGGATGGAGAATAATCCACAGGCCGAGACCAGTGATTACAAGAAGCAGAAGGCGAATCTCGAGAGTGTTGTTCAGCCCATCGTGAGCAAGCTCTACGAAGGCGCGGCTCCTCCTCCTCCGACTGAAAGCACGCCGAAGGAGGAGTTATAAATGGATGGTGTTTGTACAGTTGCTGGCTTGCTTGTGTACATCAGTGGTAGAGACATGTGGCCATTCGTTAGGGCCGTCTAACATTGCATTGTTTTTTTCCTGTCTTTTATATGTCAATTAATTCACTTAATTGTAATGACTTACATGTATTGGGTGGGGGGGACTTGTGATATTTACGCTGACTAGTATTTTGGTCCCTTGTATCTGGCGCGTGGTCGTGTACGGGAATGCCTTGTTCGGGGTATGTGCATAGCGGGGTAGCTGTGCTTTTGCAGGCGCTTTGGGGGGCGGGGCTCCCTTTTTCGGCTCTTGGGACGCTTCATCTTAAAGCGGGTTCGCGCTTGGGTTCTTGTCAGATGTCTAGCTCAGTGTCAGGGCCCTCCGCCAGTGCCCGTGCGTTATTTGGTGTGGTGATTGAAACTGGGGTGTTGCCTGCGCGTTTGGTCACCGCCGCTACTAAACGACTTCGCTATCGTTTGTGCGGATATTCTGAGTTCACGCAATGCTACGTGTGTGTAGCATTGTAGTTTACCGGAGTGGACTTTCGTCCAAGCGCAGTTCGCCAATCGTGCAAATGGCTGGAGCCTGGTGGCAGCGGGTGTTGTATGTCAGCGGAGCAAGCGAAATGCTCGGTTGATCTAAAAGTTGCCAGTGTGATTAAGACGTTCTAAAATGGTGAGCAATCAAGTTTTGACCATGTCGTGGAGTGATGCAGCAGAACCGGTCGGTCAGTGAGCGGATTATAAATGGTTCTAGCCATTTCTCCAACGTGCCTTACTTTTTTACCCTGTTGCTTCCTTTTCGTCGGTTTAGAACCCCATCAATAATAAATAAGCATCACCAACTACCATTTTGGTGTAACTGCCAATACGATAATGGGAAATTGCCTCTCTCCCAACACATTGCAGCCAGTATTTCCAATGTTCACACAGCGAAATCAAATAGTTTATGCGTTGCTCAGTTTTTCAACCAAGCTTGTAGAACCGAGGCCGTGGACAGTCTACAATTGTCAATTCCATCAACGGTCGAATCGCTGCGAGCAGCATGAAGCATTTCCTCACTCTCAACTCTTTGGCCCCTTTAATTTTCATGATGGCAAAGTCCTATTGAGTTCGGCGAACTCTATTTTCCCGCTATGTTTGATGATTTGGTCTTTCTGCCAATGAAAGTACATCATAGAATTTTAACAATGCCACTTGTTACGGTCGTGTACACGTTGAAATGCCTCTAGTTAGGGTCTAGCCGTGACAAATCCAGGGGCGCCTGTTCAACTAGGATTTCATCTGATAAGCAAAGTACGCACGTGGTAACTACCCTAGATGGTAAGATATCAGTGACAGCTTTCAATTCTAGTATTTTTCATATTATTTCCTTTAAGCTAACCAATAAGAACCGAGAGAAATCCATGTATCAATGTTCGACAATGCAAGTGTGATACATTACATGGAGGCGTTATCTTGGTCTATGACACTGAAATTCACCTAATTACCACTTCACCGTCAAGTTACACAGCACACCTTTAAAAAATAAAGGCTTTTAATCGCCTCAGTCAGCATTTAAACTCCAAATGGCATCCGTCCGTATGGATCGTGATTCCATCTTGGCAATTTAAGTAGCCTGGTCTCTAGGGCGGTCAAATTTGCCCAATGCGAAATGGAAAGTAGCCCAGAAGGTCAGCATCAGAGCTGAATGGGAATAGTCTTTGTTACTGCTGAAATTCTAATGTCTATAAATACCAAACGTGATGCGAATACGATGGCTCCACTTCAACATGACGGCTCAAACAGAGCCATTTCTGTAGTGGCCTTATGACTACCGAGAGGTTTTTCAAATTGAAAGATTCCATTAGAAATAAAATCCTGCCTCGGACTAACTAACGGAATCTAGCCTCGAGTCTGATTATACTGCCACACTGAATTGTACAGTTTGCTTGAAGTCTTTTGTTCGACGTGTTTGTCAAAAGCCGGCATTGTTCTTTCATTGCGGCACGAATTCATATGCAGTCGGTTTTTGAAGGCTGGACGGAGGATGGTAGCATAACCTTAGCAATGATGAATAACCGTTCTTTAGGATATTTCTACTACTTTTTTGCTGTGAATTCGCGAGACGTTCCGATTTGGCACTCTACATTTTACTGTGAGGCTGCTGACGAATGAGTTTGGCGTTCCGCCTGGTTCACCAGTTCATTGTCAGGTAGAGGAGGCAAAAATACGACTAGGCGAATGGAGGGAATCATTGCTATAGCTAAACCCCCGTTTTTTTTCCACTACGGATTTCTTCAAAAACGCGAGACTCTCAAAATCCTAACTTCCGTTTGTCACATCGATATCGCATGAGTTTGTCTGGAAGTAACAAAAGTTCAGGGGTGAAGAAGTTTTAGAAAGTGGAATGGCAGTAGCACCTCCGAAAAAGAAGCGACGACTGTAAAGATTAAAACTTGATTCATTGAGGGCTCCGTTCACGAGGCCATTAGCTTGAGAAGGCGTGTCCATACCGTACCCTCTTCTGTTCTATGCCATTCTATGCGGTCGCTCGCGTGTTTAAGCCCGCAAATTCCATTTCATTGGCGGAGCCTGCTGTAGGCCGAGTACAATTATGCGAATGCAAAGTGATAGAAGTGAAACACGTATGGATCTTACGCCTCATTCATTCGGAAAGTGCTTCCCGTTCCTACTGCTGGAAGCAATGGCCGTGTGTCAAGTTCTGCAGTAGCATATTGATGGTCAATGTATTTTTAAAACTGTCACCTCCAACTAGTTGTTTTAATCAAGGCCCTCAACGATTTATTGCAAAAAGTCATAAAACTCTTGGATACAGGTGATTGATGGATTAATTCAATTTCTTTAGATGCATAAAAAGCACGCGTACTGCAAAATAATTTAACAGAAATGGAAAACCAGAGTTGTTTAACTGAACTGGACAAGGGACGCTGGAAATTACATAAAACTGCTGGTATTCGGGAGACTGTGCATTAGTTTGGGGATGCGTCGCTTCCCTAGAACCACAAAAACCGTTTTATTCTACGAAGAAAAAATTGGTGCAATTGCCTTTCTTCAGCTAAAACGTGTACTATTTTGTAATAAGCAAACACAGTTGTACTTTGTATTATGTATGAGAACTAAACATCCGATTTATTCTGAGAGGGGGTCGTATTTTATGCACTCAAATCCTATGGATTCATCAATTGGTGACTTTGGAATGCAAAAAATGTTAGATTCTAAACGGTCCAGTCGTAGAAAACGGTGTTATCTATACAAACATAGCACTGTGTATTGTGGAAAGACCATTAAAAAATGAAACATCTCAGGAAACACCGATGCAGGCAGTCGTGTCCCGTTTATTTTGGACATAAAAGGAATGTACATACATTTCATAATGAATGATAGTAGTGGGAACAAGGCGACGGTTTTTTAATTGCACTCAGTCTGCTTCCCCGTTGTGAGTGGAACCGCCTATGATGTAGTCAACACGGCAGCTCCGAGCTGCAAAGGTCATCCTCGGGCCTCATTCCACTTTATGTTTTGCAAGTACGTAGTCCGTGTGTAATGCAGTGCTCTATTCACATCAAAGCACATCTGACTCATACCTGAAACAGTCCATTTGTTTCCCACTTACGGGAAAATCCATTCGATTACCTTTAAAATAACAAATATGAATTGGCACCATTACCCTAAACCGCAATTTTTTCATTGTAAACAATGATATCCTGCCATAGTGGTATCGTTGTAGGTTCAAAAGCAAAAGTTTAGCAATCTAATATGGATCGCATCAACACCTTTCTTAATCATATCAGTTTGGTAGGATCAAATTGGAAAATGAACAGTCATTACTAGATGTAGTCTTGTCGTTGAATGAGACAGACTTTGTCTGCTCGTTCCTCTCATTGCGATTTTGTTGCGCGTAAGCAGCTCATTTTGAAATAATGCGATGGTCTGTGTTAGTGTGCTTTCACGGTCACACCGCGGTCCAATTGAGGTTTGCCCTTTTGGACTGAGCAATGTGAATAAGGGTGAGGAAATCGGAGATCTCATCGTATCAGACCAGAGTGGTTTCACAGATGCAACTTAGCATACAAAGAATTCGCTTATTTTCACATCACCGAAGGAAAAGCAAGTTTTGTGATCCCACGTATGTGAAGTTTGTTTTTAAGGGAGATTTACTACAGAACTAACTAAAGTTAGTACATGTGACTTAAATTTAGCTAAAAAACTCCTGAAATTTCATTCAGTGCTATTTTTATCTCAGAATGTTAACGAAATATCTCAAAAAACACTTATGCAAAGGCGTATCTGCCTGTCGCAGCATCTGGAAGTTGTGAAATTTTTACAGTCGTGCACTTAAAACTCATTCAAATTTCACCAAAGTTCCCGTTGAAGCAAGTCCAAAATCCAACATTAACCGCAAACACTGTTACCATCTTAAGAGGAATCGTGCTAGTGTAGTTACAAACCACTTGAAGAAGGACTACTTTCACTATTTTTGAGCATAGAGATCAGCTATAATTGGAAACTATCGGCAAATTGGCAATTAGTATCTTGGACTTCAAATGACGGAAAATCCTTTGAACTACTGTGTTAGTTTGGAGGGCCTGAAACGTCGCTTTCACCGCAACGAAATTTAGCAAAGCTGTCCTATTTCGCGGTACTTCATACCAAGTCTGTACATATGACGTGATTCTACAACATTGATAGGAATTTGGTCAAAAAATTTGGAAGCTGGGAGCTTGTAATTGATAAACCTAGCTAGTGAAATATTCAAATAGTAGTGGATGATCCATGAAGGAACAGCACAAATCGTTGGCATATTCTTAGTGCCATAGTGGCCCCCAGTCGTGAGTTCCCTACTCACCTGAATCGCTTTTTTCCTTAAAAAGTATGGTGAGGTAGAGTGAGTGAGTACAAAGGTCTACTTTAGTACTTGCTTAATTGGTCGCACACATGCACAGGCTCATAACGAAGTAGAGCTTAAGACGATTAGACTTAGAAGTTAACAGACAGATTAGAGTGGAATGACAAAGCTGGTGGACAACGCTTTGCAGATATGCGAGAAGGTGAAAACGCATCTGGGTGACCTCGAGGACTTTGGTGATCGCTTTAACTACTTTGGCTGTGGAGTGGTGTTGCTGGTGTGTGTCTTCGTGGTCTCCACGAAGCAGTACTTCTTCAACCCCATCTCCTGCTTCATCGCTACTGAGGTGGGCGGGACCAACCTGCTGAGCTACGTGGAGAACTACTGCTGGGTCCAGGGTACCGTGCCCATCACCTACACTGGCCGGATGCCTACCAATGAGACCGAATGGCTGCAGCTCGAGGAGAGGAAGATTCGTGAGTTGCGATACCACTGAATTATCAAATGCCATATTGAGCTGAGTGTCACGGAGAAGGGCAATGAAGTGAAGTGTGCTGCATGGTGAAAATTTATTCAAGGCTAGTGAGCACTATATTGTGTCACTATCAGGCTTAAAGGGGATGTAAACAAATAAGTAGCTTCTGGGGCATTGCAGGAGCAGTTCGCATCACCATCTTTCGTGTACGTGGATTTCTGTATATGTATTCTAAAACGCAATGCTGTAACTTCCAACATTGAATATGCTTTCAAAATCACCAATCATCACAACACAAAAGTGCGACGTTTAAAAAACTAACGAAATCACGCCATTTGATTTGCCCAATTTCTATTATCCTTTTACGTGATAAGGCAGTGTCAATTTATGAGGACTTTACTTTTGTGGGTTTGAATAAAAAAACAATGGATAAATAACTCTTCTACATTCTAGAATGCGATGACAAAATGAGTTAGTAATAATCAACTCTAAGCTTTATTAAAAACAGTCAAGTGTGGATGTTTAGTGTCATCCTCAATTTGAAGAAAAGTTGCTTGAAAAATGACCCTCTGTGGAAGACTTTCAGCAGCACTCTGTAGGTCAATAACTTGTGTGAGTCTACTGAATAACCGCAAGTAGAATTTTTATACAAATTTAGTGTACTACCAGTGGGTCCCATTTGTCCTGGGGCTGCAGTGTATCCTATTTTACCTGCCTCGGTTGATCTGGAAAGTGCTTTACCTTCACTCTGGAACGAATGGGAACGCACTCAGCCGAGTAGTCATACGCTCGGTGGAGGCCCTTCACGCTCCCCCAAGCCAACGTCAGGCAGCCATCAATGAGATCGCCGACATTGCTGAATACTACTTTGCAAAGGTAAGCCCTTTTGACTGCACAAAGTAGCCTATTGTAAATAGAAGCAGATGTTGGAAGCCCTATACTAAAGGACTGAATTTTAGCTAATGACCACCTAGAGATAAATGAAGAAATCCGCATTCCATTTTAGCGCTTTGATCGAAAGATTTCGACTGATTTTGGACGATCCAAGTGCCCTCGTGGTGTAAATATAATTGCCTCATATCTGGTGGTAAAAGTCCTCTACCTCATCAATGCGATCGGTCAATTGTTGATGATGCAGCGATTTCTTGGCTTCAGCTCCATCAGCGATTTGGCCTACGGTTTCAGTGTTCTTAGGGATATTGTGAATGGTCACGATTGGCAGGTAACACAAATCTTTCCACGCGTCGGTTTCTGCTATGTGGAGTTAAAATTCCTCGGTGTAAAGACTAACGCCGTGACCGCGCAGTGCGCTCTGCCATTGAACATGCTCAATGAGAAGATCTACCTCTTCCTGTGGTGGTGGATCATGGCCGCCGTCAGCATCACCACCTTCTACCTTTGCCTCTGGATATTCCGCTTCAGCACACACAATCGGGAGGCCAACTACATTTTTAAGTATGTGCAACTCAGCGCAGACACGTTCACGCAATACAAGGACAAAGAGGTAGAGAACTTTGCCCGTCACTATCTCCGGCACGAGGGTATCTTCCTTGTGCGGATGGTGCGTCTAAACGCTGGGGAGCAGGTCGCGGCGGCGGTGGTGAAAGCCTTCTGGGAACGCTACAGACTGGCTAACATGGATCCCCTCAGAAGGGGTTTCCCTCTCTCGAACGTCCCTACAGCTCCTGCATCCAACATTGTTCCCCGGGACCTTTATTCTCAATTTAAAAACTTCTCTAAGGTCACTCCTCATGAGAAGGACAGTGCGGATATGGACACGATGTCCACACAAGCCTATGTTTAGGCAAACCTTTAACTTATCTGATGTTCGTCTTCACCCATCACCAATAAATTCCTCAATCAGTCTTGGTTATGCTTCATGGACTATTGTGAGATTATGTGAAAAGCGCTAACCACATTAGGTCCATAAAACATTATCGCAACTTCAGGGCACAGGTCTCTTTGCGCTGTCATTTCACTTTGAAGGTTTTTCAGTGCAATCAATCCCAATTACAGCACTGCAACATACTGACCATTTATTTATTTTCCCACATAATTTGTACACTTTAATGCTCTGAAAAACCTTAAACTTGTTCAAGAAGTCCTTCGGTGAATGAGCGATGCATTTACATTAGGTCCCGCAGAGTTAAGATGCGGCACTTGAATTCTCCACGATAATTTGGCAATAATTACAAGGTTTTAATAGAACAGAAGAAGTAACACTAGTGTTTGGAGGACAGTAAAATGAAATTTATTTCTTATGAACAAGTCATTAACTTCACAAGCTCCGTGTGATGTGACTTGGGGTCACCTTGAGAATGACTTCGAGTCCTCAACAATACCCTAGGCCGTGAGAACTAAGCCTTGCAGATGAAAAATTAAAGCTGCGTAATAGAATAGGAAAACGTACTCATTTTGCTTCTGCATTCTAACCTAAGATCCAGGAAAAAGAAGTGTGAATCACCTATATAGGGTTACTGTGACTAGCGTAAGAGTGAAGTTTGAAATTCCCCATGAGAACCGTTGTCTTAACTACGCCGTTGAGGAATATTCTGATGGTCCTTAATGTGCTTACCTCGTATTTAATAGCATTAGAAGTTTACATAGGCGGCTTAACATTGAGCAGTAAATACGGAAGTTCACTCAAATGTGCCCTTTGTTACTTGTGTTTCGAGATTCGGTAAGCGACGCAGCCGATTGCATCCCAGGCTGCGTAATTTGCTTAATCCGGGAGGGGGGGGGGATTTTGGTGGATGGCATTATCCAACATTATTGACATTAAAATCAGAAAAAAGTACAACTAGCTCGATTTTGTGACTAAATACAAGAGTGACCTTGATTCATTCACCTCGGTAACATACAAACGGTCAACAGCAATTTCATTCGGACTATGTGACAGGTCTCATGGAGCATGTAGAAGGGGGAGGTGAAAACTTTGGCTCTGTCATTAATATCAACTAAATGACGCTGCAGTTCAGAATGATGAAACACGGCGTCATTTCTTCCGCCATACGCCCTAGCTCTAGGCCTCCAACTCACGCTTTGGACGTCGGTTAAGAGTGACTAGTCGCCACGCCATCTAACCACTCACACACTCATCTTCCTCCCCCTGCCACCTCATAGCGCGAGAAGAGAGGAGAATAAACTTTGCATTAAGTGATGACTTCCTCCTTCAATGCCCTCCATTCAGAGACATGGAAACGAGGGTACTTTCTGTATTCACCTGTCTTTTACTACATTTTCCATCTACTTTAAAAACTTAAAAGTGACAATGGACGCTTCTCAGCATCCAACGACTGACACCGAAAACATGTTCACGTACTGGAAGCAGACTTTATTTTGGCTCTTAGTAAATTATAAGACCACTGTGTTTCAAGGAGAAGGTTTTGTGATAAGCGGCAGTCTCAAGTGGCCTTATCATTAGCGTAGAGTGTTGATTTTGGGCAGTATCTTTCTCCTCTACCCGATAAACTTTTCTTTGTGAGTAAACTTCTGCCACTGGGCCACTTTAGGTGGTGGCACTTTGCCAAATTGCTGTGTGCTCCAACGCATGACTAAATATGCTGAAAGTGTCAATCATATAACTGCTACTTTATTGACAGTCCCCATTCATTAACGCTAATCCCCTGAACCCTTCTGATCTTGGCACCACATTTAAGTGTGCAGAAGCATTACTGCTTCAGTAACACGAAGACATTAAGCAGGTTCCGGTGAGCTTCTATTAGCACAGCACAATCTGAGATTGATACAGTAGGTCAACCTATCGGGTCATTCTTATAGTGAGCAGAAAACTTTTCAGCCAAAAAAACTACTCTCCCACGTACCACGTTTAGTGAACAAACCAATGGAAACGTTAATTTTTAGGTAAAAATAGGCGTGTTTTATTGTGTTGAGGAAAGTGACGTGGATGGTAATCTCCTTTTCATCACATAAAATAATGAATGCAACCATCCGAAGTTCAGGCCGCCTGAACTTCGTTAATATGGTCGTGAGCATTAGGCACAATTTTTTTGTGGCTTCCACTTAAACATAGTGAACAACCAACTTTGGACTATATCGCGGTACTCTAACATCAAACAGGCGGAATAGAATTAAAATAAAAAAATTTGAGGCTCTGAAAAACAAAAGGAGGCTTAGGTTTTCCTCACTTGCGAAAATGGATTGGGGGGGGGGGGCGGAGCTGAGGGGGTGTTAGAGCTAAAATAAGTCCCGACAAGGAAGTGGCTGGCAGAAAGTAGTTGGACGCAAAGACCACCCCCAAAATATTGTGTAAAGGGTCAATGATGCTGATCCCTTGTGTGGGGCCGTCGAACACATGCAAGTGTGTGTGTGCCACTCGAAGGATTTGATATTGCCGAAGCTCATATGCTAATCCACCCGTCATTCAACTAGTGCGTGCCATCCACACATGGAGGGAGCGCATTAGCATACAGGACCCTGGCAGTCGAAATTTGCATTTTAAATTTAGTTCTTAGGATTCAAAAGACAAAATGTGATCCAGTTTATAACATGATGGATAAATTTAACCTGGGAGTCTGACCGACTGCCAATGATATTGTAAGACTTTAAATACGTGTGGAATTGTAAACTAGAAATGAAATAAAATAAAAAATCAGAAGGCTAGATTGGGTTTTGTAAATCAGTAGGATGTGATAATAAGCAGCCCAAAGGTGGACGTTTTAACATAAAACAAGGTAGTTCTATTTATCCGCATGGTTGATCCTCTGGTCACAGATCACAGCTCGTGCACTTCAACAGATGCGAGTTGAGACACGACAAGATTGCTGAGATCCATAAAAGCACTCAATATAAGAAGATCCACACCAAACATTTTAATTAGTTTCATTCCTCCCATGGTAGGTAATCACCTCCAAATTGCGCTGAAAATGTGTTCAAGTAATTGCGTAGCCGTACACGAGCTTTGGCTTTCCGAACGCCAGAAGTGAGCAATTGTAGAGTTTTGACACCCACCAGGCCGCCAGCGAACGGGTTTCGCGTCTATAACATGCAGAAATTTAAAAAAATGCGTTTGAATTCACGAAAGTGCGCAGATTTTTCAAGTTATGGTCTAGAGAGCCTCACTTTTTCAAGAACTCAAGATAAGGGCGGTCGGATGACGGCGCAATGAATTTCACACATCACAAACTTATGGCTGAAACTTATGAATACGATGAATGAGGTGGAAGAAACACCCGACAAGTAAGTACAAATTTACCCAAAACTTGTGGTTACCAAGACACGGTCATATTTACCATTCCAACTTTTTATGCATTTAGAAGTAACTATTATGGTATACCGTCCCGATATGAAAACAAAAACAATCAGTTAAAATTCTTGTACTCATAGGCACTGATGCCACTAAATACACTAAGCTAGTACTCAATTCAAAAATTGGACTGCAACTAGTTTAAATGCTTTATTTGTCATTAGGTGATAAAATGATTTCTTCGATAAAATTGGAGTCGGTTTTGCAGTTATAGTACACCTTAACCATACAAGTAAGCCAATCTGCATTAGTTAAGTAAATAGAAATTACGGCCAATTCAAATTTTATGGGGAACAGGAGTGAAGTAGACTCCTATCCGCGAATCGACTATGCTTTTTGGGAATGCGTTCCACCAAGGAAAAATGCAAATATAAAAATTTAACATTAGGTATTTCTCATGGCAACTTACTTCACTTTTTTTACCAACCATCATTTTGTGCTAGGAAATGAGCCGAGGTGCATTTTCTTGCACCAGAAGAAAACTCTTTATAAGTATGCCATTTTAATAAAAGACGAGCTTTATATTCTTCAATTTTGTTTTTGTTTTCTCCTAAAAATGAAATAGCCTCTGAGCCATGTAAACATTAGGAAACCGGCAGTTAGTCTTTTGGGAGTGAGGCTCAGAGAAACTTCTGACACAGTGGATCTGTCGTGCCCAACACTTAATTTAGTCTAATCACGCTATAAACGACCTCCACACGCACTGGCCATGCAGCCCGTGTTACTGCTCTTGAACGGCCAAAAATCTGGGTTCTATTCACCATTTGATCTCCAAAATGAGGAATTCGGGTCTTAAAAACTCTCGATGGATAAATTTGTATACATTCAAAGGAGAAGTCCTCAATTATGCAACGTTTGGAAATATTTGACGTTAAAAGAGGATTGGGTTCCCCTACCTATAAATACTTCGTGTAAACCTAAGCAGCACGTTTTACCTTGATGCTTATTTGATTTTTTGAAATCAGTCAGCTCAACTTCCACATAACCTCGAAACTTTTGATTTCCATATAGTGTTGGGATTGAGGAACTACCAAATAGTAAGAAATGCTGAATAATCCTACAAAAACAAAGTAAGAATTTCGATCATAGTTGGCGCTTGACTCAGAGTCATTAATAGGCTTTTTCAGTTGTTACCGACAATAATAGTAAGGGAACAGATACTAGATATGGTACAAATGGATACTTCTATGAAACCGTATTGTATGAGAAAGCTAATGCAGTGACGACACCATGTGAAATAAATACGCTTTTTTTTCTTGAATGCTCCATTCACCTCGCATCTTTTGCCTTAAGAATCGGTGTGTATTTTGTTACCAATGTGTCGAAAATGAATCCTGCCTCAGTAGCACAATTCGTCCCACGATGATGGACAACCTTGGATTTTTGGAAAAATTCACTAGTCGGCTTTGGTCATCCAATGAAATTGTCTTGCACGCGCCTCGAACACTGTTTTGCGCTGCGTGACCAGTTGCGTCATCCTGTCAGCCTCTCCATTTGGCCAATCCGTGTACAATGCGCCTCTGTTCGGACACCGATTGGCCATCTGTTAGAAAATTTGAAAAGCGTAAATGACGAAATCTAGCTTATAAGTGCTAAATTAGGGAATTCCGGTTAAATCTGCCATAAAAAAATAACCGTACAGGCATTTTGTTAAAATTACGAATTCAGAGCACAAATTTTTGCTAAAATGAATTCACAGAGATTCACCTCATCTACATTCATTAAAAGTTCAGCAAGTGCCTAATATTTTACAAGTGTTTTAGCTGGAAAAGTGCCAGGTATGATAATTACTGTTGAGCTATTGGCTTTTGCGCAGTTTACGCCACTCTACAGTATTGAGTATACCGAACCATTAAGAAACTACGCATAGTTGGAAAAGTGGCAAAAACAACCCCTCTATACAAATTCTGTAACGCACCTTGTGGCAAAAAAACTATACTAGTCGAATGAAAGGGAGAACTTTGGGGAGACGCAAATACACGTTAGCAATAACCACATACACCCCTAAAGTCTGTTCAGAAGTGCAACTACCAAGGAGGAAGAGAATCGCAAAGTCGTTTCTTAACTAAATTTTACAGCCCTACACTGAAAAAGTACTATTTCATGGCTCCGATTGTTACAATATAAATGCATGCACCGTCGAGAGCCATTTACGGTGGAATAGTGCAGCCAGAAGCCTCTCCTGATTGACTAGACCACTGGCCAATCAGAGGGGCGCGCACACGCGCTTATACCTGAGCTCCACTCAGATGAGAGGGCACTTGATTTGTACACGCTGGCGGGTAAGCATGTTGGTTTGTGCCGTTTCTTTCCATGTCAAGAAAAGCGTTAGGCTATCTCTATCCATCTTTTTCATACCACTTTACTGTAATCTCTTAATTCGTTATTCTACCTTGGCTCGTGGTCTACGAGGTGACGTGTATCTGCATGCTGCTGCATGATCCCAATGCTGACTACTCATTCTATCTGCTTAGTGCTTGCATAATCATGAATTGTTTTTAAGACAACATTTTATACAAATTTTTGTGCGACCTATGGTTGCTATACAAATTTTTGTGCGACCTATGGTTGCAGCAGTGTTCGTATTTCGAAAATAAATTCATTGTCGTCTAGTAGCCACCTGTGTGTGGTATAACGTAAAAAGTGGTGTGTATTATTTCTTCCTACCTTATTTACAATTAATTGTGATTAAGGAGTGGAAATTATTCCCAAAAATCCCTTTAAATTCCCAATCACAGCAATGAAATAACCAGTTAAATGAGTGTTTTGTATCTGTTTATGTCTGCAATTGTACGTGGGATTTGAGTTGTCCCAGCATCTGCATTTAATGGCCGCGCACATTATGACCTTTTGCCAACTTTTCTTTTTTTTCGTTGCATACGCGCCTTCAATGTTTGTTCAGCTGAACTCTGCTCACCCGAAGGTCGGCGGCCTAGTGGTCGTCGCGAGTGGGCGTAACGCTCGGCATGTAGGCTTTACCACCTATTGATTATTGATTTTCGCAGTGCATTCTGTGGTCGATTCTAATGCAGCTTGCACCAAATGTGATTAATAAATCGATAATGAGGTAACGCACCCAAATACTGAAAACGAATGCCAAATAAGGCGCTTTTTCTCTCGTTTTGCATTTGTTTCACCACGACAATTGCCTAAAATCCTTTAGTTACCCCTGAAAGTTCTCCCTTTTTTACAGTAATCTAACAGTAGAACCTGAAAGTCCTCTCGGCGACATGATAGAATCGACATTCTTAGACTATCTCACCAAGTTTAAGGTGACGACCTATGCCGGAGTCGAGGATTTCGCAGACAAGTTCAACTTCATTTTCACGGTGATAGTTCTCTCCCTGTGCACCGTCATCATCACTGCGAAAAGCTACCTCCTGAAACCCATAGCCTGCTATATCTCCACCGAAGTTGGCGGAACCAACCTGCTCAACTATGTTGAAAACTACTGCTGGGTACAGGGAACAATCCCTATCTCCTATGCCAGCAAAATGCCCCAAAATGATGCCGAATGGGCGGAATTGGAGAATGTAAAAATACGTAGGTCTCACTATGTGCTTATCCAGTAATGCTTCGTGTTACCTAAAGAAGAAATAAGTCGCTCACTTTATCAGTTTTTCAATTAACTAACCTGGGATTATTTTTTTGATATAACATTTTGATGTATGGATGTTAAGTGCATATGGGCCCCATGGCTTCGGCTATTGTAAAAAGACGGGCATTTGATTGACATAAGATAGGAAAATCTAGAAAAACCAATGGATAAGCTCTTCATCAACAGCCGTAAAAGGACAAAATCATCTATTCCAATGTGCAAGCCCGGTAACATTTGGAGGTAAAGGTTATTTCAAGGCTTGGTGTGATACCAACTGATAAATTTTGGGTAGGTAATGTGGAAATATTTGCAATTATTTTTTCTCATTTATAAAGAACTAATTTAATGCAGGCGAAGATAAGGGAATTTGTTTTGAAAGCTCTTTACACTATCAACAAAATCAGTTGCGTTCTCATCATTGACAAAGTTAAGAGGATAAAGAAAGTTTTATTGATGAAATTGCATTGAATTTCCTGCACCTTCTGAAGAACCAGTATTAACCATGTCCTATACTTGCGAGTCCTGTTTTGGTAAATCATTTCTTATGCAAATCTTGGCTTCAATTTTCATCCCACGCTAAGCAATGCAAATATGATGTGGTCATTTGCTCCGCTTTCTTGAGTACGTGACTAAAAGTAATTTAATGAAAAGGTCCCCAGCAGTTACCCACACAAAGCAAACACTCGTCTGTTTCATAAGTTAAAATAAATAAAAGCACTTAAAAACAAAAATACTTGAAAGTCCTTCAATACTTGTACCTTGAAATCTCATAAGGATTCGAACATCACCGTCGACACTATTTTTACTATTGGGTTCAAAATATCACGCATAAGTTGTGGAAGCTTGATATCTCCAATGAACTCCTTAAGATTAAATAGTTGTACTTGAAATTATGCTGGATAAAGTCTTATCATTTTCGTGTTAAATGCTTTGTCAACTTTGAGTACGGAAGTGGGTTCTCTTGAATAACCCCGAGAGTAATTGACCGGCATGAGTATATGCTTTAAGTAGATTCACTTTCTTAAGTGAATTACAAAATATTCCAGCTGCCATAGGCGCAAAAGTAAAATATTGAGTCTCGACTCCATCTGTACCATCGGTAGTAAGAAAAAGAGGTTACTATATCAAATAGGTTGACCGCGATTTATGAGGCCGAGTGATTATAATTGAGGTTGCCTTAAGGTCACGCATTTAATATGGCTTTCAATCAAAGAAAAGTATGTCATTTCATTTGTTGCTCTGTAAGCATTATCCATATGGAAAAGGAGGGGAAGAACTACGTTTTTTACACGCCAGCCACACCGTTCAAACGGACAACTTGGTATGATTGTAAATAATCCCAAGACAACAAGTCTCACCGAACGCTTAATTCTACAGTTTACTACCAATGGGTTCCGTTTGTGTTGGGTCTCCAGTGCTGCCTCTTCTACACCCCGCGTCTTATCTGGCAGGCGATCTGCTACAATCGCACCGGGACTGATTTGGAGAACCTTGTCAATCAGGCTATGACGGCCATGCATAGCGACGAAAAGAGTCGCCAGAGCACCGTGGACAACATTGCAGAGGGCATCGAACACCTCCTCTTCCAAGTTGGCTTCCTTTTTACTTGCCTACCCTATCTCATTCTTGCGCCGGAAATTGCACAGTGAAAAGGGTATTAGGGCTCCACTGCCATCCTATCTATGTTCCTTTGAAATTTAAAGGTTATTACAGGTGGTGCGCTTAGTCAACGAAGCCAACAGAACAACAGGGACTAAAAGTTCCGTATCATTGCTTTGTGTGTGATAGCAACTACGACCTTTGGTCGCGTCCAGAAATGGCCCAAGTCGATACGGACATTTTTACTTTTGCATTAGATATAGGTACGAGGATCAAACTCTTTTCGGTTTCACAGGAAAGAATAGGTATCATTTCAAAACCACCTCGCATTCATTTCATAAATCGTATAATTGATTAGAAAATGTGATATTATCTCCAACATTGGCACATTTACCTGCAAAGGAAAGCTTACTACTTCTACTCATTCATCAGCCTTATCCTGCTACAGGGTCAGAAAAGAGCTATGCTGGATCGTGAAGCATCGAGGGGTAGTGGTCGAAGTGGCACGGACTCAGAAGGCGAGAAAATGTTGGACTACTCAAGCGAAAAGCATCACAGACGCAACCTTGCTGTCCAAAGCGCACGTCTTCGCATTTTGTCAAAGCGTCGTGGCAATTACATTGTACTGACATACTTGCTCATCAAAGTGCTTTACCTCGCCAACGCCGTAGGCCAGATGTTTTTGATGCAACACTTTCTGGGTTTTAACTCAACCTCGAGTCCACTCTTTGGAATTAGTGTACTCAAAAACATTATCAATGGTCACGACTGGCAAATGACACAGATATTCCCCCGTGTTGGCTTTTGCTATGCCGAGATGAAGATTCTTGGTGTTCGCGTGAACGGTGTGACCGCACAGTGTGCCCTGCCTGTAAATATGCTCAATGAAAAGCTCTATATCTTTCTTTGGTGGTGGATCCTGGCAGCGGCTATTATCACTGCTATCTATTTACTCCTCTGGATCGTTCGAATCTGCGCAAGATCACGTGAAGTAGACTACATTATTAAGTATATCAGATTCGCTGATGATGTTCCTCAATTCGATGAGCGCGATGTCGATGATTTCGCTCTCCGCTTCCTCCGTCACGATGGCATATTCCTCATTCGTATGGTTCGCATGAATGCCGGTGATGTTGTTGCAGCTGGGGTTGTAAACGCCCTCTGGAACCGATACCAACAACGCCTAGAGTCGAGGGACCGCGACCCCCTGACCAACAATCTACGCCCCAATATTGGTTGGTCTGCTGATCTCGAAAAGGGTGGAGACAATACCACTGTGAGAAACAGGGCACCCGAAATGGCTTCCACTGACTTAAAGGGTGCGCCTTACCCCCATCAACCTAGAAGTATTGTATAATTCATTATTTACTGCTATTCTAGGCGTATGTACACCCAAAAATATCATAAACGCTCAAACTTCACATTTGTTTTTCGGTTGTTAACGCGTTGATTGGACCGCAATGCTTTTTTTTAACATCTCTTTCTCCTGCACGACCGTGATTGCCTTGCCTTTTTGAGATCTGTTATTTTCGTAACGAGAAACTTTTAGTAAAATGTTTATTTAGAAGCTCTTCTTGAACTAACCCAAATAAATGAAAATGATTACTCAAAGTATTACTTGTGTTATTGTTTTCTTAATTCAAAGTAAGACAAGTGGCAAGTTTTAGCAAAGCGAGTGAGTCTTGCGAGGAGACTAAACTTTCACATTTCACCTGCTTGTGTGACTATCTCCCAGAGGTTGAGCAGTAAAGGGCGTCGAAGATAATACCTTCGCGACTCAGCCTTGGTCACGGCGGCAGCAATTGTTAGGCGCATGCATTTTATCGGGCTGACGTCTCCTGGAGTCGATTTTCTCCTCATCCTGGTGTCATGAAACGGTATTTGAGGACTTATAAAGCGTAGGTCTGAGACCAGCATCGAAATCACGACATCGCCATTGTGGTAGGGAGGTGGCTTGAAGGCAGAAATTCTGATTTCCATTACAGCTTAACGTAGTCAAGCAAAGCGTAATGCCCTGCAATTTTATGGTTTCTAGAATTCTAAGCTTTAGTACTGGGGACTACAGTAAGAGCTCCGTGTGCAATCCACCCATGGATTATTTTATAATCACTTCTATCAAAAATCCCGTCTCACCCTGCAAACTGTCCAATTGATCGATGTCGACGCATTATTCTCGTTACAATCTCAAGCCCTGACAGGCGCATGGTCTAAAGGGTCATTGTCACGCTGTTGGACGATGCACCCATACAGAAATGGACGATGACTGATGGCCCAGCGTCAGTGAAAAAAAGTAAGGCTGTCGGTGTCCTTTGGTTTTTTTTGTCGCAAAATTGGACCGAAGTCTCTGGACACGCTTGAAGCTGTGTCAAGCCACTCAGTTGAATTGAACTGTCATGGTTATTCGCCATACGCTACCTCTGCTGCAATGATTAAGGGGAATTACAAAGTAGAGAAATTGGTTCTCTAATTAAGACAAGAATACAGCACTTCACTTTCATATATTGCTAACAACTGAGGATGAATGAGTGGGCTAGGCTGGAGCTGTGTCCTGGATATTTCCATGACCCAAATCGACGAGCTTACACTCCCACAGTCACAGTAGCCTCAAGCCAACAGATGACTGCTGTGGTCACGCATGGCTGAAAAATCAACATCAATGCACTCTGACCTTAGCCAAGGGGGTGGGCAAAGCACGCATGCACCGTCTCAGAGCTGCGTCTGCGAGTCGTGAATGCGATTCACCCTTTCCACAGGACAAGTGCCACTGCAGCACTTGTGCGTGCGTGTGTGCTCCCATTGCGCCACTGCTGTAGTACCCCCTTTTATACTCCTTTAAATATAGCCTTAAAAATACAATTATCTGATAAGCATAGCAGTCACGCCATATTCATATTTATCATAAAAAACTAACGCCCCTACATTATAATTGAATGGAAAACAAATGTGTAGACAAGGCATAAAAGGGAATGGAGGCCAGGTAACACTTTACATCCATTCTGCTGAACACGGAGCCCTAAACTCGTTTTTCAAGACTGACTTTTCATGGTAAGGTGACCACACCCACGCTCTAGGAATAGTCGGGTGGATTGGAGACATGGAACAACACAACCATATCTACGAACTCGACTGCATTTGAGGGTCCGACGAAAATACACAAAGACTTTGTGCGCAGTGTGACACATTTGATGACTCACTCCGGTTCGGCCTGCTACTTCAACGAAGGTCGGAATTGGCGTTCGCGCACGTAGGTGCTGTGGTTGGGCCCGAGGTACAACAATCTCATCTGTTCGTGTAACTACGGCCATTCATGCGCGTGTACACGGAGATGATGGAACTTACATTTGGCAATTCGTCTTGTCCAAGCGTTTGCCACATGAGCGGGAGGAAAGAGAAGGGGGCCTGTGGGTACACATTACCATTGTCGTCAAATCATCACCAAGTGCAGAAATTGCTGATGAAAACAGTAAAACGTCTACTGAGCCGTCAGCAAAATTGGCCCACGATGGATCTGTGGAGGAGGCATCATTTCTTATTTGGACGCACGAAGCTTAAAATGTAAGATAGGGAAGAGTTATTGGAATTTGTCACCTAAATGGCAATGACTTTGGTGAGAGTTTGGGACAAGGTAGTGCTCGGTCACAGAGTACCGATTTTGGCTAACTCGGGGCAATTGTTTATTAAGCATTTTCAAGTCACAAACAGCAAAATAAGTTTTCACTTTTGTGGTGGGTGAATACGAAAAACAAAATATAAATGGCTACTTTCAGGGAGTTGCGGTTTACAACTCAGTATCTCTACTCTGTTGGCAGGACAAGTCGAGTAGATTTCCAGTTCCAACGGTTCTTGCACAAATAACTGTGTGAGCAAATTAGTGCCACCTTGCTAACTCATCAGTTTTGAGTAAATTCTACAGACGTATGGATGTGAGTAATGCGACGTGACTAACATGATGAGAAGAACAGTTTCTTTGTAGGCGCGGTTACTTAACCTCAGTTATCGTTATGGCAGGAGCAGGAGCCTCGCTATTGATTGCACGCCACCGTTTGATTGGAGGTGACAACGTGAGGTAAGAAGAGTTACACTAATGTCAACGCACCACATATTGGGCTGTTTAGGTTGCTAAATCGCGTCTTGTGATCCATGACACAATCTTACCGCAGACCATTTGCGTCTCAATTCAACTTTTTTCCCCTTTCACTTACAGTTTGCCACGACTCCGAAGACTATCGGGATGTGGTGGAGATTGTTTTAAACCTGTTAGTAAACCAAAAAAGGGGTTTTGCAAGACGTGTCCTAAAGTTGGACTATTGCGGCTTCGTAATTACTACTGATAGGCGTTGAATCAACCCAATCCCCGAGGAGTAGCATATAGAAATACGAAAGCCTTATAACGATTTAAGGGATTTGGTACTTATTATTCTGACTAAATTTGCCGCACAAAATCAACTTCGACGGTAGCATCTAACACACGGAACTAGTCTGTTTTATCGGAAAGTTTGCGGGGCATTGAAATATACAGACACCTCCGATCTAGTAATAAAGCGATCTAAAACACAAATCCTGCCATACTCAAGTCCAATTTTATCACACAATCTTTTGTGATGACCTCTTAACCAAATTGAAATTCGTCGCAAAATAGGCAGTCGTATCTCGCCTTCTATTTAGCTGAATTTTATGATCCCAGAGTCTAACAGGTACACAGGAAACCGAAGACTTATACATTTGATAGGAGTGAAGTACATATTCGGAAGCGTTTTTTTTCACGTGCGGCTTATGGATGAGCACTGGCATTCTGCATTCCAGTTCACCGACATCTAAATAAGCGAGAAAGAAATACGTAATCAAATTAAAGCTCGAGCCTCTGGCACGCCCTAGACGACACCCATCTATACTACGCTGAGGGTAAAATGACCCTTAACAGGTGCTGTGGTGGCTTGTATTATCATTTTAGATGAAGGTTTTGCTATTAAAAAAAATATAACCTTGGCGATGGTCCAAGCCAAGCTTAAGGAATTAGGGATCTTCAGCAAATAGTGGCTTCGACTCCATCGATTGCTTGACCCTAATCTGCAAAGGCTCTGAGAAACAAAAACAGTGAAACAATAAAGTTAGGCCCTAGTAGAATTTCAGTGGAGTCAAAATAATCCATGATAACTTGATAGAAGTGAGTAATAATTATGATAAACTACTGCGAATGCAAATTAACAAAGCAACAGCCACCGTTAAAATATCGGAAGTTTCAATTTGTGCACATTAGAAACGCAGTATGGATTGCATGTTGGGCTTCCTAATAAAGAAATAAGTAATGCAATAACATAAAGAGCTAACAATACAAATTTCTATGAGTAAGATCATGATTTGGGCGCCATGGTGATAGCCTATGTCAACGTATTCAAAATGGTGTCAAGTTCAGGTGGGTTAACATGATTTTCAAGCCAAATCACCGGCTTGCCTACATCCGGCCTTCACGGAGCGGTCTAAAGCGCTGGAACAATAGGAATCACATGGACATTGTCCAATTAGGGTTCGATATTTCCAACCAACCACCTCGCGACTCCTTAGCCGAGAGCGGCAATTGGTTAGTCAGTAAATTCTTCGAGCAATAGCGTCCGCTGTTCACTTCTCTGCACCCTGTGAGCGATGCGCCTTCTGAACACCGCTCAGCCATCAAGGTTCAGACATTTGTTTTAACATTCCGGTCGACTTGCGAAAGTTATCAATTCTACTCTCTTGCGTTTGTTAGCCTACAACCTTAAAATGATCCAACAACTCTTTATGGACTACGCATCCAAGATGCAGGTAGCCACCTATGTGGGTGTGGAGGATTTTGCTGACAGATTCAACTTCATTTTCACCGTCATAGTACTCCTCATCTGCACTGCCGTGGTTACTGTGAAGCAGTATATCCTGAAACCAATCTCGTGTTATATTTCCACTGATGTTGGTGGAAAGAATTTACTTGATTACGTGGAAAATTACTGCTGGGTCCAGGGCACCATTCCTATATCTTACTCCAATGACGTTCCAGAAACAGAAGATGACTGGAATAGGCTAGAGAGTCACAAAATATGTGAGTTTTTATCAAGTCTGCTCTTCACTTCATTCACAAACGAGATTAATTCATTGCTGAACCTCACTTTACCCGTACATCAAATCACACCGAAATTCTCACTCAGTAGGCTAGCAAAATGGCTCTCATTGTAAAGCATTTGAGTGTAATAAGTGTAAAGGTAGCAATTAGTATGCCTAAGATTTAATTCATTGAATGATCAAATAGTTTCGTGAACATTGAACTTTTGCTTTGTTTGCAAAATCTGGTTGTTAACACATGATGGAAATCAACCCAATTTTCTTTGCGGACTCTGAATGTTGTTATTAATATAATCCTAGACACTAGCCCTTTAAGTAATGTTCAAATTTCTTTAAAGTGTGTAAATTGAACGTTTGCACTGCGCATACACGCAAGCAAGGATTTTTCTTATCATACCCCTGCCTCTGTTAACGTTTCAAGCTCTGCTAATTATTTAGGTTGATACATTTCTTAAAATGAGAAATCTGCCCCACAGTTGAAGCTCAGTTTGTCCGCACACTAGCTCTTGGTGCTACCAAAACAAGTCTCAGCTACTTGGACACATGAGCAATCTACTAAGTGGTGTACAAAAATCACCTTTGCCTTAGATTTGGTACTTTCATAATAGGTACTTGAATTTAGGTTTATTTTGTGCATTTTGACGAGGACAAGAGTAATATACATCCAGACAACCACGATGATGGCCTGTACACAAAATTTGCTGCTTTTCGAGCGAAGATGTCTTTCACACAATGAGTGAGATTGTAGAATAGACTGAAACCGCAGATTAGGCTATTTGAACCACAGGTCGCACTGAATACGCCTGTTAGATTTGCATCCCACAAGCTCTTTCTGATACATTCTATTTGACCCACCATTACACCATGTCGATGAAGAAAGCCCCTTAGGGGTATGCGAATTTATGGTGTCGGCAAAGTATGCTATTCGGAGGTTTCCATTCAAATAACCAGAATTTTGGGATAAAAATATTCACTTAAAGAGGTGCGACATTTCTTTTGCATTATTTGGTGAATTATTTTCTGCCGACGAGATTGAAGTCGTGCTTTCCACGCCTTAGAGGTGCGTTAATGATAGTATTAGGGCGTTTATCTTGGTCAAGTGGCATACCCATCACAACATTGATGATGCATTGAATCGCCCAATCTCCATTGCAGCTTGCTAGTGGGAGTTTAATGCATTCAGATTAACTCCAAATAGGAGGTATTATGGTCCCCCGACCATGGGACTTCTATCTACCTCTATCTGTGTTTACATCGACGGCATTTACACACTTGTTATTATTACACGACACCAGCTGTGCAAATCTCCCAGCACGAGAAGGGAAATCCCATTTCATGAGGCACTTGTGTAACTCTAGGTGTAAGTTAATGTTACAGATCGAATAAACCGTCAAGTGAGCTCTTAAAGTGCCTTTCTCCATCATATGCAAAAAAGTTTTCCAGCTAACTTAACTGCGTGTGCCTATCATCGGTGTGCTCAGCTACAGGCACCAGAGGTTTTCCGCGCTAAGGACATGGGGGTGAGTGTTAATTGTCAAATACTCTTGTCCAGCATTTTTTGAGGATCAGTATTACAAGTTGTTACAATTTTCATTAAAAATTGTAAAAAAATTCACACTAAACAATACATCTAATTGTCTAAGGCGTGCTTAAACACACGGTGACCATTTTAGGAACTCACAATTGAGGTTTTTGAGGATAGGTGCCATGGAGATGTGTCCTTCCACATTGGCTCATAAAGTTTGATCAATTCGGTCAGCCATCAACTTGTATCAATTCAAGGTAGAAGAGCACCAAGTCGACATCTGTTGCTCAGTTTTAGTGCTTGAATATGCGCAGCTCACGTGTTGCTGGGTTCATCTTTGCTACTTAAGTTGACCTCAGAGGGTAGTGATGCGCATCTCAAATCAGCGTGCACCTGGGCCGCTCCGTGCGTATCTGGTCAAGACCACCAAAAACGTTGCAAAATATACAAGAACAAATATATTTATCATCGCTGAGATCTCTACTAAAACCAAGCTTTTGATAGCTAAATTTTCATAAGTTGGAAAAAATTGTACTCAATTACTACCCAATTGGATTCTTAATCAGCATCTGTTCTCTACCGGTTCTTTAACTATAGTTGTTTTGAAAAGCGTGCTTAATTGACACCGCTTCGGTCCGTGGATATCTCACTTCAAGCGAGGCAATTAGGCAGTGGACTTGGAGTTGAGCCAGAGTAAGGCGCGTATATGACTCCAAGGCTCAAAGATATGAAGTGTTGTCAGAAGAGCCTTTCTCGCAGCCTCTTTGTCACATGTGTTCACCCAACCCGAGGTTGTTTTTGCACTGGTTTTGTCATGCATAATCATTATAAGACATCTTGGAGGATGAAAAAAAGGTCTTATTTTCGCCAAGAAAAACACAAATGTCAGGCACATGTAGGTATTCGACGACGAACGCCATAGTGCATAAATTAGCGCTATGCAAACATGAGATTGCTGATTGACAAAATAAATCGCAATCAATTGTTGAGTCCTGTTATTACCTGGTGAACATTTCGCTCATTTTCCTAACATTTAAGTAAACAAACACTGCAAGATTACAATTTCCGTTTCAAATAAAACAAATAACAGTGTATTCCATTTACGTCTAGGATTTCCCCTTGTTCCGTGAATATTACTTGGGCATAGGATTCGAATCACTAAATTTTAACAAGTATTTTTTGGCATTGTAATTTCTATCATCATAAGGCGATCTATCTACTAAACTTCATGAGTAGTCAGGCCTTTTGATGGTGTACGCCCAATCCTTTCAGTGTATTACCAGTGGGTACCGTTCGTGTTGGGCCTGCAGTGCATACTTTTCTACATTCCACGGGTAATATGGCAGATAATCTGCTACAACCAAACCGGCACAGACCTGTACCACCTCATTTCAATGGCCAACGAGGCCTGCCACTCAAAGCCCGACAAGAGGGAGGAAATGGTGCAAAACTTGGCAAAATCCATTGAACGGCTTTTGTATCATGTAAGTGACCGGAGAGCATACTTACCCCTCTCAGCCTTCATGTAGATGTAAAAAAACTGTTGTGCGCTAATAACAGGTTTTTTGGTTTCTTTATTTCTCCACTGCAGTTGAATATCAGGATCACATTTTACTGCATTAAGATTTTGTAAGATTTATTCACTACCTTTCAGCGGTGTGCTATCAAGGTATCCCCCTCATACTTTGTCAGCATCGTCTGACATTGTGTATTACCCTAAAATTAATTGCTTTGTTGATTTCAAATTGCTAAAAGAAAAACTGATCTGAACATCTTCCGATCTAAATTTTGCCTAATGGGGCTGTTGGTGTTTTTGTTTCCTGCCATTTTTTATCCCCTGCACAAAAGTGCCCAACATCAATACGACCAAGCCCCTTCAATTCCATTGCCTTTCATTCTTGCCACGTTGCGTATGCCTCTTCTTTCAAAGCGGTGTCACTTTTGAACTTCCCGGCTCTTGTTTGAAATCCATTATATTAATCGAACTTTCCTTGCCAAATTTACGCTTTGATGAGTTGCCGTCAATTACTCAGTGCTTGCCATCGCAATAGAGTTTGGTGTTTTGTGCTGTGACGTTGTGGTGTTTTTGTACACTACCCTTAATCCGAGATATGCCTTTGCCGCTGCAACTCCCAGGAGGGTAAATCGAAACTCATATCCAAGAGAATGGGTCCTCTCGGAAGCAACACCTTCCTTCAGCAAGTATTTAAATACCGTACTACCTTGGTCGTTCCAACCTATCTCCTCATCAAACTTCTCTGTCTCGCCAACTCTCTGGCCCAACTCTTCCTCATGCAGATCTTCCTGGGCTTTAGAATCACCAAAGCACCCTACGGCCTGATTGTTCTATACGATCTCTTTGCGGGAAAGGATTGGCAGGCGACCCTTGCCTTCCCAAGGGTGGCTTTCTGCTACATTAAGGTGAAAAACCTAGGCGCCAGAGCCAATGCCATCACGGCTCAATGCGCACTCCCCGTGAACATGCTAAACGAGAGAATCTATGTGTTCCTCTGGTGGTGGATCCTCTGCGGCGGTTTTCTCACTCTCTGCAGCCTCGGCGCCTGGGTGGTGCACGTGATGTCGCGCGAATCCACGACCAGATACGTGGAGCGCCACCTCGATCTGCGCATCGATGATGCCGACCCCGAAGAGGAGCGGCTCTTCGTCACCAAGTTCATTCGCCAAGATGGGGTTTTCTTGCTAAGGATGATAGCTATCAACTCGGGAGAGATTGTGGCCGGTGATGTGATCGGTGTGCTTTGGCAGTTGTATAGAGATAAGCGGGGCCTCAAGACTCCCAATCGTTCCCTCTCATGCACCACAGCAAATAGAGTGGAACCACCTCAGATTGATGGAGGTCTAAGGCCACCATCCTCTGCTGAGAACAAAAAAGGGAATAATCTTGTGTGACAACACTGTTTTGGACACTGACACATGATTTAGTTTTTTAATGCCATCTTCCTTTTCTTGTTATAATGTTATTGCTTTGTTACTGCTGGTACTTGATGACTCACACATGTGGTGTATTTCCATGACTTCCACCTAGCAGTAGCGTTATCTCCGATAGTCTATATGGAATCCCGAGCTACATTTTGGCTGAAAAAGCGCTAAAGTATTCCGTGAAATTGCCGGTATTTCCACTCTACTGCGCGGCATAACCAAACCTGTGGACTGCTTAAATAAGAGTGCATTAGGGTGTCAATGTTTCCCAATAACTTCCTCAATTTTACTGATTGGTTAGTTGGCGTCACAATGACGTCACTGCAGTAAACCTGGGAAAGTATGAATCGAAGTTATTGATTAATGTGGGGACCTTGACAGGAGTGAGTCAGTAAGTTCAGTTAGGCCATTGTATGAGATGCAGGTCATTCCAATTTCCACATCTTATTTGCATGAGATTATTTGCCACGAGTCTTTGGTGCAAATGTAAGAATAAGTGGACTACGGATATAGTGGAACTTGTGGCAGCTTTGGTGGTGCGTTAAAATTCACCCGAAATCTCACCAATTCTCATTGTGAACGATCTTGGGCGGCAAGGATGACCGTATTGTGCTTCTTTTTACCTTCATGTCATGAGCATGCCTGCAAAAAGGTACTACTAATTATGCCGCCACGGGTACTGACACTTTGTTTCAGTCGTGGGACTGCCTTAAATAGCACGGGTTTTCCACCATAAATCACACTCAGCATTTTTTCACGAAAATCCCAATTCAGCAAGGATGTAAAACCGTTCATTATGCTGTAGTCAACTTAGCTCTTTAAGGCGTCTTGTTAATCAGTATTTCTATCACGAGGCTCAACGCCAAGGATTTTCTACATATCCACGTAAGTGCCTCCCTTTCACAATACGATGGCTTCGACTTTGAGTGTGTCATATTTTTTGAAGTCGCACAAAGATTGCATTATTTCACTCTGTTTTGTGCTCAACATAATCAGTGTGACCATTTCTGAAACACATCGTGTTTGATCGAAACGTCAAGAAGTCACCTTGTTGTAAAAATCCAAGCATCAATGACTATTTTAAAAATCGGAATTTGTCAACAAATACTAATGAAGAGAGTTGACAAGATTATGAGTTTCCACCATCTTACAGAAGGTCGATATTTCCTGAAAAGGTTTGCCCAATCATTGCACCTAGCATCGCGAAATTCGGACTGGAAAAGCTGCTCGGCTAAAACGAAAAGCCTTCAAATTTTGCTCTATCTTCTGCATTGGAAAACGCCTGGGCAATCGCCTTTTTGGAACGTATTTAATGATCAAGGCTCTCTACGTCCTTAACGCGGTGGGTCAAATCCAAATTCTGGAGTCCTTTATTGGACTCGATCGCAAGGCCTATAGTTATCTCGGAGTCACGATGACGAGGAATATCATTGATGGCAAGGACTGGCAGGTAGGTTTGCACTTTCTGCCTCTTGAATGATGTGAATCAATTGTTAGAAGTGCATGAAGACGGCAATTGTTAAGTTTGCGCTTTAACCAAGTCCATGAGAATAGAAATTATTAGCTTAATTCCCACACTTGAGAGGTGAAACTCTCCAAGATAAAAGGCAACCAGAAAAAAACTACGGTTATCTCCTCTTTACGCATCGTCAGAGAGGTGGCATAATAGAAATAGGATTTGAGCAAATCTCACACTTTTCTCTTTTGTTGCCTCAGGCAACGTTGAACTTTCCCCGTGTAGGATTTTGCGTGGTCCCCATTCGCCAGTTGGCCGGTCAGGTGTACGTGACAGCCCAGTGCGCTTTACCGGTGAACATGCTCAATGAGCGATTATACGTCTTCCTCTGGTACTGGTTTTTCCTCGGCGCTGTGGTGACCATCACCAGCGTGCCGCTGTGGCTCCTCCGCATGACCTATCAGCGCGGGCGCACACGTTTTGTGAAGCGCTACTTGCGTCTGAATGAGCTGTGCTCGCGCGAGGATAACATCATGGTGCAGAAGTTTTGCCAGCAGTTCTTGCGTCATGACGGCATCTTCCTTCTCCGGATGATGGCCATCAACTCGGGGAGCACCATCTGCGGTGAGGTGGTGCAGAAGCTCTGGTCCATCTACAAGACCAAGTACTACAATCAAGATTTTAATCATGCTGACAACGAGGTGGAGGAGGAAGCCAGCGAGAGCGACTTTCCAGGGGTCGTCGGTCGGCACCACACAACCATCCAACTGGACGCTGTGAAACCCTCCGCCCCACCTCCCTCTTCCTCCAGTGGCTACAGTGAGGACTTCGAGTTGAAGAAGCAGCCTATTTGAAATCGTATTAGCTTACCACCTCCTCCCATACACAAAACTCATGTGAATCAACCCCAACTTGCTACTCAAACAGATTGAGGTACATACATTTGGTACTTGAGCATTGTTTTCTTGCATTAAAAGCTAGCAGTTATAATCCCTATCTTGTTCCGACATTAATCACCTGAGTTGAAATGTTAATCAAGAAAAAGGATTTGCTAAATCTTACTCGGTTGTATTAATAGAGACAATAAGATTGACGCATTTTGCTTACACAATTGGGCCGAGTGAGGTCATTTCTGCGTGGATGCGCCTGCACGTTTACTTGGACCGCCCTCGCTACCAGTAATAATGAGCGGCAGTGTAAGGCGCGGTTCAAGCAGTGAAAGAGGGATACCGCCGCACTAGTTTTGGTTTACGAAAAACGGGTGCGGCTTCAGGAATGCCTCAAATCGCAGGTCAGCTAGCTCAATTTGAGTCAAGGCCTAGGGACTAACTTATCGGAGGCTCCAGAAGACAAAATTGCACAACAATTCACACAACTAGCCATTTGCGGATTCGACTATCGCAGACAACCTCGGTCCTGTATCAGTAATTCACACAAAGGCCAGGGAGCGAATAATCGAAGCAGCAGTGAATCTTTAAATATATTGAGTGGAACACTAGCCTCCCCTTGTCTCACCAAGACGCATAAAAGAGATGAGAAAATGTCTGCCAGGGTCAAAATCGCCAGTAAAGGCGAACATAGTTATATATGTACACATGCTTCAGGGGAAGAGAGAAGAGAAGTGAAGACAGAACAGGGTACCAGGACCAATACAATAATCACCCTCGTGTCTGAGCATTCTTGATCATCTCCAGACGCCGTCGGATGTCCATCAACTCATTTTGGGAAATTCCACCGCCGGCCGCGGGGTGGTCGCCCGGGCGACTAGTGATTGGGGCATTGGGTCCACCCTCACCCCGTCCTGGCGCCCCATCCTGAAACATTAGAAAGCATGCGGCTGCTCAGCGAAATTGGGCTTAACACAGCAAACTAGATGCCAAGAGCGATAAGATGACAGAGAATCGTCGGACTTTACTGAAACATGCTCGTGGATTATGAGTGTGGCAAGAAAAGGAATGGGTCACACGGAACGCCGCAATCTACCTGCGCAGTGGTTTCCATAACCGTGTTCCCGATGCCATAGGTCCCGGAGGAGAGTCGACCTTCTGCGTCCACATCCTGGCTGTTGTCGTCGCTGGCCCCGGACTCCAGGCCCAGCTCTTTACGCAGAGTGGCCAGACGATCCATGAAGAGTTTCGGGTTCACCGGCCGATGGGCCAACTCCTCCGCACAAAGGGGTGGCTATGGGGTAAAAGAGCCGTACAAATGCGAGTTAAGTATAAACAAATTAAATCGAATCTCATTTAAGAACATGGAACAGGTTTTGGGTAGATATTTTAAAGCATACCAAAGCAAAGGTTTAAGGGATCTTATACTATAAATCAAACGAAGTAGTCAAGAGAAATCCGTATAATTTGCGGCTAGATATCATCTAATGATGGATGTTGGAGACAAACAAGTCTGCGTGTAATGATATTGACTCTTCTGCTGTACGGCTTTTAACCAATTTCAAAGATCCGCTTAAATGTTGGAAAAGGCGAGGACCTTGACCGCGACAGAGCGCTTCATACTCTGTGATTTCTTTAATACAGCACTCAAGTAAATGGGGAGGTGAAAACAGAAACATTCACAGGGATAACGAAATGAACGTGAAGATGGTGTGAACAGACGTTGAAAGACCTACCAGCTTGTCGAAAACGTCAAGGGCCTCACTATTCCCACCACGCAGCACCTTGAATAGGCGCTCGCGCATTACATTTGCAAAGCCCTTGAAGGAGGGGGAAGTGGACATTAAAAATATGCGTGTAAATTAAAAATAAATTTTCAGCATAAACTCGGAAAGATACGTTTCATCGATACAACAACACATTCTGGAGTTTCGGACACATTGCCAAGGAGACAGGATAAAAATAATAGAGACATCCAGTGTGATGAAGGAGACGATACACTCCCGATCAAGAAGCTAACACCGACTGCAAAAAAACGCGAAGCAATAAATTTTTTTGCATCTACCAATTTGGATGGACATCACGAGATTAAAAAAGTCGTGCTATTTTCGATCATCAGAAGCGAATTAGTGTCAGGCCAGCGTATTTTGCTCTAGCAATTTCTAATCACAGCAAAGTCGTTAAAAAGATCTATCACTATACGGTTTGATGAGGCTTACGTGACGTGCGTGTGCACATGTATGAAAAATACGTGATAGGCAAACATAAAATCGATTTACGAAAGAAAAAATTTATTTAATACCGGTAACTCTGATTGAAGAAAATGTAAAGATTAACAGTAGATTAAAATGGATTGACGAGTATCACTCTCATCTCTTTAGGCAAACTGTAGCTTAAAAGAACCCATCTGGCTCGCTCAGACAACCTCACACAGGAAAAAAATTCAACTCACACAAACGATGAGGAGGGTAGAGGAGCCCCCCCTCCAAGTAGAGCCTACCTGTTTGTCGTTGACTCCATTGAGATTGCCGTTAGTAGTCTGCTTGGAATTTGCATGTGCGCGTCTGAGGCCCACATTGTAGAGAGCCTGACGGACGTACGTCTGGAAGAAGGGCGTTGAATCAACCAGGAAGGGCTGCAGATCCAGATCGGGATATGCCGCAGTAATGTCGTAAAGTTCTTCAATGTACTGCATCAAAGGAATGCATCCAAGATTTATACTGCACAGCCGGTACTTATTTTCAAATAGTAGAAGTAATAATCAAGGCAAACCAACCGATTCGTCTTTGGAGGCGAGAATGTTGGCAAACAGCGAAGTCAACTTTGCGTGGGTCTCCGGACTTATAACGGCCGACTAGAATTAAAACAAAACAGGACAAACATACATTCTGTCATGAAAAACAACACGTTGTTGAATATTCTATCACGCACCTTCGGAGAGGAGGCGAGTTGCTTCTGGCTTGTTTGGAGAGCCGGCGGCAACTTACCTCCATTTGCGTTGGCTAGGGATTTCAAGGTTCTTTTCATGTATGATTCCAGCTCTGACTCCTCCTAATACGCAAATCAGAGAAAAAGTGTACGTCGTGCGATACAAGAGTTTAGTTTGCTACTCTAAAATAATCGAGTTAGACACAGAAAGGAGTTGTGTAAAATTCCGTCAGTGGACGGTGTGCTGCAACACTCAATAAGGTAGATCACCGACAAGCGACCATTAATGGTAATAGCTGGTCAGAGGAGTAGCGGGTTGCATATTTAAGTGGGTCAAATCAATGTTAACTTAAGGCGTTTTTCAACAAAAGTGATTTGAAATGCCAAAGAAAGTTTCACAAGCTGGAGTAGTAGATAGACATCCATAATAAGCCTAAAAACTATCGCAACCCTACACAACCGCCCATTTACATCCCTGGATTCTGAGCACATGAGGCTAAAAGTGGTTAAATTGAGCATGGACTCCAATATACCTTATTTGGGATTAAGTCGACAAATTTAAGGATAGCAGGCCCTCGGATGCTGCAAAAAGAGTGAAGCATCGTTTTTATCGTGCGGAGGGGGAGGTCGGATTTTCGGGCCTTCCAGGAGGACGATGGGAAGGCCTTAAGGAAGTTGTGACAGTCCAGAAGAACGAGATCAAGCGAATAATTGTTAGCTGGAGTAGTAACAATAGAACGGTTAGGTAGGTGCAAATAGCAGTCTAAATTCCCCTTATAGATGAAATCTAAACTTATAAGGTAGGAAGAAACGAGAAGACAAAGGAAAGATGCAAAGACGATGGGAGAGATCCCTCTACTCTCCGGTTCATAAATACTGAAAGGGGTTAACTAGTCATGTCATCTAGTAAACTAATATTTGCATGATGATAAAATAACATCAGTGTATACGAATGAGACGTGCAACTAACCAGTATTTGGCAGAGCTTTAGTAATCTTCCAAAGGCTTCGGAGAACAACTTGGGTGAACCTGTTGTTGAAGTGGGAACCGCTCACACTCTCATGCAGCAACCGGATGAAGGCACTGAAAAGTAAATCAAAAGAAAACCGCTAATGAGGATTAACTTGGTCATGCCAAACCTAAATCAACCTACAAGCGTCATTTCGGTTGACGGTGATTTCATATAAGAATATATCGAAGATGTACGATAAGCGAAGAGAAAAGATAACCAAGGGATAAAGGTGTCAGCACTTTAAGTACCCTTAATGTACAAAGTGAAGAATTCAAAGGTGAACATTTGGGATGATGCGCCACATTAAAGTTTCTACTAACACCCACCTGTGTGAGACAAGCAGTCACATTAAATTACTTTGAAAACCGAAAAATTGCGATAAATGGGTGAAGTGGTGAAAAAAATAAGTATTTACAATAATATTTGAAATGCAAAGCAATTGTAGTCCAAAGGACCGCGCAATCGACCCAGGTGGAGGCGCAAATAATTGCTTCGTGCACAATGACTTAAAAAATTTCAGCGCAAGCATGGAGATTTTACCCAAAAATGGATGTGAGGAGGGCGATAAACTACCGATGAAGTTAACGGTGGTAAATATTAGCTAGAAATACCTCCACGTAAAAAGGAAAAGAAAACCCAACAGATTACTGCCTAAAATTCGAAGGAGGATTAGACGCATTTAAGCGATTGGTGTAATACTAGCATAACAAAAAATAACCCTTCTACACCGAGAAGGTAAATCGGGAATAGTTGCTCTCCAGCGCACAAGCGATAAAACAAGATCGTTGATTTATTGAAACCAACACAATGCAAAAAACATGGAAAAATGTTGCAAATAGGTGCCTTCTTACATCTAAAATAAGGGATGTCACCGTGGTGGTACTGCATGAGATGATAGGTGGAAAGATTCACCCAATACTAACATTCATTGCACACTTGGACCAGTCCAGACACCGCTAATCAGGCTGGCAACCAATAATGGCAACGTATACATGAAATAGCGTGTGACGATGAAACTTCCTCTGAACAAAGGTATGGATAACCCCTAGTTATTCGAACTTGCAGAGGACTTCAAGCACAGTACGCTGTTGGGACACAGACATGGTAAGACATTTGATGGAATGATATAGGCATTTCAAAGACGGCCGTAGGTCCGGCGGCGACTATCCCCAACGTGGTGTTTCTCAAACTACAGCAAAGCGGTCATTCCTGTGACCATTCAGCGCATGAAACATCTGATCCTGGGTAATTGTTACACAATCAGTCGTAAAATTGCTTCAGAGACGAGTCTTTCTGTGGAAACGGTGAAGAGGACAGTATTTCAACCTTAGTGCAAGCTGACTAGTTAAACATTGGGGTAGACGTATAAAAGCATAGAAAAATCGCGTCGAAAACTTTATCCACTCCTTTTAATGTTTTCTTTAGTTTTGCAGACCCAGAGGTTCCATTTTGAATTAAACATCCCTGATGCATGGGGTTCGTGTATAACTAACCCAAGAACACGAGTGCTGTTGGCCTCCAAAATGACACGCAAGGTGATGGCGTTAATAGCTCGCACAATTCCACTACCCTCGGGTAACTCGGAGGTCTTCTCGTGCACCATCAGATGAAGTGAGGCAAAAAGAAACTCCTTTAACGATTCCCGAGAGGCCTCTCGTGCCAGCAACGGACGTTTGAAAATCTGCACGACGAAAAAGAATAGCATCGACAATGAACAGCCTCTTTAGCACATCGTCCAAGCACGAAACATTTGAATTCTAGCCGAAAAAAAGGTTTAAGATTTCAAAATGTAGAAAAAGGAGGAGTTATTAAAAAACAATGAGACCCGATTGTGCAAGGTAGACAACAATGGTCATGGGATAATGAAAAGTAGGAAAAACAGGGGAATTGAACAAAACTATCGAAATTTGTGAAACGGCGAGAATTGAATACCACCTACCGATTCTGTGGTGACCAGCAGGCAGCGTAAGACAGTTGACAGATGGCTCTCGGGGATGGTAGGATCGTCAAAGAAACGAGAGTTTGTCTGCCGCAGTTGAATTGTTATGAGGGTGATGATTTGATTTATATGGCCGACTAGGAGTTGCCACTTGTCACCTAAGAATAAACCCCAGAAATGTTACAAAGGCTGGAAGTCAACAGGCGAAGTGTAAATTAAGTTACAGACATACTCTGCAACAGTGTGTCGATTTGGCTCAGAGCGTAGCAGCAGACGTTGAGATCATTGGAGGAGATTTGGGTAACCACCATTGTTATAGCCGAGGCAGCATCAGGGCTGGTTCGAAGAAGACAATTCAGCACTGTTTGCTTGTCCCGCGTTCTAATGAAGAGAAATGAGGCCAAATTGGATAAGAAGATGCGTTAGCCTTGATAAAAACTGGAAGCAGGTGATTCTGACACAAAAAGATGAAACAATGTCGTTCACTCACAATAAAAAACATGGCAACTTAGCATATACTAATTCCAAATTGGCAAAACAAGGGCTGACGATGGTTCCTACTTAATACGCCTCCATGCATTAGCTATAAACGACGTGTTTTAGAGCAGTTTTAACATTTTCAAAAATTACAAATTCAATTAGAGCTTTACAAAGTTGGGATGTAGTTTTTTGCTCAAGAGAGAAGCAAATTAAAATTCACACAGTTAAAGTTAACCCATGGCTTTCGCTGTGACGCACAGTGGTATACCTGAGAGTAGAAAAAACTAACAATGGAGCCTGTTGCTCAATTACAGGTAATGCAACAGGAAGTCCTGTTACGAAGTTACACCACTAAATAGGACTACCGATCGCATATGGGGCACGGATGGCCCAAATCAAAAACGAATGTGCTTCAGTCTTAAAATAATCAACCCAAGAGAAGATCAAGACAATAAAGCGAAGTGGAAGCGAAAAAAAGGCAAATAAAATTCTTTAAAGAGGGACATGGTGGAAGATAGAGAGCCCACCTGACCTAAAAGAATAATTGACTGGGCATGCAGTAAAACTAGTACACGAAAAGTGAGTGAGCTCGTGTCTGTGCGTGTGTGGGATTGTGTGGGAAAAAAGTGTGCTACGGATGTTCTAGTCAAACTGTTTCTCGTGTTTTTTAGGGAACAGATCACTCCAAACAAATATGACGGCATTTAAAGATACAATTAAAACTGTTTATAGGCCCAAGCGATCTTATTGATGCGTTGGGATACTTCCGTACCAAATTCTCGAATCGTTGGGCAAGTATGTTCAGCTATTCGTCTTTGATTTTGCGGAAACATCAAATTTCCTCTGATTTGTTGAAAATGCAATGAGACTAGTGGGAAGTAGACAATGAAGAAGTCATGAATGCACCTTAACACGGGCGACATAAAGGTGTGACACAACAGCATAAAAAGATGATGAAAGAAACAGTTTGTTTACCTAGTAAAAGGCGGTTTCAGTTCTCTCAAGCAAAAACGGATATTAGTAAAATCCTTCTGTTAGACGAATATGATATAGTCAAAAAGTAGAAAAAACACTTGCAAAATGGAATGCCGAACCTTGAAAAAAGTGCATACGGAATAATCTTTCTAGCTAAAAATAACACTAAATATGGGCAGATAAAAAGCAAGTGAAAGACCCACTCTACATGTAAAATTCACAAGAAAACCACCAAAATGTAGCAGTACTCATTTGGAGGAAAGGCATGAACCATAAAGAGTAACCAATTAAGCCTACTTGAGTTCGGGAATTTCGATAGGTTTGAAGAGTTCATTGATATCTCTGTCGAACTGGAGAAGGTTTGGCAGGGCGGGTGGGAGTTCGGGGTTGAGGTCACCCAGTCCACTAAGGATATGCTGTGCCCGAGCGTAAGCAATCGCATGCAGCGACTGAGGACCTCCCGCTCCGTATGGTTGCTGCTGTTGCTGCGATTGTTGCGCAACAACGGCTGAAGCGTATGCCTGCGTGTCCCTACACACAGAATTAGGCATTTGGTCGCAACACCCATCCGAAAGTTGCATTGTGTAGGATGTGGTCGAAGCCTTCATAGACTCACCTTCGATTGACTGGCCGTTCGGAAGCAGAACGTTTAGAGGACGTCGAGGTGGAAACCGCAGTGGCATGTCTTCCGGTTCGCTTAATACGTTCCTCCAACATTGACCGTTCCTTTTCGGGTAACTAAACAAACATATATTGGTTTCTCAAAGTGCTACAAAAAATATCCTTGCGATGGCAAAGCTTATTTTAAAATTTAAGCAAGCTCATTTCTAGAGGTACTGAATTCAGAAACCAGAAAAGTATAGGCTGGGCATCTCATGCGTACGATGGCTAATGTCAAGCGAAAAGACAAACATTGCACACTCTTACCATAATCAAGGATGTATGATACTTCAACCAGTATATAGCAGTTGGGAATAAATAACTAGTGAGCATGAGATGACAATCGTGTGTCCCATAGGAAATGGAAGAACGTAAATAAGGCGTCTATTCCATATCCATTGAATATTCACACCATTCAAGTCACTCAAACGGTTAGCAAGCTAAATACAGAAAAAATTTAATCGTGGTCGGTGGCCCTTAAAACCCAAAGGGTTATTGCTTGCATCAGGACGGTGCGAAAGCATGGGACGGCCTTTACCTGCCCGAGCATCTTCCAGAGCGGTTCGTCAACGATGGCGTAGGCGCAGACAAGGGCGTTGAGAGCGGCAGTGCGAACGCCGGAATCGCGGTCACTGATTTGCGCCGCCAGCACCTTTAGCGATGCCGCAGGCGAAGGTTGGCAGACGTTCAGACCGAAATGTTCAATCATGCTGCCAATCTCCTCCAAGCACTCTGCGAAAACACCATGAGCGTATACAAGCTTGAAGTCTCGATGGGTACCAAAAATCGCTACACAGCTGGTAAGTAAAGGTTTAGAATTCATGCCATGTGGAAAAGAGACGTGGGTTTGTGTAAAATGCTTGACAGCCAACAGAAGATTCACAACTAGGTTGTGCAGTAATATGACTTACCCTGTCGGGCCTTATTGACTTTGGACTTGAGACCACCGACCAAGTAGACGTATAACTTCTCAGGTGGATAGATGCTCGTAGTGACCCGAAAAATAGCCCTCACATCCTTGCGAATGTTCTCTTTTGAATCGCCCACCTTCATCACGAGGTAGGGCAGAAAGGCGGAGGCCTCGTACTCCGTCAGATGCTGTCCTGCGTCAGACATCCGACTAAATACTTTAAGAATGTATTCCAAACCTGAAATAGTAAAAAATCACCCATTTGACAAGGAGCTTAGGGAAATAAACGGTAGAGCGTGGAATAGACCTCGGGAGAGGAAGGCGGGGCTGGTTTCAAAGAAACGCAGGGTCATCCAGCGGAGGACGAGATCAAGGTTGGCACGAGTGGCAGCCTCACCATCCACGGCTGACCAGGCGCCGTCTAGTAGGCGAGTGAGGGTGTCCACAGCCTTGATATGCTGCTTGAAGTCTGTGTGGAAGAGGCACGCGTGGAGGTCTGGCGAGGCGCCAGCGGCTAAAAAGAGCGTGTTCAGTTGCTGCGTGTGATCCTTAGATGGCGTGTCGAAGTCCCACTTTAGCAGCTGTAAAGTGGGTGGAGAAACAGAAATAAGTGAAAAGAGGGAATATGCAACTATCCGCGAAAAAGCATTGGGGACAAAAATAAAACGAAAATAGGGTTAGCTAATCTAACCCAACACTGCCTAGCAGAAAATATAAAAATTAATGCTTAAAGTAGAAACCCGAACATAAATACGAACTACCACGAAAGTCATCTGACCGACACTTGTGTAGTCTTTCCAACGTAAATATGAAATCTTCGTAAATTATCCAAATCTTCTTATTTTTAAGCTACCAAGATAACGTTAGCTAAGAAATGAGGCGGTTTAGTAATTTCACACAGTGCAAACTCTACATAGTTGCACTGGATCTGATGGAGCACACAAAAAATGCCTAGATGGTAAACCAAAGTATGTTCAGAAGCACGATATGGCTGCTGGACAAAGCAACGATAGAAAAGAGGCAGATCATCCTTTTGAACGTACGAATGTGTGATACACGAATCGGTACATCCTGACGATTTCACATAGGCGAGTGAAATTGGCATACAATGTTCCATGCAAAAGATATACAAATGACTAGAGGCTATAGCATTACAAAGATGCGGAATACAAACGATAAGCTGGCAAATACGTTAAACAAATATCTGCTAAAATAACCATGATACCTTTTTTAATAACAAACATCTTTGCTAACAACACAAACACAGACTCCCCTACTTACTCTCAGATACTCGGACAACGACAATTATTTATAGCGGAAACACGAATGCCAAGACGTGAGACGCACCCTTCGTTTCTTTTCATCAAGCATTCGAGTTTCACGGAGTTTGTTCACTTGGAGGGGGATAACGGCCGCCGCCTCCTCGGCCTGTTCTAGAGCAGCCGCGCGCTTCGAAGTCATGGCAGGTTTTTTGGTCGTAACCTTCTTTCCCGCGGGCTTCACAGTAGATGCCATTGACGTCTCCTCGTCCACATCAGGCATCGTTGCATTGTCTGGAAGTAGAGGGAGGAAGGGCTACACTTATATCGAACTGCGAGAAAATGATTGAAGTTAAATCCCACAATTGCATTAAATTGGATCTTAGCAGTAAAAAATCCAAAATTCATACCGCATGAAAATTCAAAACTAAAATGCGTACCTGGAACAGTGTAAATATTTTCAAAGAAAAATATTTATCGAGTTTTGAAAAGTACGGAATGATCAAAAAAACTTCGAAAAATAACATTCATACTCACAAGTAAAACTAACTGCCACCAATATTTGATGGGCAAATAATTAAGTAAGGGACAGGACAAACGATAATAAAGAGAACAAACCTGAGAGGGTGACGGGTTCGGGAACCACCTCCTCAGACGTGGATGGCTGCGATAGAGCCTCCTTTTTCCCTCCACCACCTCGTATCGCCTTGGGAGCCTCTGGGGGAGGGTTGGCGGCGTCCTCGGCGGTCACCTGCTCTCTGGCCTTCTCCAGCAGAGGAGTAACGGCGTCCATGGAGGTGGCCTTGAGGCGTTTCAGTGCCTTCTGCATGACATCGTAGCCGAGGGAGCGGATGAGGATGGGGAGGATTTTGTGAGCACGCTGACGTGCGTCGGGATTGCGTTCCTCGCACACTGCGTAGACTGCAAGAGCGAGGTTGAGCCCAAAGTCAGGTGCGAGGCCCGACGCATTTGCTGCCTTGCCACTCAGCTGCAAGCCGGCCATTGCAGTCGTCAGCCATCCGAGCAGCTCCGCGCGCAAAAAGGGATTCTCCGCCTAGAATTAACAGATCCATACTTGTGATAGTACAATGGGACGGCTAGAACTAGATCTGAGGGACCAAGTAAAGCAAAATATTTCCATTTTGGTAATGGCATTGGCGAAGCCAAGAAATGCACTCAGGCACACGCCTGCTCACGTGCATTAGATTAAGGAAAGTAAGAAGAGCATTAAATAAAGGCCATGGGAAATTACAGATAAGATTTGAGTTATATAGAAATGCAAACGATGGTGAGTCACTAAAGGCATCGTGACTTGCCCACCAATACACAGCAGTGCTTCACAAGTCACGCTGGTTATGGAAAATTTCCGAAGAATTTGAGATGCAATTTGCACAAGGAGGTATACGTTAAAGCATTAAAACTTTTAACTAACTATCCAGCAATGCGAACTATAGCTTAATTAAATAGCGAACGAGTAGAGAAAGAGCACGATCCCAGTTCAGACAGAGATAGCAAACAATCCAATAATGTCACATTCCTGAAGGAAGACGTTTGAATTTGGGCCAAAAGTATCAGACACACTAATGCAAGCTTTCGAATGAACTGAACAAGCTTAACCTTAATAGTCTAAACACAACACTTCGAGGTCACTTATCAGTACCCACAATCGAAAGACCACTCGAGTGTATTTCGACAGTCACCCTTAAATGGGGAGCTTCTCAACTTACATTTTAGGCAGCTACATTGTTCTATGAGTTTATTTTACAAAATTCACATGTTTTAATACATCAATAAGTAAAGTACGATTTAATGTGAACTCCCAAACTACCCGAGTAGAGTGTCTGAACTTCATCGCATGAACAGTAGGATCTAGCTACTATTCACCTCAACAGCCCAGTGGAAGTCAATGTAGCCCCGATGGTATCGCATTGTGAGACACTATTCTCACATGCATTGTAGAATACGGGGACGTTAGAGCATAGGCAATAACATCAAGCAGGGACTAGACGTACGCAAAAACAAAGGTGTATTAAACTCACCCTCAGAGCTTCAGACAGCATGTCGTTTTCTGTCATTGGTATAAATCCACAGCGCTCCTTCCAAGCGCTCAAGGCGGCGACAGCGGCTTCGCGAACAACTGGTTTCGAGTCGCCAAAACAGGCCAAAATGGACGGTTCAACGCACCTGAAAGGATAATAGAACGATAAACAGGCTGATTATCCTTCACGTGAACTGGAAAAAGTAAGTGTCAATGCGCTCAATAATGATACCTATTTGTTGTACAGTAGGATCGATTGACAATTCCTATATCTGTAAGCACACAAGTAAATGAGCCAGAAACAATGCCAGTCGCAAGTTAAAGGTAAAGAAATATAGCTGATTAAAGTGGTCCTTCGGGCATACAGAGTCCCGAAACTAAGAAAAGAGCTTTAGAGATTTCACAGCTCAATGTAAAAACGAAATCGACAACATAATTTTTAATTTTAAACGGTGCAACTAAAAGCAGAATGAAGAGAAAAAAAAGCTTACTTAACAAGTTTTCTGGCGTCAGCCTTTGAAAAGGCCTTTGCAAATGCTTCCATCAGGCCAAGAGTAGTCTTGCCCAAGATCTTGTTGACATCAGTGCAAACTTTAGCGATGACAGTAAGCGGCTCCTGCATTTCATAACCACCCGCAATGAGAGGATTGCCCTTCAGCAATTCCTCTATTTGACTCAAGCCCTCCTTTCGCTCCTTCCAGTTCTTGCTTGAAAGGAGGGACAGCAATTCACCACTTAACCTTTCACTAAAACGAGAAAAACGTACTTTAGCATTCCTACACAGTCGATAGCTGTGAAGGTAAACCGTTGATAAGCGTTAGATGAGTACAATTTATTTCAATAATTTCACTTCAACCCTTTAAATGATCCTTTACGTTGTAAGTTCTACGGCTTACGAAGCCTCGACCAAAAAAACGAAGCCATTTTCCTTATGATACAAGAAGCTTATTCTACAGAAAAACAAGTACCCGCAAATTCAAGTGTTCAATAGTAGGCGATAAACACAAGGAACTGAAATCACAGAAAAAAAATATATTGGAGTGCTATGGGAATGTGCAATCGAGCATTAGGTACAAAAGGGGATGAGGCACGATGAATAGGAGCAAAGTGAAAGGGGTTAAACTGAACGTGAGCCTGTATTGGTAAATGATCAAACGATCTGAAAGAAGTAAATCCTTAAAAATCCTCCACGTCAACAGAGGATCGTAAAGCGATATTGTTTTCGGTTAAAATGGACAAATCCTAAGACTAATACATGCAGTGCAATCATCTAAGAACCATTGATACCATGGGACGTCCATCATTCAACGAGGTGCTACTGCAAACCCCTTACATTAACGCACGCACCTGATGTTAGTTCTGTCAACAAGCTCTTCATGTTCTGGGGATGCTTCAAGCTCTGCCCTGGCCTCCGCCTGGCCATCAGCTCCACCACTAGCAGGAGCAGAGCTCTTCTTGACCACTCGAAGACCACGTGTGGGAGCAGGAGGCTTGGAGTCGCTGAGTTTGGCCCACTCCTCCTCCATCAATGCGATAATTGCGGGCTTCTCGTCCGCAAGGAGGGTTCGCAGAGTCGCGCCCATGTACATGTAAAGTACGCCTGAGAGATGGATGCAGGACTGACGAACATACATGTTGGTTGCGCTCAAACCTGTCTTCAGGAAGTCCACCGTTTGTTTTGCATTCAGTCTACACAGAGCATGCACGGTACATTCGCATACATTGCCGATTGCACGTCAATTAATCAGTTTGAAGATTGAAGAGAGCTGGTGGAGTAGGGCTTACAATAAGTAAGGTTATTTCACCACAGATAACTAATTCCACTTTCAGTATTTGCAAAATTTGTGAAAAGAGAATGTGCATCAAGGATAAATGGAGTATGCAAGGGTAAATTTTGCTAACCCATTTACGAATTCCAATAATGGATTTTCACAGTGGCTGACTTCGAAATAGGAAAGCTCACAAACAGAAACCGAGCGTGGCATTGAGTTTCGGTTTAATTGGGAGTTTAACGGGTGTAAGTAATGTGTAGATGAATGTTATAGTTTGAAAAATGGTACAATATCAAACGACTATAGCGGGTTCAAAAACCTGCAGAGGTCTTACTTGAAACCAAACTCCTTAATCGCACTAGAAAGCCAGTTGAGTGCTTCGATTTGATTCTTAGGGCTCTTTTGGTGGAAGGCTGCATTTAAGACCTGTGTGCCGACAATCTCGAAGGTTGTCGCCTCCGCAAGAGCCGTGAAGGCCTGCTTTACTGTCTCACCGACTTTGGAGTCGCCGACTTTTTCAATAAGTTCCGGCAACAAGAGGTCGACCAATACCTCGCTGACAGGCTTCCTAGCCAACAAAATCTCCGTTATCACTTCCACCTTCATTCGCAGGACCTGTGTGCAGAAGCAATCTACGCTGGAGAAGTATATTTATCACATTTCAACATGACAGAATATGGGAAGTACAGAGACCTTATAATACATAAAAGGCAGAAAACAGCTTGAACCATTCTATGAAAACAACCCGTAGAAAAATCTCCTATTACAAAACCCGTTACAATCAAAATCAAGTGCTCCCAGTTACAATAAATAAATAAATTAAAGACTACGAGCCTCCGGAAACAAAAAGGTGGTTAGTTAAAATGTGCTGCATAAAAGCTCGAACAGAAAAGGTTCCCGACAGTAAGATGAATGAAATTACCTGAAAGTTATTATCTTTGAGACCTGGTTTGCGCATCATCAATCGACAAACAAGTTGACAGGAAAGTGACGAGTCCGCAGCAAGGATCTTCGCTTGAGTTACTTCCATGGCAGCAAGTCGCTCCTTCCACATAGCAGAAGCCAACTCGGTCAGCAGTGCCTCACCGAAAAATCTGGAAATCGACATATGAGGATAAGATGACATCCATTTAGAGGACTCCCACAGGAAACAAATCGGCGGTTGCAAGGTGTCGGCTGACAAACCACCGCCGGGCCACTAGATCATTAGCTTCAAATTAAGGTGATAGTGAATAAAAGGAGTAATGGTTACTCAGTCAATTGTGGCTCAATAGAGTCATCGGCAATCAGCTGTTCCTTGGGCAGGTCGTTGCCACCGGCCAGAGGCTTCGACTTCGCTCCACCCGCAGCAGTCGTAGTCAGTTTGGCTGTGGCCACTGCTGTGGCTGCAGAAGCTGGCTTCCCCTTTACCACCTTGAATTGTGGTTTAGAGGTCCCAACAACACCACTCCCTCCACCACCGCCTCCCGTCGTGCCAGCTATGATGGACAGTGAACTCAAAATCAAAGATAAGTACACTAACAGGAATAGAATTGGGAAGTGAACAGACAAGATTTACCCTCTTTCCTCTCTTCAACCGCTTTCTCATAAAATTCCTTGATTCGGCTTAATCGTATACTGTCTATGTCAGCAAGGAAGGGCATAATATTCTTCTCTGTGACGACAAACATGGCTGTGCCAAGAGCGGAAAAACTGGCTTCACGGACCTCCATGGTTGTATCGGTGGAGCATTTGATCAGCGGTCCAATGAATGTCTTCAACAACTTTTTGTTTAGAGTTGTGACGGTCATGTTGGCGAAGGCACGGCCTACATAAAGACAAGTTTCAGCGCGCACGCTGGGAACTTTATTAGAGGTAGCTGCAATCACATCCTCTTGAACAGCATCCAAGGTGGTCTAAACAGGGGAAAATGGAATAGTAGCCCAGAATTGGTAAAATGAGACTTGAGGAACACGCACGTACGACTTTGAGAGCAGAATCAGCAGCACTCCGAATGGCACTGAGAATAGTCGGCTTTTTTTCTTTGAACTTCTCCAAGCAAACTTTGATGGTCTCGGAAGAATAGGGCTGGAAATCTTTTCGTAAACCATTAGCAATTTGAGTGACAATTTTGGCACATTGACCGACAAGTATGGCATTAGTGTCCTTTGCGATTACTTTTATGAGAGCTTTCATCAGTTCCCCGTAATCACCCGGTGCCAAACGAATAGTATCAGAGAGATTTTCGACTAGGCTTAGAGCTTCCTTACGATCCTGCCACTTTTTGGCTTCCTAACAAAGTACACATATATAAAAGCAAAGAATTACTATTTGCTCAAAGAAATCACTTGGTAATTTTGAGAGAATATTGATGGGATCAGCCAGTTCGTAGGAATCTAGCTCAGCATCGACGACGTCTTCACCGTCGTTAAAAGCAGGATTTTCTGTTGCCGCTGCATTATTGTTTTGCTGAGGCAAATCTTTCGGTTTCTGACTTTTCAAGTATCTAGTGGGCACTGGCTTTTGGCCAGAACACTTAGCGAACTCATTTTCAAGTTCTGTCAGCTAAAGTACTACATCACGGAAAAAAAGGAAGCATACCTGCACAGGTTTGAGACTAGACAACTGGATTTTGATCGGTGCTCCTACCCATCGAAACATTTCTACGACTAACTCCTTGCTTTCGTTTCGAATATTTGGATCCCGGTCTTCCAACAACCTCAGAGTATCCTTTAGCATTAACTTAATGGAAATAATTTTTGGCCCGAAAAGCCTATTCATTGCGCATAAGTCAGGTCAATGAAAGAACATACGACAGGGCTGTCCGAAGAGTCTGGAGGCAACCCACCACAACTTTTGGTTGCTTAACTGAAAGACCTTTGATTACTTCCTCAAGAACAACATCTGTTTTTTCCAGTTCAATGTAATAGAGAAGAATTTCTGCCCCCCTTTCTTTGGTTTTGGGACGAGAGGCATTCATACATTTACTTACTATACCAGCACACACATCAGGGGCAGCACTACGAATGGACTAAGTTCAAAGTACATAAACATACCGAGGAGCGATAGCTGCATTTTCTACAAACGCTAAGACCACATCAAGAGCTTTCTCTTGAGCAAATGCATTGCTATCAGTGACCATCTTCTTCAATAACCCAACATAGTCCCCAAACACATAGCTTTTTTCTGAAGACTGTGTTTGGAACAATTTGATAGCTTCATCGTAGCCCGCCATTCGCGCTTTCCATTGCTAGAAAAATAGGAACACTTAGGAAGAAAATTGCCTTATGCTCGATTTTGTCAATCGTAGACAGCTTGACCCATTCGGAATCGTCAGACATCTCAGAAGTCGAATGACTGATTATTAATGGCCCACCTCCAAAGGGCAAATCTGTAAAGTACTAAAATACCCGGTCTGCCGAAATTTGATTGGTTAATGTATGGATTTTGAAAAGTCATCGCAGTAATTATTTGAAGTGCTTGACAAAAAAGGGTGCCTTTAATCATATTCTACATTGAATAAGACCAGCTACAATGCGAAATAGAAAAACAAGTGTGCTTTTATTTAACTACGCAATGATTTGCAAACATACTGAGCGTAACTCCCGAACGCCTGAGACTATTTACTTATAACTAGATAGCATAGTAATTAATTTTAAAAAAACTATGTTACCCAGAGCCACATCCCTTAACGAAAAATGCAATGCAAAAAATATGTTGTTCCTGTACCTTTTAGGAACGATGTGGAGAGGAGAGTAGAGCCAAGTAATGAAGGACTGGCCAGACCCTCCAAGGCAAAGAGGAACTCGATCGTTCAACTTCCTTAGCTTACGTTACTTCTCAGTGGCTCTGTAGAATAAATATATTTTAATTAAATTGGCCCCTTTGTTCAAGGGTTGTGAGGGCCAAGGCGGAAAAATGAAAGAGTAATGCACTGCAGAAGCAATCTCCTACCTTCAAAAAAATGGCGCACATCAAAAACAACTTTGTTTTTTACTCACTAATGTTTATATGCAATTACCGAGGGTGAACGCGTCTATGTGTGGTATATGATCATTTGTAGGTGACTTTATTCAAAAAGGCTGCATATTATAAAATCTGTGGTTTATTATATTTACAAGTTCATGGCACTTTGCAGCTGCCTCAGTTTGAACTTGAAAGAATGGAGTGTTAGCACGGACATGAATTTTCTTACAGAAGTGAGCGAAAAATAAAACTTCAACCTTTGAATCCGTTACACTTTTCAATTTTTTTGAAAACATCTCAATTTAGATAATTTCGTCAATTAGAGATGACCTTGATTTATTCGCACAAACTGCACCGGGCTTGTCAAATATACATTGGTAATTGTATCTGTTATCGTGAAGGCGTGTGTGATCAGCGTAGGTACATATAATAATTTCTTTAAAAACCGTTGCGACAGCCTCCACAAGTTCTGTTGATTTTAAGGTTAGGTTCTACAATGTAAAGCCAAAACAACGTTTTTAAGTGTCTTTTTTTAAAGTTCAACTAATTGCCTATCAAGTACATTTGCCTTAACTAAGGCTGTTCATTCAATAAGTGCTTTACCCATGACCTGAACAAAATCCGCTTGCGACGTTGTGATTTGATGTTTTTTGTCGCGTTTTTAACGTAGTGGTTTTACAATTATGTTTTTGGTGCATCATTTTTGGGCCACCGATCTCCAATTTTGCTAGCAATCTTGCTTAAGAATATTAGTAACTGATATTTTAGTATTTAACGAAAATTACATGTAGCAAAAAGATCTACTTGAGCCAAAATATGTGACGTTTTAGTGTGAAATATAGTTGATGTTGCATATATGCTTTAATGTTTTGAGTTGTCAATTTTTTAACTGTTAACGTACCTTTATAAGGTCTTGCTGAGACTTGCTTCCGGAATTCCGTTTTAATGTTATTTGCTTCTGAATATAGGCCATGAGCAATAATTTTCAAGTAGATGAATTTCTCGCAGACTTTAATGTGGACGTCTTCCAAAGTGCTGATTTTAATAACGAAGACAGTAAAAACTCGGATACTGAGAGCGATTTTTCGAGTAAATTAAGTACTGGGTTTAAATGATCGCAATTTTTAGATCATGATTTGCCTTTTCTCGGAGAAGGCGACATCTTTACAGTTGGGAATACTTTCCATCTCGGTGTGCCTGTTGAAGTGAATTTGATTCGGGCACACTTTCCTATAAATCTTTCGCAGGATTTTCACGCCACTGAACTAAGAAAACATGTGCGATCCACTGACGCTAGAAATTTTCTACCTTTGCGGTGGGTGAAATGGTTGCTTAGACTAATCTACATTACATCATAGATATGAGATTCAGGTGCGTTACGGACCCTACAGCTGGAAAATAATGCGGACGCAGGAGGAGCTGCGCGAGCTTAATCGAGCTATTTGGATTGCGTGGTCAGTGATTAAAGTAAAACGATTAAAGTAAAGTTTTTATAACTTCAGTAACATAATAAAATTATAGAAATAAGTTTAGGCGACCCAATACAGGTTGCATGCGAGAGCCAAGACCAAAAATTGATGAGGACGGTAAGGGGATTAATGTAAAGACCATATTTTTTGTTTTATAAAATTCGAAGGAAAAAGTAGAAGACTATTTGGAAACCGTGATTAATCATTGCGAGGTTCAACGTCTTGATTGTGTGGTAAGCGTTGTAGATTTTCTTTACTTCTAAATTTTGGCTGAGTAGCTGTGCTACCTCCATCTAAGACATGGCCACACTACTACTTACAATTTTAGGCTATAGCCAAAAGACAGATTTACGATGCACCAAAATTAAAAAAAGGTACGAAATATTTAATGAACTAAACTTGACTAGCATCCTTTCCACCAATACTTGAAGGCGCGTTTGGTCGTTAATTACTATATTGTTTCACCAATGCTATGTAAAACACTATTGGAGCCCCAGATAATTTGAGAACACTTTTTGTAGTTGAGCGTAATCGGTTTCATGAGAAGCACATTTTTTCGTCGAAAAAGTCTACTTTTAAGTTTTTTGTTTTCACAGGTGTGGAAGCGTCTAGTTTTGTGGACCTTTTGGAAATGCTATTATCAGTAACAAGAATTTTCCTATTTTAGCTAAGCTTCTTTGAAATATCGCCTTTAACATTCTGCACCCAATTGGGAACATCGAAATTCAAAGAGGGTAAGATCCAGATACGGTCAAAAGGAAGGATTCCCTTAGCTATTAAGAGCGACAAGTTTTGGAAGAGAAGGTAGGCATGGAGGAACTACTTGCTATCGCATTTTCTCTTGCAAGTGCATTCTTTAAACATAGCGTTAAAAACCTTGAATTTCAGCTCAAAAGGTCCTACATTTAAAAGATTTTTGTAGTAGTAAGTCTGTTTCCATGCCAAAACTGATGACACCGTGGGAGCATGAGCATGTGGGCTTGAAAAGTGTGTAATGGTTTTGAGGGGTGGAGACAGCTGCCATCAGCCAACCAGGATACCCAACGATATATGTGAGTGCCTTTGTAGTGTGGAAAGCACTCAAATAGTTACGCGCGTAGATAAAATCCACAGGTGACAGTTGGGAAGAGATGAGAAAAAGTGATTTTAATCGTACTGACTAAAAGTATGAAGCTGAGTTCAGTGCCCATCTGAACCCCATGCCATTTTTGGACACATGTTACAAGCACGACCCAAAAAAGCAAATGAAGCTGTTTGAAGCTTATATGAGTCAGCAAAACTCGCTTTCTCCACAATTTAAAAAATCTAGTCGCACTTATTTTAAAAAAAGATAAAGATTGAATGACTTAATGTGGGATATAGGGGCCAAACCATGTAGCATATGTGTTCGTTCGAAATAAGCTATTACGCGGTGGTACTGCGCCTCATTTTCTACCACAGTGGTGCTATCAGTACACGATTTTATTTGCTGTTTTTGAAAGGGGCACTCAACAGCCTTTTTTACAAGGTAAAATAAAGCAACTCCTTCAAATATTTAAATATCCAGGTATCCTTTTCACTACTTATAGAAAAGCATTAACACTCGACTCGCAATGACTAAATACTACTAGTCGGTATTGACAACTTGTCATTGCCACTACTCAATGTCACTGAAAATAATCCTCAAATAATTCATCGCACGGTGAGCACATTCGTGGTTGGCATTTTACTGGTATCAGTTAGTTGGCTTTGGTTAACTCGATGTTTGACCACTCGGAGACACAGGGCGGCATGGTCTTCGAGGCATGCCTGCAACCTCTCAGCCATTCTCTATGCTAGGAATACATGTCCAGCTGTGCTACTGGGGTTTCTTACGACTGCAAGAAAGACTCGGGCAGCTACAGATCTTCATGGTTTACCCCAAAAAGATATCGTGTACATTAGTGGTCTTCACGCAATGCTCTAATCTCAAATTTGAATCTTGACAAGTGGAGGGTTAACTGAGTGAATGAAACCGAATTTGCACAAATCCGTTTTACCTCCTACTTTCTGCGTTAAAGTATATTTCCGTTTCAAAAGGCAGATGAGACCCTGAAAGAAAATACGTCTTTAAATTCACCCTGAAGTTCAAGAGTTTTAATTATGATGCTTTTTAACCATAAGCTGAATTATTAAATAGGGAATCCAGGTGCATGCATTAAACTAGATGACATGGAAAGCCTTTTGAGTTTCTGAATTTACCCACTTTTACTAAAGGGCAAGTTGACTAAGGTTCCATTTCCACATAAACACTGATAATACAAACAAATAGAAATATAAAAATGTTTTTTTATAAAATACATATTTTAAATGCTCTTGAACTAAAGCTTGTACTTAGCCGTAATTCAATCAAGATTACCTATCCGCAAGCACTATACAATATTTCAATGCATCATACATGGTGTGAGGAAGTAGTTTTTCTTAGACAAGTTTGATTTCAAATGGAAAAGTTTTGTTTGAGTGAATTTGTAAAATATCTTTCAGATGGCTGATACTAAAGGACACCTATCTAGTGGTTCTGAAACCCCATAAGTCTGACGGGATAGAGGGGGTGGAGAATTGGAGTGCAGAAAAGGAGGAAGGCGCGAATGCGGAGGAAGAGGAACAAAGCAAGAAGAATCGGAGGAAAAAGGTCAAGAACTGCTCGGAGTCGATCCATTTGTGGGATAGTTATCATCGCTGGCGTTTCTGCAAAGTCATTTTGATGGATCATTACTTCAAGCGAATGGTCATCAACGACAGCAACTTCGATCTCCTTCAAATATGTAACATGCACAGGTCAGCACTTTCCCCCAAGCCTCTACTCCCAATCCTGTTGAATTGCTTCTCAAGGCTTCAGATTTGTTAGCAATCGGCTTACACATTGTAGAGATCTAACGATACTTATAATGTTTAATTATTAACAATCAGCACTCTAAACAGAGCGCTGCTTCGGAGTGAATTGTTCACGAAGGACTTTACTACCACGGATATTTCTCACTATGCATGAAAATGTTCTACTTCTTTTGCACGTACGCAGCAAAATTCAACCACATCGTTTCCACAGGTTCTGGAAAAGCTATCTTGCTTTAATCTACTACTGGCAGCTAGGCTTACGATTGCCTGCCCCAAGTAGAGTATGACCTACTTCGCCTAGCGTACCCATTTTAATATCAAATAACTGGCAACTATGTTTCAAACTTAGCAACTCGGGCAACCTTAAGTTGTCTTCGCGAAAAACTCGAGAAAGATGACTCTGTTATCGGTAACTAGAGGGGATGTATCACATTTGATTCCCAAATCTACATGAAATGACTATTAAGGGTGAATGCGGAGGTAAATATAAATGTCTGTTTCATGCACTTTGGAAATAGCCTCAATAGGAAATTAAACCACAATAATAGACTGGTGGCGCGTACAATACAAACAAAGTAAAAAAATTGGGGTTTTGAGTTGTAAGCCATTTATAGGTAAATTGCAGTTAGGGTTGTGATAGATTAAACATCCTAAACTCTTGTAGTCCCTTTGGATTACAGGAAGATGTCATGACAACTGGAGCTAGATGTTTAAGGGTTTTACAATTGCATAGAAATGAGTTGTAATTGGTCATGAGTGTTAAGCAGACCTTGGTAATGGGATTTTTTAAGAAAAATAAAGAAGCTTTTAATATGATCATCAATTTACAAATCACCAGCGGCATAGTTTCATGATAATTACAATCTGAAATCATGTCAGCAAGGTGGGATTGCTCTCACTTCCTCAGTATCGCTTTGCGCACCCGTAGCAAATTTGCCTTCATCCCGGCCAACTACGACACGGTGGCCTCCTGGGATGCGATGGTGAATCGGGTTCAATCCTCTCCTGAAGCAAGGGCCTACACCGTTGCCAATCCATTCGGATCTTTTGCTCCTGTTCGCATCGACGGTCAAATTATAATGTATGTTTGTGGACCCAATCCCACAATCATCCCTCATTTCTTCTGAACACCCTACTCATTCATTTCGCATGATACAAAGGGCGGAGTGGCAACAAGTAAGTAGTTTTTCGTTTGTAGTGGCATTGATGGTGCCTCATACATGGCATCAGTGGCAGATGCAATGGAGGCAGCTTGTCAAGAGATCTTTATCGCTGACTGGTGGCTCTCTCCCGAAATCTACCTTAAACGACCCTACTCCGACGACTACTGGCGTCTGGATATTCTCCTTAAGCGGAAAGCCGTATGACAAAAATTTTTTTAATGATATTTAATTTAAGTTTCAGCACAATTTTTGCAATTTTATATTAAATTTCCTCAAATAATAAGGAATAAGAGATCTCTATTATCTTGAATGCTGACATTTGTGATAGCTGGTAAGTATAATTGAGGCCATCATCAACGATGTGCTTGAAATTGCCGAAGTCTGTGTGCGTTCAAAGTGCAGTACAACTGTAATCGTGACACAAAGTCGTGAACCTGATTAAGAGAACAATGTCTGTCCCTGTCGCGTGACACCGCTACGTTGCTTGCGCCTGTCACCACCGCCCTACCTTATAAGAGTACTCATGTGTACTGTGACAGATCGAAAGATATTTATTTTAAGATATGCAATGGCAAAATACGTTGCTAGTCGGATGAATATTTGGCTAGCCTTATAAATATACTTGGCTAAATTTAGGGATGCAATTGTAAGCGCATTTTACTACCCTCCCTGTGCTTAGGATTTGAACGATGGGTCTAATTGAAATCTCAGCTTGTGGTAATTTTTAGAATCAGTGCAGATCACAGCTTTCATGTTGAGCTGTTACGTCAAAGGCGCGACAGCAAAGTGAGTAGGAGTGATGTAATCGGCCCGTAATGTGCCACATACGACTGCTGTGGCACCTCTTTTAAAGAAGGGAGGAGGGAGTAGTAACACCCTTAACAGGCGACACGATCATAGTTAAATGGTGGTAGACTTTAGAGATACCGATCTGTTTGTTATTAAATAAAGTAAAAACATGAGTATTTTTATGAAATACAAGTCTCTACACTGTTCAGTAAATTATTTGTGTTCTTCCTTCTCACAACTTTTAACTTGAACTATAAAACTATTCAACGATAATCGGAGTTCATTTGATTACCTTGCAGTAGAAATCCTCATTCGGATTTTTGGATGATATTACATCGTATCTGCAACCTTACTTTCCACCAACTTGGAATTTTGATCATTTGCTGAACATTAGGCATTAGTGTTTTGGATTACTAGCAATACTGAATGATTTCATTATAGGAAGAGGGAGTCCGCATTTGCGTTCTGATTTACAATGAAGTAAAGTTCATCCTAAACATCAATAGCTACCACAGCATGAAGACGCTCACTTCCTTGCATAGGAACATTCATGTAAGTCAGTTGCATGCTTGTGCATGGGATTCATATTCGTTTTCAAGTTCCGATTATGATTAGTGAGTGCTATAAGGCTAGATGCCACTTTAATTCTTCTGGGGCTCAGTGCCTACTATGATGCACATTCTCTGAGTCGCATGTATAGCTTAAAGTGGTCTTCAAGGGTCGAAAATTTGGGAAGCAGCCCAATTATAGTTATCTTTCAATTACACAGGTAATTCGACATCCCAGTCACGTCCGCGATCGCACTTGGATTTGGTCTCATCACGAGAAAATGGTTGTTGTAGACCAGTCGGTAGCCTTCGTCGGTGGAATCGACCTCTGCTTCGGTCGTTGGGACCTTCCGGATCATCCGTATGTTTTTACACTCGACAGCAATTGTGAATGTTTTATTTTAAGAATTTTGAACTGATTACCTTCCCCCTATTCCAGAATACTTGATGTTGCTAACCACCGGTCTAAATTCGAAGTAAGAATACCCTTTCAGTTTTTTTTTTCTTCTCACTCTCCTTCACCACTTTTGCAGCTTTGCAATTAATCATGCTCATTCATAGGCTGAGAAGAGGGAAAACTCTTTGAACGCATCTCCTTTTACAATACCGTGTACTCACAGAGCTTATTCTCACCAAGCTCATAAATGACAGTTGTGAGGCGTTACATTGGATTTCACTCCCATGGCAAACTAGTCCAGTAAGTAATAGCGTAGCGCCCGAACTTTCCCCAAATACGAAAGAAGACGTAATACTTGGACAGAATATGTGTTGCCAGCATACAGAAGGACTTAGAGCTACTGGCATGATCGGGAGGCCAGCCCACCTGGCAAAGGTAGAATGACGGGGACCTAAAGCTGTTCTTTTATCAGAACCGAGAGCTAAACAATTAGTACATTACAATCGTACCGAACCAAGTTCTGGAATGATAGCCCCAGGTTGATAACCTAGAGGGTTTCTTATAAAATATCCTTAATTCTTAATAAGACTTGGAATATCCAAATAAAGTACATCGTAATGCTACTTGATCTGCAAGCTTTTATCTCACTGCGTAAGAAAAGTCCAGCACTTCATACTGCAATCACGGTGATTTCCTAACCTGAAATATGGTTTTACACCACTATTTCCCCTAACATTCCAAATCGTTACGCATAATTTCATACTGTTTCTATCCAAAAGCACCTGTTACTTGGAAGAAATGATGTCTGATTCATCTGCTCCGTTCGATATGAAAGAAGACGCTTTCAAAAACAAAACCCTATGCTACTCTTTTATCCCTCTTATTATAAAACAATTTAATACGTGGCGTAAATTTTAAAACCAGCCTATTATTCAAATTAAAAGTCTTCCAGAACTGTTTGGAGGAATTGACTTAGTACCTCTAAAGATGAAGAGTTTTCGGTCTTGATCGGTAATAATAAATAAGGCGAACTGTGCTTGAGTACTTGGATTAATTTAGTCATGGAAGCGTGAGCCACCTCAAGAAGCGGTGCGGCTTAATCTTGATAAGCGTATGCAGACAATCGGCACTGCAGAGCTGGCACATGATGTGTGCAACTTCTCTGAGTATCTACTCTGCGGCTTGGAAGGGGGTGGCTTCTGAGACTCCCATTTCTGTCAAATATCAATCAAGGTTCTGCATAACAAGTCGCAATTTTTAGTTTTGAGTGATTCTATTAAGCTCGGGTTCACATTGGGACAAGGTTATGTCTTCTTTTTATCACCTTTAAACTAATTGGTGGATCTTTGTAAGGTGCCATACACTGTCTTCGGCTTTAAGAACTCATCATTAAGTCTGAGTTGACATTTATGGTGTTCTTTTGATTAAGGTCGAAAGCAGCAGCTATGAGGTGCTAGTGAAGCCCTATGAACGTTGCATTAATCGTTTCAAGTCTCCTCTTATAGTTCGCACGTCTCTCAAAATAGACATCAGCTTTTGGTTGCATGTTAGGTGACCGATTTGGCTTGCCTACCGTTGTCTGCAGCCTCCCTACCACTCCGATTAACATCGTTTGCGTATCTGGAAGAAAAAATTGGAGCCTTAACAAATCCGTTTCGCCTCCTTCGAACGGACACACCATTACCCGTTCGACGTTCCAAGTCGTTGAATAAACCACCGCTACAGGTAACTCTTTTTCATTAATTCAAATTTATTATGTGGACGAGGTGGGGTGAAACCAAACAAGAAATAGAGCCCTACCCTCTTTTTTCCTCATTTCCATAATTCACTTACAGTAGCTGATATAGGTAAGGTGCTCAAATAAGGATTCGTAACACATGTAATTAAAGCCAATTTTTTAAGAGAACTAACAAAATAATCTGTTTAACTGCATTCGTGCTATTAACTCGCATATGGAATTTTATTTTTTAATAGAGACATTGGCAGGCCTTCTCCAAATTAAAAATACTTTGAAGTTTTTATGATGTCCGCGCTCTAGCTTGAAAATTTCAAGTCAGGAGGTTCGCCGAAAACTAATACAAATATAGGGATAGTTGAAATCGTAATTTTCATTTGAACAACGGATTAGCGGTACAATGTCTAAAAATGCTCTATTCTGCACCATGCAGGAAAAATAACATTGTTATACAATTTATCATTTCTTAACTAAAAGCATTTCCCGCAGCAACATAAGGGAGCTCAAAGACGATCTCCGTCGGCCCTGAGTGCTGGTGATTCTACCAAGTTTTCTGGTAATAAAGAAGCCATTCGGATCCGCGATGCTCAAAGGAGGAGCTGCTGCTCCAGCATTTGTCCGGGCAAGAAGGAAAATACAGATCGGGACTGGTCTTTGTAAGTCCTTTTTAATTAGTCAATCATTCGACGCTACGGATTTTTAAAAGAATTTGGGCAAACAAACACCGACCGAGGTGCAGTCCTAAGAACAAACACCACTGTCTTAAGATGGGCTAAAATAATCCAGCCTCCATTCAACACAGAAGCTGGAATTCTCATATTTCAAATATTACCAACTGTCTCTGGGTGTTTATGCTGTTGGATTAAATGTGAGACTGAAGGGCTCTTACAAGTTATCAAAATTGCATTATTGAGCATCCAAATCCATAGGATTAGCTTTTTCAGACTATTTTACAATGTCTAACGTAATGGTATTTTCTGGTCTATTTCTTGCTACACTCGGGGTCAATTCCAACAAATGGTGTATCACATACTTACATCTTTAGCGCCTCAACTGAAACGGACTTGCTGGCTTCGCAGGATGGAAACTTCCTTTTTCCAGGAAAGGACTATGTCAACTGGATATTCAAAGACCCCGATGATGTGGCTAAGCCAGATGCAGGTATGCACTAGCTTATCCCTCCTACAACTGCATTTAAATTGCTTTTTGAAGTTTGGAGGTAGTCAGCGACAATACAATTCTCATTCTTTGTCCCCATAAATGTGCATATTAATAACCGAAAATCAGTTAAGCCCATTAATTGATATCGGTTACACATCATTTTGTAGAATGAAGATGATTTTTTCTTGATCAATGCAGCGTTTTGCTTAACCGACTTCACTTCTCTTTGCAGTCTACATCGATCGAAATGAGGTGCCACGAATGCCCTGGCACGACGCTGGTGTCGGATTATCGGGCACAATTGTCAGTGATTTTGCTCGACACTTCATTCAGCGGTGGAATGTTCATAGAGTGAGTTGGCACAATCCATACGAAGCTACAAAGTGAACCATTCCTTTCTACATCACTTGGTCATATTTGTCCTTTCAATTAACCTATTATACCAATGCTATAATTGCATCTCGCAAAAGCTATGGCAATTCACGTCAGATGTACTAATATTTCGAATAGCCAACAATTCATCAAACAAGCATCAAACCGTGCGGAGTGAACTTATCACTCCATGTCGGAGGAGTGGCTTTGACTATCCTTTTGTCAATGCAGATCATATTACGAATGAAAGAACAGAAAAATTCTGCTTGATTTACGGTATTTCCTGTTAACTGGCAATCAGATTGAACTCCAAAAACAGGGAACATGGACGTCTTCCGGGATCGCAGGCACTCTGCCACGTGCTGACAGAATAATGCACATCTCTACTTTATAATGTCCTTAAAGAATGGTATCTTACACTTCCTACAAGTTACCGTAGGTCATTGCAGTGGGATACATCTAAAGCTTCATTAACTTCCGGTACTTGACGGTTGGCGATTGTTGGTGTGCTGGCACGCGACATTGTCTACTCAGTGAACTCAAATAGCTCTATCAACGTCATACCAATCGCTTTTAGGTGGAAGCACCCACGATGCCCAATGTGACTAAAAAAGACGTACCAAAAACAAGATTTTTACTACTAGGTAGAAAGTTGACTTACAGAAGGGATTTCACGTGCCCTTATGATAGAGGAAGTTCCAAAGTTTGCTCAAGAATAAGCTGTATTGTGTGCTGCATTAGCTGTTAGTGCTAAATTCTTCTTTTTCTATACACTACAAGCAAGCAGAAGTCAAAACACAAATTTTTATCCTAAGCACACTCACACTGATTGCGTCATAGTAACTATAATGTTTGGCAGCACATAATGGGAACATGTGCGTAGAGTTTCCCTTTCCCCTTCGGAAACCACGATGACCAAGTGGCCGTAGCTTTAAAATTTCACAAGTAGAGAGAAATGATTTTTGGATCTATGCCTCACAATCTTGCTAGCTTAATTACCAATCTTCCTCAATTACGATTAAAAATTTCACATTTTAGTCTGCGTATTTATAAGATACCAATAGTTTTGATTTGTGAATGATAAGGGCTTTTCCTCGTAAAATAAATGGTGAAACGATTTGAAAGTGATCTCTTATCCTCCCTGTTATTTCTTTTTGCATTCTCAACTTACTCGGGGCTACTCCCCAGCTTGCGATCTAGAATGTTATGACAGGTGAAGGGGTGCTATAAAAAGGCCCAAGCTGCGAGTTACATTTGTCTTGTCATTGTTGGTGGTGTCATGATTTTGACACTAGTTAGGAAATAGCGGATGAGAAACTTGTCTATGGAGACGACAAGTGGATTTTCTTTTCCGCATCTGTCGTGCCAAGGTGCGGGAGGTGAAGCGCAAGCGCAAGCATGCTTCGACGTTGCGCATACCGCCCATCCTGCTGCCCACTCCGCCCCATAATACGCCCCTAGCCGCGCGCCTTCACGAGCTGGGCGGCAGCTGTAGCTCTGGCGGCAAGAGCGCACGGGCTGTGCGGATGCAGGCGCTACGATCCGCTAGCCACTGGTCCCTCGAGTCGACGCGCGGCGTTAAGGCGAACGACGTGACCACTGCCTCCTCAACGTCCTCACACACCGAATGCTCCATCCTTAATGCCTACATTGAGGCCATTTGCACAGCTCAGCACTTCATCTACATAGAGAATCAGTTCTTTATCAGCTGGGTGGGCGCAGAGAAGAATCAACTCGTCGAAAACCAAATTGCCCAAGCCATCTACGACCGTGTGGTCAGGGCTCATTGGTATGTTCACGTCCTCGGCTTTTTCCCCCATGGATCTTTGTGCTGGCTTATCATTCACATTTTGTATCTTTCTACCGCGATAAAGGAAACCATGTGGACTGTACCATTGACGTGGCGTGATTACACATATAATGCCTTTTTAAGCATAAATATCAATTCCTAATTCTAGATAGCCCCCTTTTATCTTTTTTCCCACTTTTTCCTCCTATAATAAACTTTGAACTTCAAGATTATCTGACCCACATATGTCAGCTCATAAAATTCGTGGCGTCTAAGCTTTGGAATCAATTTAGATGAAAGATTATTAGTCTTTGAAGTAGTATCAAGAACCAGGGATGCTCCTAGTGAAAGACCATTTGACGCTAAATTCCTCGTCATTCAATGATTGAAGCCACTTAGCAATAATGATGGCAATGTTGTTGATCTAAGTGGGAAATTATGTTAGAATCGTCAAGATTCGTACTTCATCTTAACACGTAACAAGTTTTTCGTTGACGTAAGATCTAGAATGGATTCTCATCTACAGTGCATGTCACTTTTGGTAGTGTAGAGTCAGTTGATTAGTCTTTGCAAAATGTTTTTAGCGAAAAGAAGCCCTTCCGAGTGTACATTCTTATCCCCCTACTGGCGGCCTTTGAGGGTGTACCCGGGGATAAGAAGTCGGGCTCAAGCATCCACGCAATTCTACGCTTCACTCGTACCAGCCTTTTTAAGGGACCCAATGCACTGATCTCGCGTCTTCGAATGGTCATTCCAGACGTTGAGAACTATGTCAGTGTCTGCAGCCTCCGCAAGTACGACTGCTGGCCGAATGGACGATTTGTAGGTTTGCCATCACCTTGCCTTAAGGTTATTCCACACCCTCTTTTATGCTACGACACCGCTCTTATCGAAGCGCAGTGGAAGGCACGCCTTTCGTGCGATAATGCTTAGTGCAACCGAACTAAAACCACCAGACTTTCCAATACAACAAAGCTAATACCCCATAAAAGTGGTTTTGTCCAAGATGTCAGCACCTTTGCTTGTGTTTCTAACAAAAATGTATCTTATCGACGGCAAGAGGCCTAGTGAGTAATAATATTACCTCTAAGAGCTGAACCAAGTGTGTTAAAATTATGCCTAGACACTGTAAGCACCTGATTATCTTCTGGTCGTAGTACAAGCGTAGGTTTCTCACCAACAGCATGGTGCTATTCCATAGACCCTGAATGATGTTGTAATCATCCTTCAAATTTTCATTATCATTACGAGTTTTGACACATTATCCCTAGCCTCACAGTATGTATCAAAACTTTCTCCTGCTATTCCCTTTTGCAGTACCCAACGATAGCAATGCTAATTATACTCTTTCAGTCACCGTATTTTAGGGTCTTGTGGTATATCTTTTATGATAACCGGTGGTTTTGGTCAAAACTAGAAGTGCCCAGTAGGTAAGTAAATATGGTTTTGTTGTGGTAAACGCATTGTATACAATAGTTCATAGAACGCAAGTGCACTTCGATAGGATCGACGCAAGCAATAGTAAAAAGCTAAAAATAAGGAGGCTACCATGTATTGCAACTAGCTTCAGTAAATTATCGTTTTGTTGTCTCTTTAAAGACTACGGAGCTAATCTACATACACAGCAAGCTGATGATAGTAGATGATCGAAAAATGATAATCGGCTCGGCGAATATTAATGACCGGAGTATGCTGGGCCATAGGGACAGCGAGTTGGCAGTAGTGGTAGAGGACGAGGTGGAAGAGGAGAAAAGTGGTGTCGTGGCAGATGTGCGGCGCCGTCTGATGGCTGAGCACTTGGGGGTGCTCTCTGATCAAGCTTCGCTCCCCTGGGATCCCGCCCTCCTCCACCAACCCATCTCCGATGCCTTCTTTCATAGTGTCTGGCGGAAGACCGCGCTGGACAACATGAACATCTTCGAGGAGGTTCGTGCCAGTGTTCCTCTTTATTTGATGAATAATTTAGACAATCTCATGTTTTGATGCAACTGTTTCTTCGGGAGCAGATTCTGTCAAAATTCGAGAGAGCTTAAAGAGGAAATAAATCATTTATTTTGACTTTAATTGTTTATATTTGCTCTTTAGGTTCCAAATATGATGCATGCGTTTCTCAGTGTCTATAAACGCCTGGACTTTATGACGTAAATAGAAAGTATGATTGCTCAATTGTAACAGAACTTTAATTTCTACACAAAGTACAATTACTTCGTCGTCTACTAAATGATTTAGTTGATATTTGTACTGAAGCGTAATGGGTCCGAGCTATTGTCGAAGTCCGTCATACACAAGTTGATGAGATCTTGGCAATTCTGGGACAACTTCAGCATCGTTAATCTCACTCTTCCTATCAAAAAACGCCATTCTATTTGTTTGCACCTGGTCATGACCTTCCTCTCCTTTGCATAGGTCTTCAATTGCGTCCCGTCGAACAGCGTTCGGCGGTATTCAGAGCGGTCAACCCAAATGCAGGGCAAATGGCCTAGGGGAACAAAGGCTGCTGAGCTTCTGCTCGGGATCAGAGGTCACTTATGCGAGTACCCCGAGGACTACCTGGCTGACGAGGATCTCACCTTTCCTCGAGGGAACGTCGAACAGCTCGCACCCCTCAAAATCTGGACTTGAAAGTCGTTACCATCACGTACATTGACCATGGCAAGGAAAAAAGGAAGAAATACTTACATTTTTCTGATACATATTTTACTCTTTTATGTACTTATTTATCATTGCTACCAAAGGTCGGCCAAGTGAGTTCATACAAATTTTATAGTAAAGAAGAGGAAATTACAGAGGACACCGTAAAATAATCTGCGTGTTGAATTAAGCCCCATTACGATATGCCATCCCTCCCTTGGGTACGAATTTCCCTTCTATCAAACACTCTGGGTCTAGAAGCCAGGAAAAAGGTGTAGCCCTGGGCACCTCCGCTTCTGCCTACCTTACTCTTATTTCCCAATTTTTAATTCTATTTTTGCATGCCCAATGCTGAGAAAGGGGGATAGTCACTCAAAGTAAGAGGCAGGAAATGTAGACAATGTGGTGCCCCAATTCAGCCCCATCTTGAGGTTAAATACAAGGAACTTTACTGACTGCTCACCTGGTGTGAGTGATGTTCCCGAAGTAGAGGTTTTCTTGCACACCTTCGAGTTGCCTCGTATCGAGTAGAATGGTGTCAGCCGTGACTGTTGTTTTACCTTCGACATGTGAACCACCCTGTGGACAATCATGACTGTGGTCACAGCGGACGTAGCAGGCATGCTCCTAGGTGTGTATGTTCGGTACTGAGTGAATAAAATCAAGATCGAGTAATGACGTGATCATTCACTCGATGATTGTTGGAGGTTAAAGCTATTTTTCGTTACAAATAAGTCAATTAGCAGCCTGGACTGTACAGCTTGTCTTTAAAGATTCAGTCTCTAGGTCGCAATCTGCATATTTGTACTGAAATATATTAAGTACGCGTGCTTTTACAGAAGCACTTTTAGAAAATCCTTTTCCATCTAAATTACAACTATCGGCAGTACTTACTGTCGTTTAGTATTTCCAGTCCAAAGTAAAAGTATATTTCTCTTAAGGCTTAGAGCAGAAACATCCACTCTCAACTTGAAAAGAATTTATTGTAATGCGCCCCATAAGTCGCAGCATTTATTATTTTAAACGGTAAAATTATGGCTTTTGAGTGGTAACATGTTGATTTTTTGGGGCGATACGCGCGGCCATGGACAGACCCTGTGCTGAGCTTCAAATTCCTCACACGACTCAAATGAATTTTAAGACCATAAGCCAGAGGTCTTTGCCGTGGCCAGTATGAAGGCACTCGGATTACGTCGGCTGTACTGGAGAGCTGAAGTGCTGAGCATACGAGTGGTCACAGTTGACATTAGATGTACACTTAGAGTTTGTCACAGAGTGATATTGCCTAATCAAGAAGTGTGCTCTTATGCGTTTACAGCTGGCGCTACTTGGACTCGATAGAACAAACTCCATAGAGAGTTAATATGCAGTATCAAGCACTGTTGAGCAGTAAAATGCGAACACTTGATGGAAGTTTGAATGAAGTAAATTTCGTTAACGCCAATAAAAGTGGTCCCATCCGACTTTTGGTGCGTCAATTACTTGATTGATGGGTAGTCTACTCCAACGTCGCCCCCACTATTTCACAACCTCGTGTAAAAAAGGTAATGTGTGCATAAAACTGCCATTACTTTGGAGTGTCATTTGCTTGACTAGAATGACGCGTTGCGCACAAGTTGAAGCAAGATGGTGTTTCACGTCACCTCTGCCAACATTCCACGCACTCTTCGTTTGCTCTAAGCACAACTCGCGCAGTGAAACCGCTGGCGAACCATTTTTCGGTCCTAATTCTGGTAATAAAATAAATAAACATCCCCCTACTTTCGGGCTTCGGAACATTCACTTTCAAATGAATACCAATAACAATGAAATTTATATTAGCTTGAGAACGATGAGGCTATTTTGAGGAGTAAATTTTGAATAAAGCATTCAAAATTAGAAGCACCTTCAAATTTTCTCCACCAGCCCTTCACGAAAAGGCACTGAGAATGGTTAATTTATTTCTGCAAAGCCGATTCTAGCTAGGTTAACTTTCTTGGTGAAGTAAAAATATAAGAAAGGTATGTTCATATTCCAAGAGAAAAATAGCAAAAATGAAAGTAGGGATGTTAGAAAATAGGCACTATCTTTGTTTATCATGGAATGAGAAGGTGCAGAGGCGGAGGGAGGGAATGGGAGGGTAAAAGGCTAAGACAAGGAGAGGAAAGACATTTCGGAAGCGTAGGCGAAGGAGGTCATGTCCAAACTACCGTAACGAGGACATTCTCTTTGGAGACTTGCGGTGGTGAAAGGTCTTCTTCGCAAAGAAATTCATCAGGGAAGCACACCACGTGTCCATGAATACCTTGGACGAGTTCTTTGGCCTTCTTTGGATCACGCTTGTACAGAGGCTCCACTCCGCGTATTACGTCAACTTTCGCGAAGGAGTCCATGTTATTTGAAGGCACACAGCTGAAGACCTGCAATAGGAGCTACTTTCTGGGATGGAGATCACAAAGATGCGGGAATACCACTTTGTACATATTTTAAAATCAATGTATACTATTTCTATTGGGAAACATGAATAACATTGTCTTGGACGATAGCCGTAGAAAGTGTTAAAATTGGTGGCAAAGAAGTTAAAAAATAAGAAGTATTTTCTAGGGAAGTGTAAAACTGATGAAAGCCACTATTTCAGGAAGGATTGCCTAATTCTTCCACAAACGCCGGGGTTTGGAGAAATTATATGGGTGAAGTTGGCTCACAAAGCCCTCCCATTATGCGTGTTAAAAATAGCGATTAGAGTGCCATCCTAGCGATAAATTTGGTGCCATTACGCAACTCGCGCCTACGCAATTAACAAGAATGAGATCTTGAAGAAACTTTGATAGACTTGGAACCGTGAGGTGAAAACCATCAACATTATCAAGGCGAATGAAGCTATTGGGAAGGAAATATTCGAACCAAGAATTGGTCTTTCACAAGTAAATGAGATGGAAAAGTTTAAAGCCCTAGATTTACAACATTAAATACACTGAAGGCGTTGTTACGCGTCTCGCCACGTCATAGGGACAAGGCGTGAAATCGCAGTAGTGCCTTGGGAGTACTCCTAAGGAGACAAGTCCATAACCGAAATGCTTATTACGGAAGAGTAAATGTAACAGTCTTCAGGCAGTGGGAACCAGTGAGCTTGTTGAGCAGTATCATTTAAAAGAGGGCGACCATTTTTATAGTAAGGGTTATTCACAGGAGAACCTTCAGTCTTTCTACTTCCTCATTAAAGTAGCAACTTTTCACAGCTCGAAGACCCAAAGTCGATATTCGAAAAATCGGATGAAAAAAAATCACTTTTCGACCCGGGTATCTGCCGTTGCCTAGACTGAAGTAACTCATCTCTCAATTGATGGCTCACCTCATCGAAGAGCTTCATATTGCTTTCGGCAATGCGACACCAAACATTGTGGTAGAATTCGTCGCAGACGGGATCGTTGAGGAGTTCATGGTTCCAGTCAGTATGCTCTCGCGACTCTTTCGTCAGTACGCCGAGATGCTCAGCCATCAGAGACTTGCGGAGGCGCCGAGCCGCGCTGCCCACAAACACCTTCTCTCCTGCAAACATAGCCTCCTGCAGTGTGCCCATCTACCATTGCGAATGGAGAACGCTTACTCGTCAGTTAGTGTGCTTGCTCATTCTCGATCCTCATTATCGGCTTAACCAAAATTGAATGCTACTTCCAAACAATGAGATGTCGTACTTTCAAATCAACTTATTTATAGCGTCAGAGATGGGTGATGAATTTTAATTGCTCTACTTTTTTACGTGGGGTGAAACAAAGACGTGGACTCACCTCGGGTACGTCCTCTGCCACTAGAGCAAGCTCGCTATCGCGGTAGCCAAGCATACTGCGGTCATTAATATTAGCTGATCCGATTATCAGTTTACGGTCGTCCACTATCATTAGCTTGGAGTGTACATAAATGAATTCTGTCGTCTAAAAATAAGCATACATGTTGGTGTCAAATGACAGATATGGGAATCGTAGAATTGCCAAATAATTCTATTTTAGATTAGTAAAACTATGATTAGCAGAAAGGATGTGCGGCTTGCACCCTAACTACTTAGCTAGAAGAGTGGAATTACTAGGCGGCTGTCGGGCCAGGTATCGTAGGTGCGGAGGCCACAGACACTGATGTAGTCCTTGGGATTTGGTATAAAGAACCTGAGCCTAGGAATGAGAGCTGTGGGGCCGTGGAAGAGGCTCTTTCGGATGAAAAGCAGCTCGCAGTGGATTGATGTTCCCTTGTCCCTAGAGCCCGCGTCACCCGCGAATCCGGGCAATAGGGGCAGGATTATGTACACCCGAAAGGGGCTCTTCTCCCTGGAGTGAGAGGAAACCGTCAACAAAGTACCATAATGTATCGCAAGTAGGGACAATTGCACAAAGTGGCTGGACTCAAGGTCGTGCTGACCACTCCGACTACTTGAGGCCATTTTAAAGGTTCATTACTGTAGGAAGATGCTTGATTTGGTTCAGATGATTGAAGTAATTTGCAAACAATGCCGTTTGATACATCAAATGCGCCGGGTGCCCAGAGGTTGCTAGAAATTTGCTATCATATCATAAACAGCTAGCTAGCGGCCCATCCCACAGCCCAATGAAGCTAATCTTGACTGTCAGGAATGCGAATTTCGCACAGCAAATTTAGTGCTAATAAATTTGCTATTTGCTAAGACTGGGATGAAACTGAATGCTTTACTGGGTGACTATTTCATTCCAAATGAGCTATGACGGTTCGTGACGCTAAATGTAAGACACATGCTGTTACGCTTTGGCCCGAGTGTAGACTCACCTGTAGGCGCGTAAGATTCGATCGTAGAGGGCCTGATTGATGGTATTTTTGACCAAGCAGGGCTGCAACTCGCTCTCAAGGCCCGCAGGACCGGTGTTGTTGTTGCTGTTGGCGCTTTGAATGTCATGTTCCATGGTCTTCTCATTGAGCCAGCTGACGAAGAATTGATTTTCAATGTAGATGTAGTGCTCGGAGCTGCGGATGGCCTCGATGTAGGCGTTGTGGATGGAGCGCTCAGTGAACTGGGGAGTGATATTGAGGTTGTTAGGCTCGTAGGCAAAGTCGTTTTCACCGCCTGTACCGCCACCACGGTTAACTACGAGAGACCAGCGACTGGCGGAGCGCAGTGCCTGCATCTGTGCCTGATGGGCGTGCCGTCGGCCACTCACCGCTGCTATGCCCATTTGCTTCCACGGCTCACAGGGCGGCGACGGGAGTAACATCGGTGGGATTGGAAGCTTGTTGTTTCCCCGTCGTCGCTTCACTTTCCGCAGCTAAGCATTTAATAATAATTATGGTAGTTGAGGTAGTGATGGTGGTCAGAGTAAATGATCAGTCTTCTCCATTTGATTTCGCGTTACTTAATCGTCGTAGAGAGTGCAAAAAAGTGTAACACTGCCCATCAGAAATGATTGAGTTTCTATCGTTGAGTAGGAGGGTGCATTACTTCGGTTACCTGATCGTAGGCCTGCACGCTACCACTCAAATTTACCAAAAACGATCATCTAGTACCCTTAAAATTTTACGCACATTAAGCTATTCTCCGTAGACTATATGAGTTTCACTTTCCATAGTTTTAAAATAATAAATTAAGGCTTCTAGGGTACAGTGAAGCACCAATTTTCCAAAGGCAGTCAATCAATGAGTCGTCAAGTCTTTGCATGTAGAAGGGATGAGAACGAAAAGCGGAGCGAGGAAGTACGACCGTGCATACACGGGTGGCATTCCAGCGTTGGATGAAGTGTCGAGCAAAGTCAGAGACAACTGAACCCGTGACCACGCAGCCGACATCGTGCCAAGGCATCCGGGGTATCTCATTCCGGTTGATGCGATCTAGGCGAGGCAGAGGAAGGATTTAGTTTCCCACGCTAGAATGGCACGTGTTTCAGTCAGTCGTGTGGTCACCCGTGTAAACGGTAGCGGCTGGTTCGCGCAGGTCAGAGTGCACAAAACTTCGCTTCTTCTGCTTGTGTGACCTTGATGTGTGTGGAAGTTTAAAAGTTAAGTGGCACTATTAAAGAAAACACTTCTACCGCAGGACGAATAGATACAGGGCGTTTGCAGTTGGAAATCAGGCGATACTTCTAATTTCTCCACAGGCACCCACGTTCAGAGATTAAGAGCATAATTTGACCGACGCTTGAGCATTTTTTTGCAAAAAGTACAATTGATCCTCCGGGTTTCCGTGGCATGAAGCGAATTTTGCTAAATCTCAGCAGGGAGCAGCAAGGACAGACGCTTCTTCTTCTTCAAAATAAACCGGCAGTATGCATGGCTGTTTCCCCGACTGATAATGGGCGTCACTACCTATTGTCTTGATTTTTTTTGTCAGAACCGCTTTCCTCATCTCAAAAGTGGCAGACGGTCGTAGTTTCAAAAATTCCAAATGTTCGCAAATGCTAACTTGGACCGTGCTGCAACTGATTTTTCGGTAGCTTTCGAGTGCAAACTCGGGAATAAGGACGTGCGCAGTCCCCTGCTCACACGAGTTAGCGCCTTTCAAATGCGATTAAATGCAGCTCCAACCTGTCTAATTTGCTTGGAGAACAACAATGCGCAAAACTTTCTAAGTGGTAAATCTTACCACGTTAAAAGCGTCATTGCACTTGAAAGGGAACGAATCGCTAAGCTTACCTTCCTCTGGGATTTGAAGCTCATCAGCATCTTTGAAGAGCCAATTTTCGTAGTCTTTACCCACGAATAGGAAACGATGGGAAAGTTCAGCAAGTTTCGATTCTTCACCCAAAACAATGAGATCCTCCCTGAAACAAATGCAATTAATAGGAACCAAAACTGGCAATTGCAGGATGCTAAATGCTGAGGCATATGCAAAGTAAAACATAATCAAAGTGAGTATACTGATGTGATTCAAAGCCACAATTCTTAAACTTTTGTATGACCACAAACGAACGACGCTATGATCAAAAGATTAGGGTTGAAGGAGGAACTAAATATTGCTGTAGACCTGTGAAAGCTACCGAAAATTCTAGTAGAATAAACGAGATTGTTCAAGACTGTGCAACATCTGGAGTTGGTAGGGTTAATCATACAAACCTAATTTCATAACCTGCTGCGGTATCGTGTCCTCCTCGAAGTTTAGAGAGGGGTGCTCTGCTTTGCCGCCGTTTGCAATAACCCAACTTTACAAACTCAATGTCATCAGATTCATCGGAATCGGATTCAGACAATTTAGGCACCGGTGACCGTCTGCGTTGAGAACCGACTCTGGCGAACAAATTTTGAATCCCATTACCTATCTGAAAAACAAATGAGAGTTGGTAAAATTTAACTCCTGAACACTTTTGTAGGGAGAGACGTATGTATACACGTACTTCGGCAGTGGAGAAACGTGGTTTGTGCGGTTTGGATGGTCTGCGGCTCAATCCGGCATCATTGCGATTGGGGATCTCGCAAGGCGGGGTCACAGATTGACTACGGGAGTGTCGTCGGGCGAACTCCATCACCCGTTTTGGGACGGCTGAGGACAGGTGGCGAGGGCGTCGTTCCGAGCTTTGACGACGATGTTCGGTGGCGCCATGAGGCGCATCGATCGGCACCTGGAGTCGACCAATGTTAGGAATCTGGATGTCCATGGTAGGCTCCATCCCATCCTCACCCTCCACATTCCCGCCACCGCCGGCTCCGCCGCCGTCTTCACCATGGCTGCGACGTCGACGGCCGCTTTTGCGAGTACGCACTGAAGAGCGGAACCCCATTTGACCGTCGGGCATAACTTTAATTCCCGGCTAGTTGGAGAAGAATAAAAATGAATGTAGAAATAATTGGACATCATTCTGTACCTCGATTGGACTCAAGCCTAAGCAGAATAAGTGTTGCGCAATATGCCAACAATAATTGTGACCGCTATAGGCTTCAAGATCACGTATACTGAAAAACTTTTATATCAGGTCAAATATAAGAGAAGATGTGCATGTTCTCAAGACAAGGATTTTACAAAGTCATGTAATATCATAACTTTATGGACAAATGCTTCCTTTATTTCTGCATTAAACGATTTTAGAAAATTGCAGTGGAATGTGAGGTTGATTCCTATATGATTTACAGAGATTTGTGTGCTATTTCATCTTAGGGAAAGCTACGAAATTTCAGTGTTGTGGGGACGTTTAGAGCCGGGAGAGGGCAAGCACTTTGAGTTTCTGGCCGCACCGACATATGCAGCCTATTCGATCAGATTTCTCTTCAGCATTCAATTCAGCTCCGCGTCCCATCTACAGTTGATGCAATAAAACCTTCCATCATTTAAAAGCCTTGAAAAAGTTTAGAAGTATGAGGTATCAATACTGTTATCCCGCCTCCTGAATGTGCAAAATTACATGCTTTGGGGTTGCTTGCTTGACGAAAAACAGTTTGCATGAAGAGAGTAGGTGAACGCGGCAGTAAACTTCAGTTTATAAATAGACTGTGACATCGTAGGTAGATGAAACGTCTTTTTATGAATAGTGGTCGACCCACAATGTTTGGGGATAATCCACAAACAAGACACACAGAAAATGCTTTTTTACATGTTTCGCACCTGCTCATTGCCCAGTCTTTCAGACATTGGATCAACTCTTATGAGGCCATCATCTAGCTCTTAATAAAATGGAAAATAACCCTCTTCCTTCGAGCCTTTCCGCTGACGATCCGCACAAACGGTCTACCTTTAAGTATGCTACAGCTGCTAGAAGTTACACAGTGTCCAAGGTTTTGGAAAACAGATAACACTTCACTCTGGTGCAGAATACTTACTTCCCAGGGATGATCACCAACAAATCGGTAGAAGAACTTTACCAAACTTCAAAATATGCGCCCATACTGATGAAGACGGAACGGAAAGTGATGCTCAGACTTGTGGCAAACGAAACCAAAAGCCGCACCTTTGGGTGGTACAACCAAAGCGCCGTCTCGTTGATTCAAAATGCTTTCGGCAAGCGCAATTCACGCTTCAACAAGCCAGTAAATGCACACTACTTAGAAATGGTCTCAACGTATTGACGCTCTGTACAATCTATATGACGACAACGTTCATAACTTTTGTTTTAAATGCCTAAACAAACGCAGAAGGTGGAAGTGAACCCTAAAGACGTCAACGGCCGAAAAACATGGCTGCCTCAAATAATATGTACTGAAAAATTTAGGTGATGACCCAAGCAGGTTGCCTACACTGTTCATATGAATGACTCTTTGGGCCTTAAGGCTTGTCCTGGGTGGCCCCACACCTAATACCGTCGACAATTTAGCTATTTTGACAAGTATTTATAAAATGATGGCTGTGAAAGATCAAGTTTAAGTGCGAATAATTTTGGAATAAGGAGTTACGGATTTTACATCAATCGCGAAAATTCGAATCCGTAAACAAATTCTTTGAACCTACAAACGCAGTTAACGAATTCTCAGCAAAATTTGACCAAAACCTCTCCTTGAATGCAGGGTTTTTGGGGTTGAAGTGGAATTTCACTACTGCAATTCGTTAATGGGATTGTTATTTATAGTAATACCTGTAGTATGAAGGAGGCGGTCCAGAGGACATATCGCTAAGAGCATCAAGTAGTTTAGTAGTCCGCTAGTGCGAACAGGCAAAAAGACGGTAAAGAGGCTAAAAGCAGAGGGGACAGACCTCGAGATCCTCCTTGTGCCCAGTCTGCCGCCTCCAAATGTGAGCGGCCATGGAGACGCTTGCGAGGGTGGCGAAGTTGAGCCGACGCTCAGGAGAGGGGGAAGTGGGAGAACCATGCCGTCTTCGTCGGTCACGATCCACCTCCTCCTGCGGCATATCAGTGAGGACTACGCTGAGGGAGTCGCTATGATGTAGCGTCCGACTCGCTGACTCTGCCCCCATTGGTACCATCGGCATGACCGGCATCAGCGCCATGATTGCTGATTTTGCCGCGTCCTGCAGCTGTCATGACACAGGCATACAACCACATCAATCTCTTGAGCTATTAATGAATGCTAAGACATTCAAAAAAGTAGGATGGAAGTATCTGCAGAAGAATGGGATTTGTTGGGCCTTTGAAATGTGCGAACCAGTCTCCTTACTGGTGGCGTAGCACCCTCCTCATGTCATTATACCACCAGTTCTTCAGCCCTTCTGTGCACCAATACTGAAGCAACTTATAGAGTAGTAGAGGTTAATCTGAGCGCTAAACTCCCCACCAATGTGGCCTTTCCACTTTTCCTGTGTAGAATTTGGATTGTGGAAAAAAGGCGGTGTAATATCTGGTATAAGGTAGAGCCAGAGTGTCTAAAATGTAGCCAGGCATGAAGTCAACGCCCTGATAGTCACCCATGGACCACAATCAAACACATCGGCGATTACTCTCGAGGAGCGTGTTGGCATCCTTATCGTGGGTTTCGATTGCGACTCCTGAACACACGTAAACTAACTGATCGACTTGAGAGAGTGGAATTGAATTGGCGTCAATTGCTCCAAGCACAAATATTATGAGCTAATACAATGCTTCAACGTGAAGAAAAATGTCATTTTTGTGATCCACATATGCTTCCTCAATGGAAACCTACGCAGCGATTATCAACCAGTACTAGCGAGACTAGTCCTTTTTTCGCACCAAAAGGTGTTGTTGAAAAAGCTGACAATTTTCTCAGCACGATTCTGTCTGCGTCATCGTGTAAGAGGTTAGTCATTACTGAAAGAAGCCCAACCGCCTACCCAGTTGATTATTAAAACTGTTTGAGGTGATGATAAAGAGGATTGTCTCCCCCAGTTGATTGAAAATGCATTTTATAAAGGCAAACTTTCAAGTTTCAGGTAGCCAAAACCAATATCAGTTATCCAAATTAAAACACGTGAGATGGCTCATGATAGACCAAGGTTTACACAAATCACAGCATCTACTCTGGGGAGGAATGGAGCCTTGCACAGGCTAATTCTACGCCTTTGATTTGCTCATTTCTGGAGCATTAAACATGCAGAGGCCATGCGACAAAACTGTGTTCATGCTATCGTCTCCACATATCTCGTTTTCACTTTAATAAGAAGCACAGTAGGCGAGTTTCCTCAAGTAGTCTTCATTGAATCAAACTTCTCTATGTTTTAATGTTCTGTCTACCACTGCTAACGAACCATCAATATGCACGCTCTATTGAGTAGTTCCAAGCAAAGAAATATCGTTCACTTACAAGAAAACGTCCCACAACATTCACATTGCTTCATTTACCTGCACTACATGGATGTACTGATCCACTTCCTGATTTTTATAAACTTCCCTTAAGTTAAAACAACGTGAGATAACTGACATTCTCACAAGAGCAAGCGTCTCAATCTGATTGTTGCACACCTGATTTATGGTCTTACATGAATAATAAGATCGTGGAACCATGAAAATTGGTAGATCTTGCGGAATCGTTAAATAGAATTCTTGAAAATACTGTGTTAAAATGACACCGCTTGACTTTAACTAACATTCGAAAGCATCCTTATTAATCCAACGGCCAGGGTGACTTCATAGTGTAAATCGGCGGAACGACCAGACACAACACTCATGGTCTCATGGGACGTTTTCAATTTCTCCCACAAAGACGCATGAATGTGTATTATACGACCAAGGAGTCCATGAACAGTCGTTCTATATAAAACAGTAGCTGATATTCATGCGTTAATGCCAGCTCACTGGGACGTAGATGCATGCCTAATGAAAGCACCGGAGAGGTGCTTAGATTGCTGGAACTGAGTCAGTAGTAGCATTAAAGACAGATTTCCATGGGTAGAAAGCTACATGAATAAATTAATTGTTCCTATAGCCTGCAGAGAGTGCTAACACAAAGGGGGCTAAAACACCCCAGCGGCAGTGTCGGAACCAGTCAACCCAGCTGTAGTGAGTCGCCTACGATTCCACGCGGAGCGGACTTAATGGATGAGCGTACAATGAGAAGCAATGAACGGCAAGAGATTGCCATGAGATGTAACGAACTCTCAAAAGTGCTCTCATTAATCACTCTCGAAGATGTATAAAATATGACAAGCACCTAATGTAGGAAAAGTGAGAGGACGTTTCTCAAGTGCGTTTTATAAAACAAAATCAGCTCTATGGGGCTAGAAGGACGAAGCAGAGCGTTTCACCCGGTTGCTAAACTGGTACCAGCTTCGGCTAGTCTGAACAACATAGATGGATTAAAAAGACATGCAGAAAGGAGCTGGACCAAGGCAGGCGCAGTTGATTTACACACTCCGCTGACTCACAGCAGCTCAGACACAAGCCGCTGTTTGCCAGACTACCACTTACAGGTCTTATCAACAGACTGACCCCTGACGCATACTGAGAAGCCTGGCCAGTCAAATCATCTTGCCAATAATAATGGCGAAAGAGCAGTATTGAAGATAAAAAAGACAGCTTTGTGTAGGCACGACAACATTGAGGGCTTTCGAATAGTCTTTCAAGGTTTTAAGAGTGAAGAATAGGAGCTTTTGATTTACCTGCACTTGCCTCCTGTAAGGCTTGGACTTGTCCACGTCAATTAAGCTATAATGAAATATCAAAAGTTTGAATAAGCAAGGATTACGCAATTGGCGCAAAAGGGCACTCTTAACATGTCTTCAGGTCATTAAATCGTGCGGCTCCAACATCCTTTATTATTATTAGTGCAACTTTACTAGTAGACCCATAGTTCAGCAAATGAAACACACACAATTTGGAAAGAAACGTGAACTCTGGCGCTACCCTCGTAGTAAGATTAAATCATAAAGCATTTTGACGTGGCTTTACAACCTACTTACATGCCGTTCTCGTTAACTCATCCATCAAAATAACCGAAAAAGATTATTCATACGTTTAACGGATTCAGAAAGTGCGGTCTTAATATGCAAGAGCGGAATTAAACGCCATGTTTAGTTTTGGGCGGGGAAAAAAACTTAGAGTGCTCACGGATGATCCTGTCTGTCCCAGCGCCCGTAACAAAGGTCAATGCCTCCCATGTAGGCGATGGACTGATCAATCACAACCAACTTCTCGTGGTGTGACCAGAGTAGTACCATATCACGAATGTGGTCCGGATGCCTTATAACCTAAATGATCAAAAGAAGATTGCCGCTCAGAAGGCTGGGATTGCTTTATTGTTTTACCCTACTGAATTATGAAAATAGCCAAGTTGAAACATTGTAGCACGGTATCGCATACTCACGGGTCCTGCACGTAATGAGAGTAGGCAACTCACATGGATATTTGGATGCAGGCTCGACAACCAAGTGGATGTATGTTTACTGTTGATTTTCAGTGCCTGTGGAACCTCTCTGTAGATTAGAATGCATATTCTTACACCCTCTTCCTAAAAAAGAGGATTAAATGCTCACTCAGTGAAAGTTATGGGTAGGCATTACAACGACCACAATTATGCTATTTATGATGGTTGGGAATGAAACCATAACTGAAAACATACTAATTAGCATGATGTATTGCTAGCGCTTTCTTCAGGCAAAAATTTTTCAGGATTGGTGAGCAATTATGTATTTTTCTCAGGAATAATAATTTGAATCAGCAACATCGGCTGCGGACTTTGAGTATCATTAGAATACCTTCTTTACAAAAAAATAATAAAAGAAAGAATTTAGGGATTGACTGCTGGCGGATGAATTTCATATCCTAGATATAAAAAACCGTTTAAGGTGCCTGTTATGTAGACGAGCTTCATCAACAGACTTGGGTGCAGAAACAAAAGTACCAAAATGAAAGAAATTGGTTTGACAAGTCAGGGATTCTGCCCCAGCGATCTCATACGCATCATGCTAGTGTTTTGGAATCAAGAATTCTAATCTGGATTTGGTAAAAAAAAACCCCTAAGTTCTTCTGGGGAAGAGAATCGTAGACTCTGACAAAGCGGAGGACAACACAACCGCACAAATGCCATCACTTTGGTCACATGGGATCGATCAGACGTCCACCACGACTACATGTGTTGATTCGCATTTCTATTCCATTCTGACAATGACAAAACTACTCTCGTTGAGGAATTTCACAAATACCTCTCCCATTGCCTAAAGTAGTCATAACACAAGCCTCCGGTGGGAGAAAATCGCCACTACCCAACAGCATATTGCACCCATTGGGAAGAAGCTTCTCTAACCGTCAAATCGGCGAGAATACATTAAAAAAGTTACTCCATCTGTCACGACGCCTGGAGTTAGTAATTCAGTGCGGGTAAATTTACCTAATATACAGACTAAACAATAAATTCTATCGCTGAGTTTGAATGCTAATCACATATGAAATGAAGTAATGAACTCATTTTATTGTGATAAAAATTGCAAAACGTGAAATTTATTTAGTAACCAACTGACACATTTGAATGTTTAGAATGCATTAGCTAAACAAACCTTCATTACAGGCGATTTATCGAGCACACAGACGCCATGACGTGACTAACATTATCTTGACCGCACTTTGTGGCCGTGGCATTGGTGGTTCAGTGAAAAAGGTGGAAAGAAATACACAGTAGGCACTATGCTATGATTCACGGATAAGTGTGCTTCAAAACCCGATTGCCAAAGGTTTTAACCTTAGTAATTAAGCAGAAATGCCAAAGATATCTGGGATGCACGACGGAGGGGAGAAGAAGCGTGAGCTTTTCATGGATGCCTGGCTACTCGAAGTAACAAGGATACATAAAATGGTGAAGCAGTGAACACCACATACTGCCTTCCTCTTGAGAAGGAAATCCAGTCTCCACTTGTCACCACCGTCTGGACGCTTGAGAAAGACCTCCGGCGAGAGCCACCAGTCAGTGATGAAGATCTCGTGCTGCGCCCGCTCAATCCCGTTCGCCACGGCATCCATGTAGGAGGCACCATCGATGCACCTGACCATAGGTCATTAAATTACATCACGATCACGTACAAATCAGGCGTCAGCACCCTCGTCCCCTCACCCAGTGCCTTGAAATACTGGATTATAAATACAACTTTTAATATCTTTAGGCCTTTACAAAATGGTCAGCAAATTTTGGACTCTCATAAGCCTCTTTGAGAAATGACAAAAATCGACTCCTTAATTCAGCTACTGCTTTCAGTTGCATTCATCTGTCGATTCTCCACCGAGACGAGCGTATTCCTGGCTTTACATACGATTGGACGTAAAAAGGTGCACGGCTCCATCCTCGTTTTAGTTTCTATAATTTCTATAATTAATTTGTGGTAATTGCCATTGTAATAGTAATTGGGGTAATAGTCATGCGGCATAGAGGTGCGTGCAAATATTTACACACCCACTTACACAAACGTTCCAAAACCGGTTGGGCTTGAGTGCTGGCCACTGTCCAATAGGCCTATCATTAGCCCATATCGTAGTCGCATTTGAGACAACTTTGCTCTATCCCGCCTTAAATATCACCTGGACTAGCACCTAGCATTGTCAAGGCGACTATTTCTAACGCAGCTCCTCCACGACCTTCAGCTAGGACTGAAATCTAGAAAACACCTATCGGCTATTTCGCCCGCGCGTGGATGCCAAAACCACTATATCTCAGAGTAAAGAAAAAAAGCCACTTAACTAGAAAAAGTAGACGCACCCATTGTGTGCAGCTGCCTAGTGCCAATACTGAGAACACAATGCATTCTGGCTAGCTAAAAAAGCTAATAAGGGTGTGAAGCGAAACGACTCTTTCCCCCCTCATCGAATTGTCCATTCTGCCATTGGTCTATGAACAGCTCCCACGGACAGTGGCGTGAACAAACGGCCACCCGCAGACTGCGCTGTTAGCAAAATCATTATGAATAGACAATCTGGACCCGGAGCCCATTGTGTTTAACGTAAAACCGGCGTGGCTTTAAAAATGCACGTCACAACCCATCGAACAGAGTTGTGGAAACATGGTATCATAATAGCACGAAGGTTATCTCAAAAAACCCTGGAGATGAATCATTTGCTGTGATTAAAAGACAGTAGAAGTGGTTTGATAAAAAATTAACCTTGTTTACAACAAAACTTGTTTCGATCCCTGCTGCAGCTTCTGATAAGCTTCATACTCAAAACAATCTTCGTGGAGTTCCACGAGAGTTCCATGGCTTTCAGTGAATTTCACTTTAATACTGTAAAAGGCTGTAGTAAGAATAGTTCTTCCGGATGGCATGGCTTTCTTCTTTCTTGAAAGAGTACCTACTTTGTGAATGAATGCCCTTATTTCGTATAATGTTAACGGTTTTACATGATTCATGAGGTATTGTCAAAACCAACTACCAACAGAGATCGCTGAGAATTACTTTGGTAGTTTGCTTCGAAAGAACAGCAATAGTCAGTGAAAAATAATCGTTCCAAGTCCAATTTGAACATAATTGCCATTGTCACATTATAAGAGGGTAAGCGCACCCTCTAAGCCTCTCCAAATGTCTCACAGAGGAGAGGGATGGTGAAGCACGAGCCCGGATGCGAATGCGGCATGATTGTAAAAGAGGAATGGAGAGGCTTAATGCTTTGGATCAAGTGTGGATTACATGAGAACTCGACGAATGGGGCAGTGGGTAATATTTTTTTAATCTTCCTTATTTCATTCCCTTTTTTAAAACCGGAATAGTGGAAAAAACGGTGAGAGGGTGCGGTGTGAAAGTGGAAGGCTGGTGGTCCTCAAGGAATGATTCGAAATTTTGGGGCCTTTTTCGGTACTGCTTATGTCAACGTGGAACACAACATTCACATGTGCTTCCACCTTGGCGCTATCGAATTACGTGGCTTTTTGAAACGTGAATGTTGGAAGGAAAAGCACAATTCCATTCAGGTATGCTTGTGGCGTAGCACCACAAAATATCATAATGAAAATGTCAAATTTAACCTTTCAATCTCGTTTAAAAACAGCATATACTGTTTGTTGAGCCGCTGAACACGCTGAAAACTTACCCAAACCCTCTGAAACCGATTTGTTTGGAAGTATGTAATCATTCATTTGTTGCACAGTTTGCGTGAAGGCACTCACCAACAATGTTTCACTATCAAATCATCCATCATCAGTTTACTCCGAACTGTACCAAGGTAGAACGCTTTACCTTAATCAAAAATAAACTCATCTACTTACCTTAAGTAATCTAACAGGCATGACGGTAACCTCGCGGTCTTAATCCTGCAGCAAGTTCTCTTTCACCTTGCATACAACATTCTTGTCACTACTATCAGTAGTCGGTTTATCTGCAAAAACTGCAAATTTTTTTACTGCAAAGCATGATTTTGAGGCGCTGTCAAAGCTGTCCTAGCATTTAGGGTGCTTTTAGAATTAATTAAATACGCGCCATACCGGTGCTTCAACGTGACCACATGGTTGACAAGGTAGGGTTAAAGCGTGCTGTCAGATATGAGGGCTACTAGCTTGTTGACTTTAAAGCCCAGCCACTAGTCTGGGGACAAGGCATCACCTGAGGCTTAGACATGCAAACGGCGTGCGCATACTGGTGAAGCAACTTCGAGATGACTTGAACCCTGTTGTCCCGTCACGCGGCTGGAAACAAGAACGACTAGTCTGCCAATTCATGCAGTACGGGCACCAACAATCTAGTCTGGTTAACAAATTTTGATAAATACTGCCCTCTTCCCCCTTAGGGGCCATGTATCACCAGTCTAGGGTGACCGGGAAGGTGCATCACTGTGAGGGGGACTTACAGAAGTATTTGTCCATCCCTGCGGATGGGGGCAAAGGAGTCGTTGGGATTGATCTGCACGTAGTCCAGTGCAGCAGGCCGGCTGATGACTTTAGTCATTTCGGCCACCCAATCATTTGGTCTCTGTGTTCGTAACTGCATTTCGCTATGGATAGAACACAATACAGCATTAGGTCGTTAAGGTGTTTTCTTCCGATCCGAAAGGAGAATAGGGGGTTTGATGCCAGCTAAAGCTATATTTTTAGGTAGTCTGCTGGAATGGTCACAGGCACGTACCAACGCGTTCATGCATCTGGTCCGCGCAGTACTATGGCAGGATTCTATTCAGGTTAACACGTAATTGCCTGGATATTTTACTGTCAAGGGTAGTTGAAACTGAACCATGACATTTGAGGGTAAGGTTGTGAGCACGCTCCATGACTACAAAATAATTTCACATGGTTTAGAGCAATGTACTGAAGGTTTGGCTACTTTAACATACTAGTGCATGTTCTTGATGTTCAAGATGGTGCCAGCACCGCTGCGTTCGGTAGAGTATTTGAATAATTGGTCCATGAGGATGACCTTGCAGAAGCGCCAACGTCTGTTGCGGTGGTACCATCGACGCACTGTGCTCGGTTGGTGATGAATGAGGTGTGGCTCCTCTGTATTCCTGGTGGGTACAAAGGTCTGCAGGGTTGATTGGCTGGACATGAGGTGGCCATTCTGCTGGGCTGAGGGCAGTGCCTTCTGCTGATTAACCTTGCTTGGCTTTAACATCACCAAGTAGGAATCTTTTAGAACTAACCACCTGCAACAGGAATAACAATAAATGCGCGAGGCCAAATCTTCTTATTCGCAATATTTTGGCTGCAAAGTAAAAAGAGAAACATATTAAATTCCCATCAATTTGATCGCCCGGAAGTTTGGCACTAGATATAAGCATGCTTTAAGTCATTATAGAGCGACGCCAACGCACTATCAGATCGTTTGATTTCCCTAGCAAATTACAAACTGTAGCTGCAAGCTTGGAGTTTCAAATGAGCCACAATACATGAATTCGGAGTACGTAGGGTAGTTGGGAAGGCGTTTGTCAGAAGTGAAATGAGCGGAGATTGGGGGATAAATTGGTCACATCTGTACGGGTAACCACGCTAGAGCAATTCAAACGACGTGTAAGAGCACGCGTTTCCAAAGTACTATCCGCCATAAGATCATTTTAAGGAGGATAAAACGATATCCGAGCTTGCAAAGAGAGTTCATGAGAAGAGCCTCATTGCTCAAAAACGATCAGATGAAAGGTCCAAGACAGATAAGGCTATAGCCTGACCTTAACAGGGATAAGTGTGGGGCATCTTTTTTGAGGATCGGTTATATGGAACTACAAACGGAGAATATGTCAAGAAAATTCGTTTTTCATGCACACTCACGGGCAAACTCAGCATCAGTCCAAAAAAGAGTACTCCTGAGGGAACTGCAAGTTGAATTTTTCGTTAGTTCCTTCAATGCTCACCGGTGCGTCCATTATCATCGAATCACATCACATAACAACCAAGTTTCCCCTCCTCTTCTCTATAACCCAATACCGATTGAACATTATAAAAAGCATCAAAAAGCATATAAAATATATCAACGATGGTTGGATAGTGCAGATTCAGGCAGCTTGTATCTGCTCTGTGCGTTTCTAGCAGTTCTAAAAGCGCGGCAGTGATCGAATTCCCAATACCAGTCTTAAAAAAGTACAGTTGTATCAGGCTTAAGTCACCTAGTGTACTTAAATTATGTTATGCGGGTGGGTGCATCTAACTAAACATTTGGGCTGGAAGTGTGAAAAAAAAAGGTGAAATTGCCATAAATTGAGGCATAAGGGTGAGCCCACGATTGAGGTTGATGGATGAAAGTAGCGATTAGCAAGAATACCTCACATAGTACAAAGCAGAATGAACGAGTTAATGGCCTTGACAACCTCAAGGCTAAGAATGGAGCTCTTCGTCTCCGTGGGAAATTGTCAACTAGCTCAGCCTAAAGGACTGAACAACCTTTAGCTGAGGATGCAGACCTCATGCATCATCGTGGTGACTACTATAAAGACATTCCATAAGTTGCAGATTTTGGCATGCTTCGAATCGCTTTTTGAGCAGAAGAGGGGGCACGGGCCTTTGCTCCTTTCAGCCGCCTTGCAATTGTGGCGCGATCGATTGCTCGTTCGCGCACCGAAACTGCGGCGCGCGCACACGAAATGAAGTGCGTCTTCTAACACGCGCACAGACAGGTCAACTCGTCGCCCTCACAAATGGCGTACAAAGGCTTGGTATAAAGCTCAAATGCTACTTTGCGTGGATTTTGGCCCCTCTGGTGTCGCTGTGACCAGTGGACTTCCCTGTAGTCCCTTTACTTCAATTTTCCACATATCGCAGTCAAGCAGAAATCTTTTCAGGGATAGCAAAGTGGTTAAATGTCGTGCGATATGGTGAATATTCTCATAGCTTGTGATTTCGTCATAACACATTGATAACGGTTGAAAAGGTTACAGTCAGGAATTTCTACCCATTCACACGGCTTCTGCTATTTCATAATGTCCTCTCCCTTTTTTTTAAAAAACGCGTTTGTAGACTTTGCAAACATGGACGCTGTGCATCGTCTTTGGAGCGACAGTGCAGAACTTCAACGCAAATATGACACTGCAGAGGTTAATTTGCATTAGGCACTAATTAAAATGCCCGTAAAAAAGCACAAATTCAAAGTTACGATCATGTTGGTCAGACAAAAGGGATGAACTAAGCAGCTTGGCCTTGGTAATCGCAGCACCATTTAATTGGTCAAATACCCACCACTTGAGCCAAGTGATGAGAAGGTGTCAAACACATTAGAAATAATCAAGGATTCTTATTTTAAACTGCAACCTTGATCATGATATCAACCGAAATGTCGAGAGTCCCAGCTTCTCCTCGAAGGAGATTTTTTAGGAGCTATGAGGATGAGTGAATCACAGTGATATTGCTTATTCCGAGCAGCAATTAATTAAACTTTTCTACGGGGTTGAAAACATTTTTCTCATGCATTTAAGATGATGAATATTCCTTCTTATTCACAAGTCTGAAAGGATGACAGGGAGTTTGGCTTTTTGACATGAGTTAGTGTTGCTCGCACTCCTTGAAGGTGACGGGTTACACGCGATAGGGTTTAGTTGAAGAGGTGCAATTGGATGCCTCCTATGCGTGCGGCCCCTAGACTTTCAGTGTTGCAATGTGTTTAAAAATATCAACAACCGCAATTCTTCCCCATTTTAACATGGTTGCAAACATCCTTTTACGGATTAGCTGATCGGAAGTGTTGGAATCAAATGCTTCAAATTCAACAATCAACGATGATTGGGGACTGTTAGCGTAAACACATACAAATTAAAAAAACCATAGGGAGTATCACGTTGAAATGTCTTTTTCAAAACTTCGTGTAAATTTCAATTAATTTATTCTAAAATGTATAGTCTGACATAAGAAGCGGCCCGCACAACCCCGGTGGTCCAACTGTTGAAAGGCAGTTAGAGGGCACCTCGGTTCCAACATCATTCCTCATAACTCATATATGCCTGCCCGTAACAACCTTTTCCATGAGAGTGGAACAACATCTCACTTGAAGTCTTTTTTATGTGGGACTTCAGAGAGGCGCCTTTTTAAAAAACGATTATCAGAGGATGGTGCAAACACAAGAACAAATGGGAGACATAGGTCGCATTTTTCAAAGGATCCGGCTAATTTGAAAGTATTTGGGCTTCGCTTTCCCAATATTGCTAAATGTCACACCAAAGATACTCCTAATACGTATTTCCAAAGGCTAGAGCCTTCCTCAACACAAATGATGGCAACGGATAGAATGCATAAAACAAATGTTACTACAGAAATGATGAAGTGTACATAATTGCCCTATGTGAGGATTTTTGCTGCTCCACGCCTCGAAGCTTAATCGCAGTTTTGAAGTGGGGTTGCGAATCGCTCCGTCAATGGACGGCAGATGGGCTAAATGCAATCAAAACAGTGCCACGCGCCAACACTCCAGAGCTATGGCCTAACGATGGAGGCAGTTGAAGCAGTGACTCATCCATCGCTCTTTCAGGGCTTTGATGTGCACTTCTCTCCAAGGTATAGGCGTGAAACGCTTTGTGCCGCCTTTGAAGGGATAAACATGAGTGTGGGCAACCGAATGCCGCCTTTAATAGAAAGCCTTACGATTCTCATTAACTCGCGTCCTATTTTCGGTCTGAAAATTAGCCCGTGAAAACATCGAGCGGTAATGGCTAGGCATTACAAAAAATGGGCTTCAGACGAATGTGGATATACTTCTGCTTGAATGAAAATAAAGCCTTGACGAAATCAGGTGAGGTTTTTACGTCAATGTTAGATGAAGGTGCAATAATCGCATTTATGAATGGTTTGTCTTTCATCAACAAATTTTGAGTAAGAACGCCTACCCTGCTTGTCTATTGGTATCTGATTTCTCTAAGCACTGCTCCACTGATATGCAGTAGTACCGGCGAAAATCGGAGCAGTCCCTAGGATGGGTTTGTTGATTCAGATGGGATTTGGTTATAAAGCACAGAAGCAGAGTGTGAAGGACGCTAGCAAACCCACGCACGCACTTGATGTGCCCTGCTCGAAAAGAAATAAAAATTTCTACTTACAGTGTTCCCTAAAGAGCACGAAGCTCTCTTTGAGTACCTCACATGATTGCTCAATCATTCAGTAAGTGGATAAAACTTTCATGAGTAAATTCAGAAAAAGCAACTTCACCATGCACAAATGCCTCGGTGCGATTTGTCACTGGTGAGCGAGGAAATCAATCACAACTGGGTGTCATTCAAAACTATGAAATGCAGTTTTGTAACTAAAAGCGTTTAGATGATATTTCAAAATGAATCTATGTTCCTAGCCCATTCCCAAGGATTTTGGACAAGCAAGGTTTGTATCGACTGAAAAGCATTGGCAAGTAGGCAGAGACGTCGCCGAGCCAGATGTCGCACCACAAAGTTGTGTGTGTAGTGGAGGGGGCGCTGAGAACTATCTGCAAAGCCTGAAAGAACGGTGTGCAGTGGTCTTAACAATGGTTTCACTCTGTAATCGTTTGCACGAAGTGGTCTAGAATTACCGATTCTTCCGGGTCGGAAATCCCGCGAAATGTTGGCCCCAACGGTGTGCAAACGACCAGTACATACGGTGAGAGCGAGAGTAAACAGCAGCGATTTTAAGTCAGTGCCTCAAAATCCTTCAAAAGTATATGGAATGGTTGTGTGGAAAATATTCACATCATCTAAGGCGTTAATTACTACCGATTAGAATAGGAGTGGTTCGTTGCAAAGCAGAATATGGTTCGAAACAAAAGAGGGCGCAAAGTGTTTCCACAGGTGTCGACCGTTTATTACGAAATTGCATTTAAACCACCATTTCTTGAGTGAAAAAAAGACCACAATTGAAACCATAAATAAAATAAAGAAGGCAACAGCCATTCTTTGCACTACTCTTCCAGCCCCATCCACAGCAAACACTGTGTTTGTGTACCTTGAAGACACGATGGTGTGCTGCAATGAGAATGGGTTTTGTTGGTTCCAGTGAGAAGTCGTGATTCGTGACACCTCTTAATGTGAATTTGTGTACTCTGTAATGTTTATGAGCGCGCAGTGCAACAGAAATGAATTGTATATGGCACAATCTGGCAACACAGGGGTATTGGTTCGAGAAGGAGAGGGCCAGAAGCAGGGCCAATGCTTCAACAGGTAAATGCTTAGTGCTGAAGACGTTGCAACCGAAATATTGGGACAAAGGTACTCTGTCTGCCTAATTTAATATAGGAATTACCAAACTACTTTCGCGCCCTAAATCGCTAGCATAAGCGAATTAACAACTTGAGTCTCGGCTCAGGTGCCCATATGGTGAACTTTAAAATAAAATAAGTAAGGAGCAAAGTCTAGTATTCAAATCCCTTCCCCTGTTTCCTCGCATAATCTGCATTCAGATGACAGCAAGAGAGGCGACACTCCTGGCATTTAGAGTTTGGAGAATACCTGAGCATTCCGCGTATCTACTGCTCTGCAGAGTAGGCATGATGGTAATGTTGGTACCTAATCGTATTCAGCAAAGTCGTGGATTCACATTCGAGGGGTTCATTGTCACATCCAGGTGATTGCTGTATGACAACTTCTACTATTTTGGAGAGGATTTATTGGTGACCTCACGACCGGCGCCTTTATGGTAAATGTAAAACACATCGGGTAAACCAATAAACCATCACTGGCCGACACACAAACAGTTCACCAATATTTGCCTGCGCAGAAATCAGCCTCGTTTGGTGGATAGGCGTCTCACAGCCGCTGCACTCTATGCTTGGATTGAAGAGGCAATCCCAAAATAGAGAAGAAAAAACCCTTTTCTGGGTGTACAAAAACATCTATGGCCGCTTGTTGGCACCATTACCGAGGAGCACTTGGTAGGCGCATACTTTGAGGGGGTACGGGAATTGGGTTGAAAGAATTGGAGAATAAATAAGCAGTTTTTTGTGTGTATGCACCACCGCTTAAAGAGCGCTGCACACGCTCAATGAAATTTGATTGTCAAGTGGTCTTTACCTTCACACTGCTAACTCCCAAATACGTGACGGCATCGAGCAATAATGCGAGTAAAAAACATTAATTGACATCTGTCAGTGAAGAAGTTGATTACCCAATAGTTCGTTTATTTGATTGATTAAAAGTTAAGCTTTGTAAGGTGCGCTAAAGCCTTTAGCTATCTGCTAGTTGATTCCAAAATTCCAAGTCAAATTTATAGGACTTAGAGAAGCAGAGCACACGGCAAATTGAGGCTAGGACTAGGGTTGAGTCAGAAATGCGACATCGTGATACACACTGATTCAGTCATCCTGCACGAAACTGATGCACCCATTGTTTGCCGTTAAAAACAACTATAAGTAAAATACAAAAGATGTGCTTGAAAAATGATAATTCAGTCAAAATTTGGACGCATAAACCTTATAAACCCAAGAATAGGAATCTGACAATCACTTGTACGTGCGTGCACCAAACGTCAGAAACATTATTGGCATTTGAGGAGCTATGATGTACTATGCCATTAAAGTAAGATATTATGAGCCTTTAGTCATATGAATTCAGGTGAAAAGGACTTACTGTGACGCACGCTGATGCCACTTCAGCCTTGTTGGTTGGCTTGCTTAGTGAATTTTCAATGTCATAATGTGGAATGATTGAGGTAAAGCCAAAGCAACTAGAAGCCCTTCGTATTAAGCTTAAATTGCCCTCCTCAAAACTCTCCAAAACCGCTGAGGCTTCATTCAATGGGGTTCAAAAGGCAATTCACTTTTAACCCACTTTACAGATTACCTTAGAAAATGAGTGCTGAACACGCTCCATTTTACCCTCGAGGACAGGAGCATTAAGTTTTTCAATCCCTACTTCGAGCGCAATGCACTTTGAGCGGTAAGACACTTCAAAAGATAGTCAAGAAATGAAGGAAAAGGTGGAAATTAATAGGGGATAGGACGATTTTTTAAAAAGGGCACCTCATGGAGAGAGGTCTCAACAGAATCAGCAGACCAATCGTAGAGTGGTGAGTGAAAATACAAATGCGTCTCAATACGTCGATACGGCACCATCAAATAATAAATGGGTAACATTCCCAAAAAAACGTGATGAATGGGTATATTTTGTTCCCATTTTAGAGGGAAAATGTCGTCTCAATTAATTACAGCTTTATAGTGACAGATGGATAAGTAATAGGCATATAAGGATGATTTGGAGCATGGGTGCATATCAGTCACCAAGACGAGACCAATTGTGTCCTTAGCCATAACTCATGATATCTTCACTGTCAAGATAAATCATTGGTCAGGATTATCGACAAATCTCTGGCACAGTTAACGCCTAAATGTCTTTCATAGTACTCAGTATCTGAGGAAGCATTCTATTGCAGTGGTCACAAATATGCTCAACAAACAAAGACGATATCAGTAGCACAGTTAGTAAAAAGTTAGGGGATTTGAAAGAGGGTGGTGAAACCCTGCCTACCACTGGTAAAACTTCATTGTCCCTAGACCAAGCAAGGCTCAATGACGAATACATGCAAATACTGAATGCTTGATGGTCCACAGCAAGTACATTTCATCCATCATTCGCTTTTTCCGGAAACGCATATTGAAAATGGCCGAGCCCATCAAAATGATCATAGTGAGGCAAAAAAGGCTTCCTATACTGCCTTTTCGCCACAAAAGTTACTCCGGCCTCGAAGTTTGAGGAGTGGGTATGCACACATTTCGTAGGTTGAGATAAAATGCATTTGAGCCTAAATGTAGCAGCGATGTTCCACGTCCCAGTAACCATTGTGATTGATTACACTGTGCGCAGTACGTAAAGTATAACTTCAATTTAGTCAGTAGTGTGGGCTTTCAAGGATGGGCGCCAAGACCACTTTATAGGAGAAAAGCATGGGGAAGCACATGCATCTAGAAGTTAGAGTAACTGCAAGTAATCATAGGATAAAGAAGATTCGGACGAATTCGACCGAACTCCCACAACATTTGTCAGCACCGAACTATGCCAAAATGGGTACTGGTGGACCCAGAGAGAGAAAGGGGAGACTGTGTAAATAATAAAGGAGTGATCTTGGTGATCACACACGAAAGCGCAATAATGAGAGCCCAATTAAGTAACGGATTACACAGTTTCCAAAGTTTTAAATTTCTAAGGTCGACTGAATGCACACTTAACTACATTGGGAGCCGTGTAGCCTCATATTTGCCATTAAGGCGCTAAATGAGGTGAATTTAATAGGTGTATCTACATGTACTTTGTGAGGGCAAACACCATTCAAAACCGGAGTGTCTCAAAGGAGAGTTATGACTGAACATAAAAACAAATACGCACTAAGTGAGTGAAGCTGTTCATGAAATAACGATCACATACCTGGTTTGCCAAGCACACTCGTACACACAAAACGCAGTCATTGGAAGTGCCAATTTTCCGGGCTTAGGAATCTTCATAATTGTTCCCTCCTTGAATTTAGAAGTGCCCAGTCGCAGGCGAAATGTGATCGGCGATACTTCGAAAAAATTCATCTGGCATAATTATAGGAAAAATAGTGAATGATATGGCCATACCAACCATGGCAACGAGTGATTAAAAAGGAATAAGAACGTATGTACTAGATACATTAGCGAACAACAAATACTTAAAAGGGTTGAGAGCAGACACTGGACCCAATAAACGGGGAAATGGAAATGCAATATAAGATGAGCAAGGCGAATGGACATAAATTTAGCAATTGCATAAAATGCCAACAAGTCGATCGTATGTCAACAAATATGAAGGGGCGACTGATATTAAAGTGGAGCAGTGAATAGGCGAGAGAACAGCCTGTGCAAATAACTTACTACACCTTCCAGATAGCGAAGCGGTTTACAGTCAACAATAGATTGGAGATACTCCTCCAACAGTTTTGTGCGGTGCGCCATACCCTCTTCGGGAACAGTGAGGATCCATCGCTTAGGAAAGGCAGAGAGTCGTCGTTTCTTAAGCGCCTCCGCCGGTGGTGCATTTTGAAAACGCGATCTCACCGTCCTTCTAGATAATCCAAAGTTTGCGCTCAGGAATCAAGCACATTAATTAGACTACTTTAAAAAAACGCTTTCCTGCAAAGGTCATTGTGCATCCATCTATTAAAAACCTAACGCTGCGAACATGCAGATAAACCAGTCATTGCTTGACTTCCTAACCATAAAAACAAAGACCATTAATCAGAACACATAACTCAACTATGAAGGATCAAGTATGCATAAAGCGCCATACCAGTGGTCAACTATAGGAATAAAGTGTAAAAAGTGCAGCGTTAACTATATTTCATTCAGCACACTCACGTGGCCCGTCTAACGCGCAGTTTAACTTGATCAAAAGCAATTTCTCTGTGTAAAGCGAAAATATCGTTGTATGTTTTCATGATTTTCCACTCATATGGTTCATGGTGCACGGTAATTTCATAACGGCTAGGAACCTTGCCTGAAGCTGCAACTGACGCCGGTTCTTCACTTGCAATTGTTGCGTCATCAACTATGTGTTGTGAAAAACTTGGACTTCGGACACGGTCCCGTAAATAGTTAAATTTACTTGTCCAATACACCTGGGTTATTTGTACCTTTATCGGAACATTAGGTAAATATATTTGTCCCGAATCAAATGCGTCTCCTGTTGCAGGAAAGTAGTTATCTTGCACATCAACACCGTCTTCTTCATCATCTGAACTGCCTTCAAAAGATAGCTCAATAAATGTATCCATAAAAATTCCAGCTTGGAGGGAGAATATACACTGCCAACTACAAGCACGAAAGTAAAATTCACCCAAGCACGTTATATACTTATATAGGCACAAAATAACACAAAAAGCATTAAAACTTAAAGGTGAAAAGAAAATAAAAACTAAAAAAAACACATAAAACGATTTTGCTAGCGAGCGAAACGTTATAAAAAGCAGTACGGCTAAATTCAAGCCGAGATTATAAATAGTGAAGCCACGAAAGTAACCCAAAAAAACACGAAAAAAGTAAACTACCAGACTGTTGTAAATAACGAACACAACAGCTAAATCCAGAATCAAATAAGGAGAAAGTGCAAAAGAAACACAAGGGGTGCGGTAAAGTGTGAGCAAATTCAAGAAGACGGAGTTGGAAAACACTAATAAAACAAATGTCTTCGATGACCTCAAAATATTTAAGAACATCAAACTAAGCATTGTTAACAACACTATAAAAATTATTTTATTATGAATTTTCTGTTAGGCTGCACTCAATACTTGTGTGCTAAATAATTTGCCAAGCATACTGAATTTTAGAGTTGGCTCAGGTAAATTTTTAAAACGAAAAGATTTGTCACTAATGTACCTAATGTGCTAATTCGCACTTCATAGAAAAAAACAAATACTAGGCTTAAAATGCGTTAAATATGCATTCAAGGAGTTAATTGCACGCACGGAAGAAATTTCAGCATATATTTTTCAACACATCAGCTATCCGTTAGGCTACTACGGCAATGAATTATTTACTTAGCTCATAGTTTTGGTATCGGGTCACTCTAAGGCTCCACTATTGTGTAGCGCCCCATAACTTCGCTGAATACGGAAGAGGACACAATACTCGGGCAAAATATATATTCAGCACAGAGAAGGGTTTTAGACTAGTGGCATATCCCAAAGGCCAGCACACCTGGCAAGGTACAAGAAGGCCAATTCGAAGCTTAAAAGTGGCACCTAACTAATACCTAAAGGCCAAACCACTCTCGTATTACAATTGTACGCTGATTGAGTGGGGGACTTCCGAGTCATGCCAGTAGTCTCAAGTGTTTCTCTATGTCCACGGTGTATACTCTGCTCAAACCCTATTTTTCGCTTTTAGGTCTTAGAGTGTTACATCCGGAACATCATATTCCTTGCTAGGCATATGCAAATGCTATTTTTTGTTAATTTAATGTTTGGTCATCTGCTGGGCCATGTTAACACAAAAAAATGCAAGAGTTTAAGACGAAAACAATTTTGTAGTTTTGCTTGATAAAAAAATGCAAGTCGTCTTTTAATTTTTGCTAATGAAGAATCCTTTAAATTATGTTCCTCTTCTTTTAGCGGTCCTTGAAACAGTCTTTTTTAAGTGCGCAACAAATGTTTTTCATAATTTATGAAAACTTTTAGCTGTGCGCTAATTTGTTTATGCACTTACCGTTTTTTGTTTGAATGTGTGATTGTCGTGCCGCTTTTTACGTAATGCCACCTTCCAATTTGGTCCCATCATTGATGGTCTGCTGATCCAAGCTCCATGTTACGGTCGAAACTGTGTTCAAGCGGACAGGGGGGTGCATTATTTTCTTGCTGTATTTCAAATGAGGACCCATCAGTACTTTTTATATTGTAACATAGATCCTTAGGAGCACAAAATAGATAGACACGCGATAGGTCCTCCTACGGATTTCCGACATCTTGCTCACATGGGATCTTCGGGATGTAGTACGAGTGTGGTAGGCTGATATCCGTATTTGCGTGCGCATTGCACGGTTGTTTTTATGCACATAAAGGGAATATTACGTCATTTAGACGTCATCGATTGTAAGTGGAGCCGGCCTGGACGACACATCGACGCAACCTCCGATCACGACCCATCTGAAGCTAATAGAGCTTTCCGAGGCCCTAGCCGCTCACAATGCATCTGCAGCTGCTGCCCTTCGTTTGACAAATCAGGAGTCCGTAACCAGTGTTGCTTTGCATCCTCCACCATTCTCTGTCACATCACGTGTTTCGGAAGCTGCCGTCCCGGCTGATCGGGAGCGGCGTAAGTCAACGACCACCTCTCGTTACCTAATCAGCGGTCCACTTCCCCCCCCACCCACCTCCTCCTCCTCCCTCCGCTCTCATTACATGAGGCATATCTCTTCGCTCTCCCCACTGTACATATCGTGCCTCACTGCGCCACTTCTGCTGCCTCTCTTCCCATCATGCATCCCACTGTTTCTTTTCTCTTTATTTAGAATATAAATATCGTATCATTTGGCTGTTACGTAATGCAAGTCTTTTACTAAATCTCTGTTACACTAGTTACTCATTGTAGCGGTTGACTTCTGCTTCTATTTGACATATGTAACAGATTTGATTATCGAAGTGTCTAAGTTCACAAGGTTGGGGGGAGGTGGCACAACTCAGCGTAGGGAGATTGCGGTAATCGAGCGTCACAAATTGAGAAGTAGTAACTCAAAAACGTTGAGTAGGAGGCTGATTATTTGGCGTGATGCAGTCTTGATCCAGGCCCGCGTGGACAGTGCTAATGGCCTTAAGTTGAGGCCGGTTTTTTTATTTCGGGCGAGTTATTACATGGTTTGGGTGTTCTAGTCCTGCGGATAGGCGGAGTCTTTATCCCGTTACAGTGGGTTTGGTCGATATTTCAGAGGCTGTTGCAAACAGACGACGGTAAGTAAACTTAGGCATGTCTCTATTAGGTACATGGTGCTCGTCCGTGTAGAGGAATGTAGGAATCATCTTTTGCTTATAGTTTCACTTATTTTCAGATTGTTTAACCTTTTAGATACTTCTATTTCTTTGAGTAGTTATTAATACGACCACTTAGCATTCGTCGTGAACTTAATTTGTCCGAAGGGTTGTATGCCATGATGAAAAAAATTTGCTAATAATACCCCGCAAAATTAAAACTTTTCCTCGGCACTCTTGGAGGCATTAATTAGGAGCAATTATTAAATGGTTCTAGGAACGTACTCGTTACAAATTAATAATAAAGTTCCTTTTGGATCTTAAATACGCAAATTTGGATCTTATGCATTTCTCTGCCCATAGCGTTGTATAGAACGAATTTGTGCATTTCTGTCAAGTGCCGACTAACCACCACAGCATTATGCAACCGTGCCTGATTCCTTGCCTGAATATGGATCAGCCGTGCTGATGACTCAGCTACCGACTTACAAAGTCCACGTTTATAATGGGTCATTTTAGTACGATGTGGCAGACGAAAACAATGCGCTGACAGTAGGCGGATGACTGTCTTGCTCCATCGCTGCTGAATCTGATCAATCGCTTGGCCTGGCTAACAGTTACTCCGGGTATAAAAAATAGACATGAGTGGAAGTCGTGTGCCTAAAATAAAATAGCAGCAGATACGGGAATGAGGAAGGGAAGAAAACACTACCTAACGGGTAAACACTAAGGTTAAAGGTAAAAAATGTATTAAACTCTAGCCAGACGTTCTCGAACCTTCCAGGAGATGTATGATATAAGCTGTCAAATACACCTAACGCATTTCTCTGCTGCTTAGTTTGTGACCCGTCCTCTTGACCGAAAATACCTATGTGTGATCATTCATGCATAAACCACACACTCCTGACTGTGATATGTGACGTCTTGGCTACGTGTGTGCGTGTTTACGTTGTGCATAGCATTATTCCTGTAGCCTGAGGTCGTGAAAGTGCTGCTGGCACATGAGTCCCAACCAAGACCGATGTCAGCCGCATTTCCATTTATTGGAATAGTTTTATCAATGAAAAAAGGTCACCCATACTTCGGTCCTAAGGGGATGGCGCGGATCAGTGGGACGCGCAATTCGAATTGACAGGAAAAACACCGTGCTTTGGTGAACCGAGATCGCACGCATACTACTGACAACAGGTTAGTGAAAATAGTAACAAGGTTAGAAGCAGATGACATTTAATAGAATACGTTGGTTGGCTAACTCTTGGTTCTGGTAAAGAAACTACTTTGGGTCTCCGCCATTGTACCTACGCCAGGTAGACTGGTCTCGGGGCCATGTCAGTAGCCCCAACCCCTTCTGTGCGTCGACAGTACATTTTCCCTCTGAGCATTGTATCTTCTTTCGTCTTCAGGTAAGTCTCGGGGCGTTACATTATTGCTATGAATAGCGTTACAAATATAACGTCTTAAGACAAATGAATTGATGGGATTGTACTACACTGAGATTAAGATTTTTGTGTTCCCACTTTGTAATCCCTTCTGCGGTGGTGAAAAAGCAGCAAAAATTAACTGACAAGGATTTGTCGTTGGAGGATGTGATAAGCGCCCACACGTATCCGGTTGATAGGATATAAAATGAATGCTTGTAATGCTGAGTTAACTCAATCCACCGAATCCGTGATTGTTGAACCGGATTACAGAACTCGACTATTTTGACGTAGAGTTCAAGCACGAATGCCCTCTATTTTGTTAACCAGATTTTGAGGCAATAATTTTATGCTACACATTCCTTTAAGTAAAAGTAAAAACACAATGTTGGGGGCGTGGTGTTTCAAGCAGATACTGAGCCCTCTCATTTCAAGTTTCGCATACTATCGCAGACTCGAATACAATAGGGCGTGAGTAATAATTACTTCCATAACGACTGAAGCTGTGTTGTCTGAACTTTTCTAACTTTTGCTTTATGAATTCCACACGGCCGAGGAGGGCAAAAACTGGCCAACTAGACGTACGCACGCGCCCACTGACTCATCCCGCTTGTTTGAACGACTTCAAGCACCGAGAAATGCCTCTTCCCTCCAAACGGACGTTCAGGTAACCTCAAACCAACCGCTATTTCCGATGGGCAGCAGGGTTCACCCTATCACCTCTCGTCTGTTCTTTGTCCACTTCCAAACAAGGTATACGTGATGGACCCAAACGATCCGAATACCCTGAGTATTCCATACTGACCCAATAAAGGATGATGCACCACTTACTTGGTGAGGAGCAATTTTACAGAAAAAATGCATTTTTCTCAGTAAATTGCCAAGGAGCAATAGAGTTTTATACATAAAATAAAATAAGTCACTGAATAACTCTCCTTCTCCGCGCATTGCAATGCAAACGTTGTTTTGACCTAAATTTGTATCAAATTACCACATTTCAAAGAGTTGACATTTTTGAGCCTTTAGGAAAAGACGTTCTGGACAAGCCAAACAAGGCTCCGTCTCAAGAACTTTCGAAAATATCCAAAGCACAGAGGAGTTGGGTAAATAAACAAAGTACGTAGACTTGCGGATGCATGCAGTTGTTACTTCAAGGTAGTCAAACGGTTTCTACCCAAGAATCCACCTTTAGGCGCTTGAGTTCGGCGATATTTGTAACGCCTACTTCAACCAGCAAAATGCGCGACCCGCATACGTACAGAAACGCGGGAGAAATGCACTCAGGAAGGGGAAGGCCATTGCGAGCACGTGGAACAACCTGACAGCCCTCACTTTTACTCATCAACCAGCTGGCCCGCAGAGAGCGCTTCACTCGTGCAATGCAGAACCTAGCACCCACGCGCATCCTACTCCCTGCCTTCTGGCCTGACCAAGTCCAGCTCTGGTTCGCCGCCTGTGAGGCACAATTCGCAGCCTACGGCATTCATAACCAGCATGCTCGCTACAGCTGCGTCCTGGCTCTGTTAAAACCAGAGGACTTGAGTCTGCTCAGCGACCTCATCCTCAATCCGGACCCCATACGGCCCTATGACCGCCTTAAGGCGGGCCTCATTCAGCGCAGTCACACAGCACAGTGGCGAAGTGCGCGGAACGAAGTACCCTCGGCCATTGTGCACCGCATCCGTCACGCCCTCTATGAGAAGGCTGTAGATGCAGACGAGACGGCGTTGAAAGAGATGATCGTGCCATTCCTCCCCCCAACAGTCCGCTCTGTACTAGAGCCGGTAAAGGAGACCGCGACGGTGGACCAGCTAGTGCAAATGGCTGATCGAATGATGGCCATGAAGATGGAGGGCGAGGCTCTGGAGGCGGCTTTCGGGGAGATGGTGTCCCAGCAACAGCGACAGACATGGCAGCAGAAATCCGGCAGGTCCAGAAGACGTAGTACAAGTCGGAGACCACGGGCGCCACCACAACGTCTACTCCTCTGTGAGTACCATCAGAGATTCGGGGAACAGGCAAAGCACTGCCGGCCACCCTGCGACTATCACACGAGGGAGCAAAAAATCATGTCTTAGGGTACAAAGTACCACTTCCACACTTCCATGCAACCACAAAATCCAGTTATTGATATGAATTTAAACTGTCTGCATTAGAGTAGCTACCGTTCCATCAAGAATGCTTGGCTCCCGACCGATATCTGAAGCTGGCATTGAACATCTGTGCCTTTGGAAACCAATTTATCTGTTTTCCCATAACAATGGATGTAATCTGCTTCAAATAGTACCAATAAAGCCTCCAAATGTAACTTTTTGCGGTAAAATCCATGGTAGACTCCGGAAGGCCCTATGGTAAGGTTACACCCCACAATCTTAAAAATCTTGCCCGAATGAATAATGGCTCCCCACCCCTTGTTCCACTGTGTGCAATTTAGGTCGTGTCGAAAAACAATTTAATCTGTTGCACTAAGCGGTAATGAGAGGTGAATACAGGCAGATTTCTAAGGGAACATAAAACCGCAAATCAAGAAATTGATGGAAGAATGGTCAATCTCGTCAGGAGTTAAGCACATATGTCTCAAGGGAAGTGCTCCAGCACATTCAAAGACGAATCTTCTGCATACCTTCGAATGCCATGATATCTCACGCAATGACCGCACCCATGATTCCTGCCAGTCGTCATCTTACAGCAGCAATTTTGCGCACCTTAAACTGAAGCGATCCTCACTCGTGATAATCTAAAGTGTTTCCAATCCTTTTTGAGAATTAAGAAAAACAAATCGACTAATCGTATCATAAAAACATTGCCTATGGATTCCAGATATCCATCCGAGTAAAACGATTGTTTAACAGTGGAGCATAAGCATCAACATATATTTAAAGCGTTAAAATAAATAATTAAACGTATCGCTGCTGTACAAAATCAAGCGGCCATCTCCTCTCCCGTCTACTGCAGAATAGCTGCAAAAGCGTCGCTACCGATGGCGCGAACAGCAGTGTACGCCTCTCCTTCCATCTCTACCGAGGCGATGCCACTGCGCCGAAGCGCTTCGACAGCTCCCGCTGGGTCCGAGAGGGCATAGGATGCAGCACGTTCGATTAAGCGGCCGCCTTCCATCACCATCACCTCGTCCAAATCCATTATATTATGGAGCCTGTGGGCAATTATCAGCACTGTGTTAGAAGCAAAGTTCGCACGGATTGTCTTCACCGAAGCGTCCGTTCTATGCGGGTAGAAGTCAATTAAGGCAAATAGTTAACACAATGGCATAAAACAAGGTACAAGGGGTATTTAATTCAGTGACCTCTAATTTTATATCTATAAAAGGGATGTCACCGTGGTGGTACTGCATGAGATGATAGGTGGAAAGATTCACCCAATGCTAATATTCATTGCACACTTGGACTGGTCCAGACACCGCTAATCAGGCTGGCAATCAATAATGGCAACGTATGCATGAAATGGCGTGATGATGAAACTTCCTCTGAACAAAGGTATGGAGAACCCCTAGTTATTCGAACCTGCAGAAGACTTCAAGCACAGAACGCTGTCGGGACACAGACATGGTAAGATATTTGATTGAATGCTACAGGCACTTCAAAGACGGCCGTACGTCCGTCGGTGATTATCCCCAAAGTAGTATTTCTCAAACTACAGCAAAGCGGTCATTCCTGTGAGCATTCAGCGCATGAAACGTCTGACCCTAGATAACTGTTACACAATCAGTCTCAAAGTTGCTCCAGGGAGCGTCTTTTTGTGGGAACGGTGAACAGAACAATCTTTAAAATTTAGCACACGCTGGATATCTAGACAGATTAGCCTTGGATGGTTCAACTACACTGACAAACATTTCTATATCAAGGTGCTTAACATATACTAGTTAAACGCTCCGGTGGATGCATAACTATATCAGGAGATCGTGTCGAGGAATAAATATGGCTTCCGCTAATGCAAGTTTAGCCTGAAAAGTTCCTGTTTGAATTAACCGATTCTCGCAGCATTCTGCTCTCTTGCACTGCTTGAAAGCACAGACACACATTCGTTCCTCCTTTAAAAAAAAAACCTTAAACTGCTGCCAACCAATGAACGTCGAGTTTTCTGGCCGTAACAATGCCGCCACCTATGCAATGGAGAAGGCTATAACCCCCGAAGTTTGCTCGATTTTGGATGACTAACACGGAAGGAGAGTTGGGAGGAAATAGGACGCACCTGGGGTCGACATTTGCCATAGCTGTTGATTAGGAGGGCTTTGTTCCCACAGAGAAGTGCTCTGGCCAGAGAGAAGAGTTACTTCTGACCGATGCTGAGTTTCAACCCACCAGTGATGATCTCGCTACTCAAACCCTTCTCTGACTTTTTAAAAGTTTCCTTCATTCGAGCCAGCGAGAGAAAAAAGGTAGAGCACCATCATTGCAAAACCACTAACAATTGAATAAATTAGAACAGTTGACTCCAAAAATTCACATCTTTTATTACAAACTAGAATATGATGTGTAGGAGAAGAAAATGAAGCCAACTAGAGAGATGAGAGTGAGCATACCACGTTTAGAACATCCCACAACTGCTCATCTGAATAAACCCCCTCGGGATCCAAGTTACTTCGAGCAGTACCGAAAAAAAGTAGAGGATTTGAACCGACAGGAAGCAAGATCATTCAATTAACCTTCAGATAAATTTTGTAGCAGGCGGCTCCACAATTATAATCCGATCACATGACGCGAAGTAATATTGAATCATCCAGAGGTCAATGCATAAAAATGTTTTTGAGTTCTTTTGGTGGGTCATTCACTCGTTCTGTTGATGCAAGGGGTGACGTACTTGCAGGGTGTAGGCTCACGAGAGCGCCTAGGCAATCAGCGACCACTACTGTAGAGCACTACCTTGTGAAAGCCAAATGCAATTTGAGAATTTTACAAAGGGATGGATACGTGGTTTATAAACAGGAAAGTAGCACAATCACTAGTTCATTACCACGCTCCACCACCTTCAAACCTTCAAACGGTAAAGGTGCTTTTTCCTTCCAATATTTTGGCAGAGGTGTATTATCGGTTTAGAGGAAAGATAGGCAACGATGAACCAGTGTTCACATGGACGCTCGAAAAAGGAGCATAAACAACTTCAAGGGTTGTGGACGAAGATTCCCACTTACTTGAGGTTTGATTGAAATGGGGCTACGCAGTTCGGCGAGATGAACCTGAGATATGTGCACTCCGTCGATGAGAACTCTCCCGCGTTGGATCTCAAAGGGGCAGAAGAGGAGCGATGAGGGAGCTTTTACCTGCCCCTGTGCGGCCTATTACACCCACCTGAAACAAGACAAGTGATAGAAACACGTGACAGCGGCAAGAGAGTAAATAATAGAGACAATGTCTTTTAAGGATACCACTGTGAGTGACAGCACCAGCGTTCCATGTGTAAGGAATGTGTGACTGACCGCTTATTCGGTGTTACATTTGAGGAGTGTCTCAAGTGAGAATCTAACCAAACTCCATTTCAAGAAACCTATTACCTGGTGTTTATCCTAACTTAAAAAAACGTTTCGTTGGTGGTTCCAATAAAGCGGATGTCTAAGTATTCCAATAAAAGAACTCACGAGCGATGAGTAGATTACACTTAACATGACCATCAGTACCGCAAAAAAATTAAAATTAGATAAACTCATATGGGAGTATTTAATGCAAAGATAATATTCCAGTGTATTGCAGAATGGTACCGGTAGATCACTTCACTGTCATTCGAAATAAATTAATGACCAAAGCCTTCGTCAGACCAGGTTAGGTCAGAGGTGTGAAGAAAGAAGTGGCAATTGAGTTTTAGAAAACTAGTTTCCAATGTGAATTTTATGGATGATGTAGCTTACAAAACACATCGGCATTTACCTCCAAATAAACATAAGTGATTCAATAAGGCAATGAAATCTCTTCTAATTAAGAAACTGCAAGTTTGACTACCCATAACAAAATTAAGTCATTCAGCAGATTCTTGGCCAACTATCTAGAAGAAATGACGGTAACAAGAGACAAAAAATGCTACGAAATTGTATTTCAGAATTCAAGCGATCAGGGTCTAAGTAAATTTTTCACCACCTATTTTAATATTCCGGCCGATGAACAGCCGCGGGGAATGAAACTCATTAAGTATTCAATAGGTAGGGAAGTGCAATCATGACTTGGATAAAATAATAGAATAAGTAATAATAATAAACCTTTCCAGTATCAGACTAACCTACTGTGATCAACCTCAACTCCGTCTGTAACATGAAACCCACCGGGGGGATTCGCAAAGACGCACATTTACATTGCTTCGCACGTATGAATGAAATCAAGTATACTAAGTACCTGATGCATACCTTGCTTCCGGGTTTAATGACAAAGTTTATTTCCCATAGCGCCCACTTTTTTCCATCTGGGTATTTAAGACACACATTTTCGAAGGCGATTGACCTCCTTGAAGGCCACTCAGAGGGGACCCTCAGGCAGGGAAGGTGAGTGACCGCGTTTTCAGTAGATGCAGATTTTTCTTCTCGTTCGGGGCCGACGTATTCTCGCATCCTCTCCACGGAAACCACCTAGAACGATTAAAGTAGCCAAAAGAGACTGGCATGAACTGAGTCAAAAAGTATTGCAAAAGATGTACTTAGAAGGAATTAGTATGAAGCAATAACCTAGATCTCCACATCCGCAGTCTGGCACAGTGCATACTGCGGAGAGCCAAACATTGACATGATGTAGCTTAACACGACAGCCAATGCCACGCCTTGTGAACCTCGAATTATTAAAAAAAATATCGAAATGAAATGAATGGTACCAAATTGGTAATAGCACACCGTTAGCAAACTTTGAAAAAAGATGCCAGCATACGAAACGTTTTCACCACAGTGTTGTCAACTGTTATGGGAGCATCCAGTTTATTTCATAAACTAGGAACTTAACGAAAAATGTCACCTTGTGTGTATACTTTCAGTGGTTGTATTTACTTGTTATTATTTAGGTAATGAGCAATTAAAAAAGCAAATCAAAGCTCGTATTTTATACAATTTAAATTTTGGAGGAAATTGGAGCGTTGTAATTAGCGCTCTGGTGCGGATACATTGAGTTTTTTGGTGAATTTACTCCTGCGATACCACGAGACAAAAAATAACAACAGTTTGCATTACATTTGAGGGAGAAAAACACCCCACTACATCAGCATAACGATGGACAGCTTTAGCAAAAAGTTTTGGCAATGATTTATTTAACGTGACTGCGTATCGAGCAAATGTAAAAAAGGTAGCGAATAATACTGTTTTCGCTCCGGAGTAAAAGACCAGGAAGATTGACAGCGTTACCAGTGCAGAAGTGCGCACACAAGCGACTGTTTGCAGGCGATGAAAATTGCCACAACTCGGAATTTCATCAAAGGCCTATTTTAGGTAGCCGTCAGTCTCAACGAACCACACAATTGAAGCTTATAACGACTGTCTGGAGAGTTGGAATAGAGTAGCACCATGAGCGGACGGACTACTAGACACAATATCTGCGATGGAAAACCAATGATTTCAGACACCGCCCAAGCATTCGCCTGTACTAGGTAACGGTAGAGGTCCACGTAATACCCCACTTCCAGAGCAGCTATCAAGGCTGCCACTAAGAGTTCTCATCGAAAAGCACGTAAAGTAGCGTAGGCGAGACTGAAAATGGATTATTTTCAATTCTTCGCTTTATTGTCTAAGATATCTGACATTAGAAGTCGTTTGACGACAAATTAATCTTTGTACTTTTGTCACTCACATTAATACACATGCCTTCTAGTTCTAAGTGGGTACATTAACAAGCGTAATAAACAGAAATTTCCCGCAAAAAGGAGAGCTCACGTGTATAATCCCTCTGTAACGTTTTCGGACTTGTGGAAGCGCATAGTTTTGGGCACATTAAATTGGTCCAGTGATCGGATATTCATAACCCTTAGAACAGTATCGCCCATCGAAGGAAAAATCGATCAACAACGTTCATGTCATCTGCTGACTTGGGTGTTTGCCGTTTTCCTGAAGCAGAGGCCTCTACATCTTTTTCGGTCGGTATCGTCTATAAGTAAAATATTTCGAAAAAAATACACCATGTGAATTATCACAAGTACACTTCGTGTAAACTTGTACAAATCCCCGAAAATAACGGAAGCGACTTAAATGGTCATGATCGACCACATTATAATCGAAATTGTAGTATGCCGTATTAAAGTACTGTCGAACTCATATTCAAAATACAATTCATCCACGTTATACTCTCACGTATAGGTTAATTACAACTAAAACGACGTCAATTAACCTTTAGTAGGAAATGTGCGACTACAACAATAAAACAAAGAAGGATTCCAACTCTGCGCAGGTTTAAATTAAATCAACTGAATACCTAAGAAGATTTCTAAGCAGCATGAATACTACCCAAGCCATGAAAATGACGGTAATCATATTTTGTGGGAAAACCTTAGCAGATTTATGAAAATGACTTTGCGACCCAAAGCAGAATATTATACAAGCTGTGTAGTCTAAGGAAAGACTAGTATGTGAAGCAAAACATCGCCATGGAAAGCATTAAATTGATCAACATTAAATGTAGTTCATTGAATTAATCTATCCCTAACCTGAATGGGCATGATTATGGTTGAGTAGATTGCATCCACTGGCCTCAACAATCGTATTTCATGAACAAGGCAAAATTATGCAGACGGAGTAGAAAAGGTTAGTGACATGACTTTTTTGGCTTCACCGTTTAGAAACAAGTATAATATAACCACCTCCAGACGTAACGCATCTCCAAGACACGACACCGCAGTCCAACCTATCTAGTCAAAACAGTCACAACGAAAGGCTCCCTCTGGATGTTACTTTCTGAAAGTTAAAATAATTTCTGTTGATCAAACAGGTGTTGCTCATAAAAATGGCGAGTTTCTTCGCCACCCAAGGTAAGTATGCCATTAACAAATCTATCTAATCTGTAAGTTGGTTAAGTCTAACTGGAGAGTATGAACATCCAAACATTGAAATATTCTCATATTTCGCACGCTTTAATCTACTCTAGTACAAGTCTAGTAAATAACAATGCTCCGACTAGACTAAATGATTCCGGTGGTACTTAGAATATATATGCAAACTAGCTACAAGTGCATCCCAAATAATGCCAGCTGCATTAACGATATTTATGGAGTGATTTGCTAATTTGTTGGACTCTCCCAACATTTGATCCTCCGCTGGTTGTACTTTCAACCTCCAACATGACCTCTGAAGTGCTTCCACTTTTTGTGACTTCCAAGAAGGCGAGTCTGGACAAAACTGCCATTAGTGTTGAAAGTGGTCGCTGATACGCTGACAGAAATTGCACAGACGGATCGTGGCGCTCATCACGCCAACACGCTTGCTGTTTGGGCACACGTGAGCCCAACCCCGAGCCACACGGGTGGCCCAAGCACTGCCCCGCGAACTAAGTGCAGCTGTGATCTAGGCACCAGACACCGCACATTGGTCACCAAAAACTCTGCAAGACCTCTTCTCTGCAAAAACACGTTCGCAGCACCGCGGTGACAGGAAAATGAGGAAACGTAGGACCCACGCACCGGGACGCCGAGCTTGGACAAATACCCTTCCCTCGTACAGCGCACACTCCCCCTCCCTCCCCCCCCCCAACACCCCATCCTTCGTGCATTGGTGATTGCCTCTCGACATTCGTTGTCGCTCCTTAGTCTGTGCTTCAAAATACGCTGTTGAGCCAGAAGGGACTACACGCCAGTTCTCACAAAGATGAGAAGGCAGTCAGGGGCTTCGACGAGTCCACTGCTCAAGCTGGCTGATGTCCCACGGCGAACGCCGTTCACTCGCCACATGTAGGAACATTTGTTTGAAAATGGCAATTGAATGAGCCACTAATAGATGTTTTCATTGCATTATCTATCAGGAATTTATTTTTATATGTACACTATAAAAAGAGCCTGCTGAGCTGAGCGTGTTATCCATGGTCTTCTTCTGTAGGCCCAGGACATTTGGCCTCTAGGTTGGAACTGTTCGAGTATTGTTCACCACACCAGAAGCAGTAGAAGTGCGACTCCCTCAGGTAGGTAGCAAGACGAGATAAAATCAAGTCGGGCTGGAAAGTGTAACGCTTATATTAATAGACAACCCAGAACTTAGAACTATCGCAATTACAGCAAGATAGTGCTACCCATTAGTAATATCTCGCAAAGCCTACCATTAGCAGTAGAAAATAGCAGTAAGCACATAAAACCTGTGTAAATGAAGGCGAGGAACTTAGCGCAGAAGTGGAACAACAATAAACTTTCCAAAAAATCTTACCTTGGACTCTATAGGCCCATGTTGCGCTGCATCAATGTCGCAATACGCTTCCTCATCAGACTCAATCCCCAGAACAGTGTCGCATTCATCGCGGCGTTCATCTAAATCCCTCGTGTTACCTGCATCATTCTGCCGCCTTCGTCTCTTTTTGCGACTACCATGAGGACTCGAACGACAAATCTCCCGACGAATCAGCTCCGAATGAGCCAGCAGCTTCGCCTTTTTTTCATCAGGAGGCCAAAACTCCTTGTCAACTGGCTGATCCCGAGACTGTGCCATGTCAAGCTGCTGGCAAATAGACCGTGCAGCCATTAATTGGCGCTGAGCACGCTCCATTCGAAATCTTGAAGCCATTGATGCACGAAAGTCAGACTGAAAAGCAGACATTTTCATGTCCTGCTGTTCCCTAGCCGCAGCGATGGCTTCACTCCGTTTCTTTTCAATATTGTGCAAACCAAGACCTTTGCGCCCATCGATTATTTCAATGGGTATCGGTTCGGAACGCCCTTCCGCTGTGAAATTGAGTCATAGGGCAAAAAGGATTTAGAAAACTACTGAAATCCTTCCAGTATATCCCGAGGAATTACTTAAGAAACAATGAGAACTAGTAATCCGAGGCTGGAAATCATTTCAGTAACGATAGGTGTGGGTATCTGGGAGAGGCTAAGGCCACAAAAACATTTCACACATTCCTCAAAGTACTGACACCCTTAATGATAGGTAGCGATTCACAAATGTGCTGACGAGCGCTTCAAATATCTGAGTGCAAAACTATGTACATAATGGGTGTTCTATGATAATAGAGTAACTCACCTTTTTTGCCTATTCCACCATCTCCCTTGAAGCCCATTTTCAGCATTAACTTGTAGCCGATATTATCTTCTCCAATGCGCCTTTTCAAGCCCTCTTCCCGTTTAATATCCATTTGCTTTCCGTTATGTTTGTTCTGCGACGTTTGCATACATTGTTCTGCTACGCGCTTTCGCGTGCTTTTTGATGCAAGACCTGAACACAAAGGCTTTACTCTAAAAGTAAACGTGACTCGTCTGTCAATACGGTGGGTTCAGGAATTTGTCCGACATATAGTCCTCATCACTACCATCATTTTCGTCCATTTCAGCCTAAGCGAACAATGGCATCACAGGTCAAACTGCGTATACTATAAACCACTAGGAAATGGAAATGTGCTTCTAGGCAATTTTGCACAAAGAGGTAGCTCAGATCAAACTATACGTGGGTGACTCGCCAAATGGATAAGGGCTAAAATATAGCACCCAATAACATTAGAATATTCGGCATTGTTGATACTTAAAAATCAGAATGATTATCTTTTATGTAGGTTGCCAAACCATTACAAACAACTCAGAGCCTACTTTGACCAATATTGCACTACGTGACACATTATTTGGAATACCATTGATTTCTCACTTCCTCAAGTACAGCTCACTGGTGAAATACGTGTATGTTTACTAAGAGTTGCCACTTACCTGTAGCTTTTAAATTAATACGAGCCGGTTACAACGATTGTAGCCACTTAAGACTACTCTGAGAATAAAAAGGGAAGAATACGTGGGCAGAGTATGCATATTCGGAGTATAGTTGGGCATGGGGCTACTGGCATGATCGGGAGTTCAGCCCGCCGGACGAAAGAGCAGTAATGCGATCCCAGCTTATCTATCTTAGCAAAACCGAGAGTTAAACAACCGAAGTGTTTCATTTCATCCCGTTTGTTACAATCGCCTTGTAAGCGAACTTTCCGCAATATCGCCCTAATTGACCTGCAGCAGGCTCTTATTTTAACTTTATTTGAAATCACCCACAAATTAAATTTCCTAACGGTGCCATTTGTTTGTATTTTTTGCAGTGCAACGGACAAAATCTTACTTTTAAGAGCCTGCTCATCATTTACATAATATAGTCCTTTTTGTGTTAAAATAATTCTTTGTAAGTTAGACAATGCACCGCACCACAACTATAAATTTAACGCATTTGTCTTAGTTCCTTTTGTTTATATAACCTGGTCTGCCTTACTGGAACTGCCGGTCTGATGCCTCGGCAGAGAAGGTTTTTTGCGGATTTCCATCTTCGTTCCTAGTGTTTCTTGATCTCTTGATCTGTAACTTATCCTTGTAGATTTTCCAGTGGTCCCAGAGGATCCCCAACGGCAATGCGTCCAGCGGCTTCGGCGGCGCCCCCGTCACCTCAGCCGTCGGGTGCCACACCACAACAGCCTAGCTTATTCAAGCAAATGGCCGCAACTGCTGCTGGTGTGGCTGTCGGCTCAGCTGTAGGCCATTCTATTGGGAGCGCTCTTACCGGTGGAAGTTCGCAGCCAGAAACTGTTTCCGCCCAGCAGCAACCTGATGAAGTCTCAACGGCCGTCCCTGCTGCCAATCCCTGTCAACACTACATTGATGACCTAATACGATGTTCATACGTTAACGGTGATATTTCACAGTGTCAGTATGTTGCTAATGCTCTGAAAGAATGTAGACGTATGTACAACCTCCAATGAAGATGTTGAACTAGCCGTAGTTTCGTGTAGTGCTCTAGTGAAGTTATAATGTTGTGTTGCCTTTTCTGTGCCCGCTGTATTTGTAGAATCGTACGTTCGTTTTGGGTTCGTGCTTTGTTTTGGCTGTACGGATTCAAGCTTTGGGTTGCTATCGCAGCTGACTCCGATTGTGGGTTTTCGCCATTATTTTGGGGCTTGTCATTTCCACCTTTCTTTTCACAATGGTTGTGTTCTCCCTTGGTTCTATGTTCCAAGAAGTGATGTGTCGGATTCGAGTGGTAGCTATTGTCGGATTTGCGGTTTCACCGTGGGCCAAAAGGCTTGCGGCGGGTCTGCGTGTCAGTGGCGTTGGGTGGATCCTCAGTGTTTTTGTCCTAAAGTGATGTGAATTGTATTTTGAAGCGAAAATCAGGAGCTTAGCGACGCGACCGCGGATTGGTTCTTTTAAGTGTGTGGGTGAAGTTCAGCAGGGGAGGATAGCTGTTGTGGTGCTCTTTTGTTTTCGTTTTGTAGGTGGAGGCTGGATATGGCTCCTGGGTGCATTCCAGCCTTTGTATCGCATGTATTGGGGGTGGGGGAAGGGAAGGAGCCGTACTTGCGGCGAAAGATCGTCTTGTTAGGTATTTTACTAACGGGTGGTGGCAAGCTTTATTCTGTTGGAAGGGTGAGTCGGTTATGGCCGCTCCTGATGGTCTCTCGATCGGCTCGCGTGCCGCGTGACGTGTGATTTGCCGAACTGTGACCTTCGTTGGGCCACTCCAGCCTTGTATTCTGGCACCTACAGGAAGCGTCCATCCCAAGAAAAGTTGATAGGTAGAGTGCGCCGGGTTTCTTCTTCAGTCGGGTTGCTATGGAGCTCATCAGAAACCCCAGACCTCTAGACAGGTTTGTATCGGATTCGGTGCTCACTAACATGTGGGGATGGTCCATGTTTCCGCCGGAGTTTTTTCGCTTAGAATGCTCATGGGATCTCTAACCTGCGTAAGCACCAAAAAGAGACATCATAGATTCCACCCCGAGGATAAAGACGTGCTTCTAATAGTGAGAGGAATACGTTTAGCTATTTGGTTGGCAATACGTAGTTTGATTCGCGATAGCTTTCCATCAACAATGATAAAGTATGACGTCAGGAGAAAATAATCAGACATAATTGATGAAGTTTACACATTGAATTCAGAAGGAGTTTCGCTGGTTGTAGAGTTTAAAGACAAGCTATAAGAGCATTGCCGTGGTGAGTACTACATAGGCACTTTGTTTTAATGCATTTTCGCGTGATAAGCAAGGTGTTAGACAAAATTGGTTTTTTTATCCCGATTGCTCCTCTCAGTAGGAGAGAACTCTCGCAAGACCTACCCACACACCCAACCTCCCATCCAATATGCGCTGCCTAGCGCAAACCAGTTTGTGAAGTAGGTGTTTTGACACTCGGGCTACACAGGCCGAATGGTGAATCATCCATAATTGGGCATCGAAAAAAATACAGTGGTAGGTTGGTCATGTTCAGCTTTTAGAAATTGGATGCCATAGGCAAATAAGACAATGTGGTAAGAGAGCCACATCGCATTGAAATTGACCAAAGCAGCACGAAGTGCCGAAATCTTGATTGCATCGACTTGATATTTTGTCTAATTATGTGTACAACAAAGCAAATACTTTGTGGCATGGCTTTTGAAGCATGCAATTAGCCCCCCAGCCCTTGTGTGCGTCAATAATGTAAATGTTATCCCACAGTGCCTAGTCTTATTAAATCTTCAGCAGAGTTGGGACGCCACATTGCTGGCAGCAAGCAAACCCAATGATTTCTGCAGCCAAATACCAAACCTCAACAACATGAGAAAAAGGGAATCTGCAGCAGGTGGCTGAACGACAAAGACTGGTAACAGAAATATAGTAAAGGAAGTCTAGCTTTTGCGACCACTCTAGTATTGTATTCTAGAGGAGGTCTGTTAGCAAGCGATAAAACACTAGTGTGATACGATGGTTCTTTGTCCCTCGGTATTGGTGAGGCGCCACCTTTGTACTTTGAATTAGCCCTCTTGTACTTCGCCGGGTTGGCTGGCCTTCGGGTTATGCGAATAGCCCAAACACCTTCTCTGTGCTGAATACATAATTTGTCCGAGTATTGCCTCCTTCCGTCTTCATGGAAGTCTCGGGACGCTACATTGGACTTGTGCGATTCTAAACCATTCATTATGGAGCTCTCTACAGTACCCAGATGCCAATGCTAGTTAATTATCTGCTTAGGTAAACAAACAGTAAGCCAAGGTATAAGATCGTCAAAAATATGCTTTACTACAAAACTCTACGTATTGCTACTCTTGGGCGGGCTCAGGGCTCTGCTTTAGTCGAACGTTTTCAATCCCCGGCCATAGCTGCGTTCCATGGAAGTTATGCGCAGAATTCTAGACGCACCACGTCTTACGGGCGAAACACAGCACGCATGCATTTGAAGATGTGACGCAATTTTAATAAAAATAACAAAAAGGCGAACGAATCTGCTCTTTTTGTGTCTCTGGAAAGTTTTTCGCATTTTCTCAGATTTCCTTAAAAATAAACGAAATTTGCACCCATCAAATGTTGCCTGACTTGCTACATCATGGACAATAATATGTGCATATTCCAAATAATTTCCAAACATCAGTCAATTTGGGTGATCTGCAATGGTATGATATTAAAACACCAGAAGATCGTCCAAATTGTTTAAATTCATTTGTTTAAAGCAGCTGAACCTTAAAATCCCGTTCAGGTTGACTGGCTGATGGTGCGGTTTGCGCGTGCGCAGCATTAATTACTCAAGATGATGAAGGATCCTTCCCCTCTTATTGTTGGCGATCCTGCCAAGTTTCATAAACCTGGAGAAAATTACAAAACGGATGGCTATGTTGTGACCAATCGTACTCAGGTCCTGCTTAAAGAGCATTTGGCCAAAACAGGTGGTCATGTTGTGACCCGTTTTCCACCAGAGCCTAACGGTATTCTTCATATTGGTCATGCCAAAGCAATTAACTTTAATTTTGGCTATGCTAGAGTAAGGCAAAACACTCCTAATATCCGTTTTTTAAGAAAACTGGTGGTTTTTGCTATTTGAGATATGATGATACCAACCCTGAGAATGAAGAGGCTCGTTTCTTTGACGCTATTCTTGATATGGTCCGTTGGTTGGGATTTGAACCATACAAGGTCACCTACGCATCTGACAATTTTCAACAACTTTATGAGTGGGCACTGAAATTGATCGATTTGGATCTCTGCTATGTGTGTCACCAGCGTCCTGAGGAATTAAAGGGTTTTGATCCTCCCCCATCTCCTTGGCGCAATCGACCGATTGAGGAATCAAAAAGGTTGTTTATGGATATGAAAAATGGAAAGGTCTGGCTTTTTGCGTATTATTGCCAAAGTTCCATTAGTATCCAAATGTTATCATAATTTGCTAGGTTGTTTGTCTATCCAAGTTATATTGAAATGAGATTATGGATGGTACTTGCGTCTTCTGTACCGTAAACGCACTGTCTGTGTGCCAGAAGTACTATTCGAATGCCAGGATAAATGAGTGTAGTGGGTTAACACATTTACTGCCAGGATCTTAAGATATAGGCCCTTGCGGACTCCATATTTTTTTGGCGTGATACTGTGCGTACTTTATTTATTTGGTCACTTTAACTTACTCGAAATCACAAAATTGCAATTATCATTAAACCGGGTAACTTTTACGCCTATTTCATTGTTTCTAGCTTAACCGATTCGTTTGTGACTCCAGATGATGCAATCAGTTATCATGAACAGATAGCGAATAATTGCCACGTGCTTTAGGTCCGGGTTTAGATAAGCAAGTCGGAGTGCTACGTATGTAGTGCTGTTAGCGCAAGTTAATCCACTCATGCAATGGTTTTCGATCTCTCTATTTACCGAAGTTGAGACCCACTATCCTATTTTAATGCTTATTGTTAATCCTGGCTTGAATCACTTCGTGTACTCATTACCGCTGCAGTTGGAAGAAGAAGCGGCCACTCTTCGGATGAAGTTAACGCTGGAGGATGGCAAGCAAGATCCGGTGGCTTATCGCATAAAAATGCGTCCTCATCATCGAACAAAAAATGAATGGTGCATTTATCCTACCTACGACTACACTCACTGTCTTTGCGATTCGATTGAAAATATTACACATTCTCTGTGTACAAAGGAATTCCAGTCTCGGTGGGTTGGTTCCTTCAATTCCTTTGATTAATTGTACTCGACCATGTAATTGGAAAATTTCCACAAATTTACAGGAAGCAAAATATTTTACTGATTGAAGTCTTTCTGAATGTTTCACCAGTATGCAATGTTGAGGGAAGTGGAATTTAACCCAGCCATGATTGCAATCTACCATAAAGGTGCGCATGAATTGTAGGCCTTTATGGTTCATATCCTTAGGTTCTTCGCTAACAGCACATTTACTTGCAATGATGCTTGAATTGCCTTATTTATTCAAGGGTTAGATTTTACTCATTTACAAATATGTGCCTATGTTTTTATAGCATAAACTAGTATTTCAAAGGGTAGGCTAGACACAGCTCCTTAATTTTGATAAGAATGGACTCAGTGCATTAATAAGCTACCTAAAGGTGCTCTATACAAAGGTAGATTATCACCTAACTGCCAATATATTTTCAGGCTGGATTTCGTGATCACTGACTCTAAAGTCTATTTTACAAAGAAGTATGAGTACCTCGTAAAAAATCTTCCAAGTTTGAGAGAGTATCTGCGCATAAGACGTCCTAGTGGTATCCACGACTCGGATTCTGAGCTTCTTGTTCGTTGTAACCACATTTTTTGATAGCCGGATGAAACTTCGTTTTTATTGAACAGTCTTCTGTGGTTCGCTGCTTTGACGAACTCATACTTTTTCCTAATATCTGATACAACTGTGCTCGCAACTGGTAGCTTGACTCGTTAAAAATACGGGAGCCTTATTTGTCAAAATTTCATTGAAATTCAAGCGGTTACTATTTAAAAGTAAGTAAAACTTAAACATTGCAGTAATCGGGAGAAGTGTTTATTTAGCTGGCACTGCCTCCTCGGCCCGTCGGATGTATAGCACACAATGAATATTTTTGTCCAAGTCAATATGATCTTCTGGATGCCTTTAACTTGTATAATTACTCGCGTATTAGTCCTGATCCTGTAGCTTTTTCGTAATGTTTCCCGAAAATAGATCGTCAAATATATTTACTTGTTAACTTGTTATGCCGCCAGGTCTTCTTCCACTACCTTTTATCATTTTCTTAACCGTTCATTGCTTTATATTTGCATTCCACCGAGTTTGTACCCAGAACGTCATTCATCTAATTTATCATCGTTGATCCTGATTATGTTTATTGACCATACGTTATAACAACCTCACAGTTGCTTTCATTTACCACGTACATTTTTGCATGCTCATACCCCTGGGACTGCAACTCATTTGAAAGAATAGCTTCTTAAGTCACTGCTTTTAGTGAATTAGCACAGGAGAGATTTGCGTGTGGAGAAAGTTAATGCATTCCCAAACCTTGAACCGACTGTGCAGGGAATTTCAAGCCCTAACTGGGTGTGGATGATTAGTTAATTAACTTAATTATATTGTCGGGTAGGCAAAATTAATGGCCATTTTATTGAGGTACTTACCTTACTCTTCCGTCATCACTTCCACCCGCAAATGTCAATAAGTGAAGCCCTTGAATAACTCAATTTGAATAGGGGTTTTCTTGATAGCGTGGGAGGTTGTTTACAGATAAAACCACAACTTACTTGCAAAATACTTATGGATGTACAATGTTAATTTGAAATTTAAATTGCCTTGATCAGTTAGATGCGTTTGATCGTGATTTCATCGTAGACATAAAGATGTTGAAGTTGACTCGCCTTCTACATATTACTTATTGTTTATGAACATTCTCATGTTGTCTCGAATCAAACAGGCAAATGATAATAAGAAAGAACGGCCGTATATTTTAACGATTGACTACTTTCATTTATGTACACATTTAATGATGTTGGAGTGCATAAGATGCTTATCTGCTATAGTTTTGGATCGGCTATGACAGCTTTAACGTTTTTTCTCCTTCCCTTGAACCGTACATTTTAGACGTTCTTCCTACTACTGGTTGTGCAATGCCCTAGACATCTACTGCCCCGTGCAGTGGGAGTATGGTCGATTGAACTTCAACTATACGGTAGTTTCGAAGCGAAAGATTCTGAAGTTGGTTGCCGCGGGCGTGGTGGCGGATTGGGACGATCCGCGCCTATTCACGCTTACCGCGCTGCGGCGCCGTGGCTTCCCCCCCGAAGCTATAAACAACTTCTGCGAGATCATCGGTATCACCGTGAGCCAGACCGTATTGGACCCCTCCGCCCTCGAGGCCTGTGTTCGCGACTACCTCAATAAACACGCCCCTCGCCGGATGTGTGTGGAAGAACCCCTAAATCTGGTCATCAGCAACTGGAAAGAACTCTATGGTGACAATGAAGTAGTCGAAGTAAGTGCTGTGTCTCCATTACGGCCCTGGTGCCTCCTAATTCACAGTAGTCGGATTAAATAATTGTCTTAAGCTTTCCTTAGACCCGTTATTTACATAACAGTACAGAATGATCAGGCCGGTCCAATTTATTCAAACAAACGTCTGTTTTTACCAAATGGACAGTGTAGTATCGATACTGAGGCACCTTGAATTGTTGATTGCTGATGCTTTTCAGCATTCATATAATATCAGCATTTATCCGTTTTCTTCGCAAGCTATTTTCCAAAGCCCTACATTTATGAAATTTCATTAATAATATGTAAAGGTGCTTAATATGCGTAAATCGAGTGAATTAAAAGAGCTCCTGCGTGTCATATTTTCGTTAAGATTCCCCCACCCTCGTCAAGCCGTTCAAAATGGAATGTTGTAGCTTATAGCTGTGATTGGCGTTACGTGGAGGTATTTTTGCTGTAGGGAAAGTGCGCATATACTTACACCATGGTTGTTAAATTGTTTACTGTATTTCTGGTTTCAAACATTTGGCAAAGGGGAAAAGTTTTTGATTTGTCACTCATATGTAATCATGCGCTATTCTAACACTTCGCGGAGTTTCCCCACTTTGTGATATCTTTCTGTAAATGCAGCACCATTTTATTTTCATCAGTTAGATGTCATTCCCTTCATTTAAGATAGTTTTCTAGTTTTCTTTCCACTTTTGCTCCCAAAACTGCTGTGTATACTTTGTATTTTATTCTAGTAGGTTAGTGTCATAAAGTTGTTGCTAGGTGACCCTTACAATGGTTTTTTGACTAAAAGAAACTGGAAGGGACTTGTTACGGTTTACCTAGATTTCTTAAAATCTATATTTTTTCTGTTTTATGTTCCATCTTTAATACACCCACTGCTTGAAGGATTGTAAGATGCGAACATTGCACATACGTAGATCTTTTCATAAAAAAGATTGGTGACTTTTTTACAATCAAATCGACACATTTCTGGGAGAGCTGAGTTATCTGTCGCATTGTGCAAACCGAGCGGAAATGTAAGAAATGAGGTCAGCTTATTCCTACTGAAGTGTTAGACTGAGATTTAGAATCGGTAGTCGCTTTTCCCTTAAAGACTTTCTCATTATTACATCAGACGCTCTGAAGAAACTGCTTTTACGGCATGCCATCGAAAAGGTCATGTTGCTTCCGCTGTTTCAAACTGTTGGTGCAGAATCCTTTGAAAATTTAGCTTCGCTAAACGGGACTGCCTTTGGGGTTTTTCCTTTCAAGCTCCTCCTTATTTCCATCCGGAATCATTTTCCATATTACTAATGGAAAATTTTCACCAGACGTTTCACCGGTGTTGCATTTTAAACACATATGTTGAATGAGAAATTACTTGTTTCGTTGGCGCCGATCAGGTAGCTATCCCACATTTGTACCACAAAACAGTGATCAGCGATTGCTCATTTCACCACCATTAGTATTCCAGCAGTGGTTGGGATCATAATGTCCTTATGTTTCAATTTAATACCATGTGTAAATGTTAATTTCATGGTTCTTTTGTAGGCTTGCGAGCAAAAGCTGTAGTGTTAATTGTGGCAGCGCCTCCACTGCATTCCGTAATGAGTACGCTATGGCAAATAACTGTCCAGCAGCCGAGGGCATCTGTGGAGTTTGTTCTTATGTGCCAAAGTTTTTAATTTTTACTACGTATTCGACCTTTCCACCACCTCGTGCAAACAAAAAATTCATTTGGACCATTTCAACAGCTTATCTGTGTGGTGTGTCCTTTCTGATCAGTTTTTTTTCTTGCTGATGTCTGCAACCTGCTAACTTAACGGACTAAATGCTAATTACACACTGGCCAAGAGCTTGCGGTAACGGTGTGGTCTCTCCATTGATACGAGCTAATTCATCTGATGCCCAAAAAATTGCGGGGTTCTGAATCATCGTGTCGGGTTTTTTACGTCTTTGAGGTCCCACGCGTTGCTAGTGCGCGTGGGTCATAAACTGAGCACTGCTGTCGAATTTCTTTCGCTTAACCAGATGTGTTTGGATAGTAAAGCTTTTCATTGCTCGTGGTTTCACTTGTCTATATTCTCCCCATGAAATCCTTTAGTTAATGAATTTTCGAAAGCGCCGAGACGTAGATTATGCAGTCAGATTGGTTATCCGATTTATTGCCAGTTGTTTGTTGGTTCGAATTTTGTCATCTAACCGCCTCATACTGTTTAGCGCCTGCTGGAGACAGTTAGCTTTTTCTCGCACCTTTTTGATATTTTCGTACATAGATGTGAATTTCTCCTCATACCACCCCCTAGTGTTTTATCGAAACATTAAATCCTCTGGCAGCGACAGATTTTTATGACCAAACCATTAGCGGTGACCTCTATCGCACTCGAAGAACACCGGCTGCACAAGTGGGAGCGATTCACCGAAGTTCGTATCTTGGGAAAAATTTTGTGATTCTTTGACCACTTTCAGGGAAATACAATGTAATGACAAGGCGGAGGCGGTTTTGGAAACGTTCATTTTTTCTAAAAGGCACGATAGCGTGCTGTCTAGTACAGCATTCCATTCTCGAGGGGGACTTCTCCAACAAGTACCATTTATTACAATTTTGAAATAAAGTCAAAAGATGGGGATACTATTTCATTGGCCGGTGGGATTTGGTCATTCCTCATCGCGACAAGTTCTTTTCCACCATCACGTGTCGTTATAGCCATAGCTAAACTAGAGTCAAGTTTATGCAGCTTTTAAATACGATCATAAGGAGTGAATTTAATGGTTTCCGTAAAAATGAACTACTTGTAAGTACTTTCCATGCTTAATAAGTAGCCTGACTCCTGAGAACCTCGAAACTCCTAATTAAGATAAGATGAACGTGAATTCTTTAAACTCATACACTAAAATGATTTGCAGTGAGCTCATAGCACCATAGAAGTGATCTCAGAAGCTCTTCTAATGGTTCAAATTAGTACCCGTATTTAGGGATAAAATCCTTTTAACTAGTAAATCAAAATGATTGGCCACCTAGTCAATGCACAAGGGTTAAGCAGGACCCTTGTTTCCATTGATTGAGCTTGATGTACGGTACTCATTCATAAAATTACCCTCTGAAAGCGACGAACCTGCAGGTCCGTCATGCCTTGTTGTGGCTTCCCGCAGTTTTTTTGCGCGAACGAATAATAATTCGTTAGAGTTGTTTTCTCCTTGTCCATATTGATCACAAACTTCCTCCTTGTAAATTCATTTTTTCTAGTGGCCACTTTTCATAGGCGTAAATTTGCAATTTCAATCGGACCTTTCCCTTATTATACAAAATTATCAATGTCCAAAAGGTATCAAGCGGCATCCAAAGCGCCCACATTTCGTATGCAGATTCATTTCTTTGGATTCATTATCAAGCATACGCTCACTTTAGGGAATGAAATTATTGCATTCCAGATCACCTGTCACATCTATCCATTGCCTTTGCCGCCTTGCCCGCTTTTAGTGTTTAGGGTAAAACACGGTAACAAGTATCTGAAGCGACCGAAATTCCCCGAATGCGATGCAAAAAATCAGCTTAAAACGGTGGTAGAATGACAGTGATTTGCAATAAATGTGGCCGTTTGGCTGTGTTGTAGTCTCACATGCTGAAATTTACGGAAACCCGTGTTTATTTTCACTCATGCTTCGGAATTCATTCCGATATCATTTCTGTAACCCGTTTGTTCTACATTCTGGTATCTTAGTACGCCGTTATGAATAAATCATTTCGTCGCTTCTAAAGCTTCCATTTTATGTGCCAAAATCTTCACTGCTTAATTGTGCTGTAAACCATGTTTGCTGCTCGTAAGCTAGCAAGCTGTCACATGGCTTATCTTTATTTTATCTAGAGCACAAATTACTTGCCACTGTGTGACTTGGGATTTCAGATAAAAGTAGTTGAGGGTCAAGACTCATAAGTCATGACGCTTGAATTCCGAAACATCTACAGCCTCTACCTCCTCAGGATAATGCGAAGCACGGCGACAACTTGCGTAGATGAACGCTCGTGTGAGCTCAAACACGTGTGTGTATGTATGCGATTCATCCATTTCCAAAATGACCACCTTTATTACCTTTAAACCGCAATACAAAAGACTATTCAACTGCGTCCTCCTGTATTTACCCCAATAATGCGGGCACATTCAAAAATGCAATTTTTTTGCATTCTCAAGGTGACTGCACCTGACTTCCCCGCGGAGGAAAACAGCACCATGCGTCAGGTGATCCTCGCGCCCGAATTGTTTATTGAGCAGTCCGATTTCATGCCTGAGACGAAGCCTGGGTTCCGTCGGCTAACGCTAACCCAAACGGTCGGCATCCGTTATGCTGGTCTCGTTCTCTCCGTCAATGAGATCCACAGGGTACGCCATCTACATCTGGCCACTTTAGCACCTTGCTTCCAGCGTTTTAATTGCTTCCTTTATTTAACAAAAATTTGGATTATTAACGAACGTAGGGGAAATCATTATTACGGCAGTCAAGGTTAAGTGTTGGTTTCGAAGACGTGAAGAGTTTGCAAACTTGTTTAGTTCTCGCAAGCGGTTGAACGCAGTGATGTTTGGTCGCTGCATTTTTGAAAATAACTGCCTTTGCGAATGAATCACTTTCTTTTATGTTCTTTTAGGATGCTAATGATAAAATATCAAGCATTTCTGTCATCGCGACTCCAGTTTCTACGGAAAACAAACCAAAGGCGTTTATTCATTGGGTTTCGAATCCACTAAAATGTGAACTTCGCCTCTACAGCCAATTGTGAGTTTGGATAGTTCCCAGGTTACCTTGTTCATTTACTTCCATCCTCCCTAATCATGGTTTCCGTAATTTTGTTCACTCTTAGGAAAATAGTTCAGTCTTTCGGCAAAGTCTGTCCCCAAATCGTACTGAATCAGAAATAGCTTAAGCTGTAACATATGTTCAACAACCAAGGCTAGGATTTGCATTGGTCTGTAATTGTAATCTTCCATAAAATTGTGAATGAATTTAAGTGAAGTATTTGTCATCCACCTCCATCAAAGTGGGGATTAGTAATTTTCACTTCAACTATTGCTCAGGTTCGCATTTCTTACCGGGTCGTCCATTTGGAGGCATTAATGCTAGTCACAGTAACTTTGACGAGTATGAATACTTGAATTTTATCATGTTGAAGGATTGTTGGGTCTGACTATAATGTTTTTGCTGTAGTTCTAGCGCACCAATGCTCTTCTGAAAGGATTGAAGTGGCACCTTAAGCTAAATTGCAAGTGATTATTAACATTTGGGCGAGTTAGCTTGATAATATGGGCAATGACCGCCCCATAGAAAACATTCCAACTTAGACTTAGCTTGACCGCTTTGAAAACGCATTATAAGTGAAGGAGAATAAATCATCGGGAATGGTCATTGTTAGATTAATGTTCATAATCTGTCGCTGAATGTGTTCATCCACCTGACCTAACAAAAAATAATGTCTGTCGAGGTGATGCGTAAGGTCTAGCATCATACTTAAACAGCTGAAGGCGCGACCGAGTCTGCTTAAGGTGGACAACAACAATTTATCATTGCCATTTGTTATCCGAACCAAATTCCCTGGTTTTGCTGCTCAAGGCTTTATTTCCCCTTAGGGTTTTGCTGTGGTAGGTGGCCTTGTCCTGCGAGCTACATCATGGGTCGTAAAAGTTTGGCCATTAGCCTATGACGCAAGGGTTGTTATTCTCCCGACGTAGAAATATAATCGAATTTTACCTGATAAAATTTGATTTGGCGGAAATGCACCCAACCTTGAATTCTTCCTACCTGTTGAGCGAAATTTAATTCTAAGTCCATGGCCTTAATTCAATAGGGCGAAGTTTTCCCATTGAAACGGACAATTGCCTCTCTGCGAGCAATGTACTTGCGTAAATTGTTTTTTTCTCCCGATCTTCACCTCCTTTGTTTTTCCCAGTTTCGATAGATGCATTTTTACCCCCGCGATTATGGTGTCGTGTTAACGAAATTTGTTGTTTTGCTGAAATACTCTTTGTCGCTAAAATTTGATCATTGAGACTTTGCCTGCTAGAGTCATTACTGGCAAATGCTCGTAATCTCCCCATTCCCAGCTATGCTCTCTCAATTTTTCCGGTTTTTGAGAGCTGAAGCAGGCCGTGTAATGCCCTCCTCAATCTTTTGCCAACCGATGACGGTGTATGAGGTGGAATCAAGTGTCTTACTCCAGTCCAACATGTCTTTCCTGCATTTCAGATTCAAGGAAAAGAACCCCGAGGATTGTCCTGGGGGATTCATGGCTGCTCTCAATCCGGTACGTGCCGATTTCATTAACCAGAGTAGTCCTGTCGTCTTCCTTAGATCAACATTGCCATTTCTGTATTCGACTAATCGTTTTGGCAGGTGGCTTTTAACATCTATCAATTAATTGAAATATAAAATTTTTATTTCTTTGGCTTGCTTTTAAGAGCATTACGACGAATCCTAAGCTTCCAACAATCTCTACGCCTATTTGTTTGAGGAAAAGCCAGTGGAATAGGCTAAAGTGGACGAGATTTTAGGTAAAATTTAAAGCTTAAGCTTACTTTCTAATTAAATTGAGTCCACATTTAAAAGGACGCGATGTGGTTTTCGCATTAACCTAGAATTCAGAGGTAATGACTTTAGGGGCTACTTAGTGATCTGGAACTTTCAGAGGAAGATGTCTTTTCAAAACCCTACTTTTTAGTAGGAAATTTTTTGACTTGCATCATTTTAGGCATCCTTGGAAAGTAACTTTAGTTTTCTAATAGCGCAAACTAGGCATTTGGTTTTTCGCAGTGGGAAGTCTCTTCCAATTTATTATTGCTTCTCCCAGCATACCCGCAATGTAAACTATTTGGCGTTTTTTAAAAATAATTTTTTTGTACCGTTGCAACATTGGGCGTTCGAGAAACTGGACGTGGGGTTGGGAGAAAAACTTTGTTTTTGTTAGCAGGAGAAAGTTCGCCAGAAGTCAATAGGCTGATGGGGCAGCTTTTTCGCCCTCCAATTATCGCATTGCTCCATTAATTTATGGTTGGATTTCTTGCTCCTCAATTCTTCCCCAATGATAGGTATCACATTATTTATGGGAGGCTAGGAAATGTGCAAGCGCACCTAAACTTAGGCTCTGTTGTCCCACCACCATCACACGTTACCATTGTTCGATCTTGTCTAGTGTCTTTTTTTCGCATTTTTCTCTCGATTTCAGAAACCAAAAATGTCATCTCTTCTATTGTTAGTATTTGGTGAGTACTCCGCTGAATCTCATGCACGCAACAACGAAGTAGATAGGTGCGTACTGGGACAGTAGACTTTTTCTAACTAGGGCTCCCAAAACGGTTTCAGACTTGTGTCCATTTGATCTACGTGAATTCTGGCTAGAAGTGTTGCGAAGTGTAGGCATCTGAATGCAGATCTTTCTCTTTATCCCATTTGGCTACCGGGGCTGTTGAACCGGAGGACTTCGCTGCACATGACTCGCATTCCCCTGTGAGGTTGCCACTTGAGAGTTGGCTCTCTATATCTCTGCTTGCTTGAGCGGAAAAATTGGCCTTGATTTAAGACCCGTAAATGCATATTTGGGCTGCCTACTGTCCGGCAAAACCGCCTATTTTAACTCTTGCTATTTAAAAAAGGCAGTCACCACTTCAGCTCTTATCTTTGAGGCCGGAGTAGTCGGTGTCTGTGGCTTAAGCGCTACTAAATAGTGATATTGATGGAGTTGCTATCGAATCTAAAAGGATCAATAATCCTTAGAATCTCGGTGTTGTAGTGCATTCCAGAGTTGTCTCCCGAGTCGGTTCGAGTCCCAATGCTGGTGAAGGGAAGGTTTCAGTTTTTGGCATGACAAGCACTTCTTAATTTTGTTTGTGATTTTTGACGACTTTCGGATTGTCCATGTACTATTTTTTCCGATTTAACACCGGTCGTCGTGATTTGTTGAGTGAGTGGGTTCCGCTGCACAATTAATATCATTTGTTCCAACCGGGAACACATCTGCCTGCGTCTTGCAGTCTGTTGATCCCAATCTGGCGCACTCACCTTCAAAATGTAAAATTTTTTCGTAAGTGACACGTCATATCAGGCAAAGCTTTATTGAAGCTGATAGAGTAATCGAGATTCTCTCAATTCCAATTTTTTTTTCATTTTACTACTTTTTGTCGTTTTTACAGAAATCGTTGACCGTGGTCTCTGACGCATTAATTGAACAATCAGTGAAGGATGTCAAGGTGTACGACCGCTTCCAATTCGAGCGCATTGGCTTCTTCACAGTTGATCAAGACAGCGAACCTGGCAAGGTGGGTTTCTGGGTTTTCGCTCTGTTCAATTGAATCGGTACTGTCAAAAAACTCAAATCCAGACCACCTTCATGAGGCTATCCGTTGGCCTAAAAGATAGATGTTTGTCATCGCCTGTTTAGAGCAACGGTCCAATTTATTGTCTGTTGTTGTTATATCAAGACGTAAAGGCGATGTTTTATTCACAAGATTTGTTCATTTTTATTAGAATTACTCCCAGCAGCACGTCCCCTTTTGGACTTATTGCTTAGAGCTATGGCATCCCTGGCAGCTGTGAAGAAGTTCAACTGACATTTTCTCACGATTCATCTCAATCGTGAAGGCTTGTCAGCTTTTACCCATTTCTCATGTCTACGCAGTAGCGTTTTCAAATGAATGTGGGACTGTACTAAAAAGGAAGATTTGCGTTGATGAACAAGGAGAATACGTAATTGCAACAACCGATCCAATGCACTAAATTATTATTGCCATTTCGTACAGTTGAGTTTGCGTGCTTTCGATATTTCTCGCAACTTTTATATTTGACCAACTTTGAAGCTACGAACAGAGCAAACTCCACCAAAATTGTTGCTAAAAATCAAATAAAAGTGATGTTTTTTTCCTGTGTTCCTGTTAAATTCAAGTCTTGTTGAGTTGAGGAGTAAAGTACAGCTTTCCCTCCCAGAGTATTGTGTGAGCGCGGGCAACCCATACGCGCTGGAAATGGGTGGTACGCGGTACGCTGGCTTACTAAAACCGTATTTGGGTTCGCTGCGTTTTATAGCTTCGTTTGCTACTCCTACTTAGAGTCAACACGGAATTAGTTCGTTTTCTTTCCCTATAATCCCTTTCCTCTTAAAATTTCGTGAGAAAAAATGTATTTGTGCTGGAAAACGCAAAGTTAGGCGTGAGGAAGTGTTCTTCAATTTGGTTGTTTTTTTTTTCAGTGTGAAACGCGTACATCTTAAACATCTTTTTCTTGTTTAATTTTATCTCATAACCCAAAAGTTGGTTATGTTTTTCTCTTTGGCAGGGTATTAACAAGTTTCACTGTATCATTTCTTCTGATATCAATAAAGTCGCTTTGTGCTCTTGGCAAGGTGCAAATACCCGGCGGCAGCGTACGCCTACTGGGGTTATAGTGCAGTTGGTTAATAACCACCACTCCTTGTAATGTATCGTCATATCTGTTACTTAAAGATCAAAAACGGTATAAGTCTATACAAGCCACAGTCTACAAACTATGTACCACCAAGCCCACTAATTTTTCATTTCTCTATATGGTAAATCTCGCTTGCTGTGGCAGGGCTCCTCTATCCCCTCAACTTCTGCTATTCTAAACTTGCGTCGAGATAAGGCTCTATTTATCCCCCTTCATTGCTTATTTTTCAAATCTATAGGATAAGTTTTTAACTGGTGTCGCTTGTAAAGAAAGGGAATGGTTTTGTTTGCTCGCTATTTTATTCGATGTGCTTTGTAATGGCTTTGTGCTGCAACGGAAATAAAGACAACGCCTACTGCATGCTTGCTCAACTTCTTTGTAAAGACGTCAATTTCTTGATTTGTGATTCGTTCACGTGTTTTTGTTTTTTTTTTTGTACTACTTTGGTAATTTAGCAAGTCCGCAATTACTTCTCTCGTTCCTCTGCCAAACAAAGTTCAGTTTTGCCTTATTGCCTTTAGTAAGATGCGACTTTATCATTTATTGCACAGTACCTTGTCTTAAATGATCGAAACGTTTCTTTGCGTTGAGAGCATAGAGGAGGGACTTTTGCTTTGGCTGTGATGTCACCAGCACGGGGTAAACGAACACAGATACACATCCACAAGAAGTGACCACCGTGTGTGATTAATTGCCCACACATACCTCCACGGCAGGTGAAAGACCACCTCTATTTCGCACTTCGCCAAGATCCTCTTTACGATTTGTGACGTTATAAACCGTCTTCCACTTTTATTGCTACCCGAATTTGACTAAAATAGCTTTCTGCTCCCCAGTGAACCTGTCTCGCGTTTAAGCCTACTTTAAATCAAACACGGAATAGGCTTTACAATAAGCAGTGTGCAGCATCACCAGAAGCTTCGATCCCAGCAAGTTCCTGAAAAGTGTTCGTTTTTTAATCAGTACTTTTTTTCGCTCAGCCTCTCAAATTCAAATCTATCCCAAAGGCAACAGAAGTTTGTCGAAATCTTTCCTTGGGGAATTTGTCATGCATGATGACGAGGTGATTAAATTTTTAAAGTCCATTATTGAATGAGCTGGAACGCTGAAATGCGGACTTTTCTATCTATTCAGTAAGTCGGTACCATTCCTCATCGTAATGATATGCGTACTGCTTTCATATCCCATAAAGTATGCAACATCTGCAGTGAAGCATTATTTCAATAATTGCTTTTCATGAGAAAGTGCTTAAGGCACGATTACTGTCCCGTGTGTACTCCAACATCTATTGTGCTTGTTTTATTTATCGCTTTACAATGCTACCTGTGGGTTGCGTGTTTGTTTTAATTATCTGTACTTTTACTCCTTACTAACCGAAATAACCATTTCCCGTAACTTAGAATGCGCATTAAGACTTCAAAGCACACTATATTTATTTTCCAATATAATTTTGCTGACACTAAAAGAGATGGTGAGGTGTGAACTGGCTTTAATCAGTCCTCTATCGCCTCAGCAGGTCTCAGAGGGAGGGTTACCTTAACAACGTAACCACTTAACCGACGCATCCTCGACTTCCATTAGTCGATGGAATGTCAACAAATGAGTAGAATATTGACATTTGGGAAGAGTGCTCACTATATCATGTACAGTGGAAAGTCGGATATTTTTTCACCATGAGGAAACTTATACCTTTTTTCAATAACTTGGCATTTTGTTCCTGGAATTTTTTCGTTGATTTTTCCAGTTTCATTCGATTATATGGAGTCACAAGCGTTTTTTTTTTTGCTTACAAGGATGCAGTGGTTGTTTGTCAGGAATGATATATTATCGAACCCTCTGAGGGGATAAAAAATCTCTAGGAGGTGATGGGAGCTACCTATCGTTCATTAGCAATCATTTTTTTGACGTACTTTCTTCTCAATTAGTGTTTGAATGGTGCGCGCTGTTGCCACGGCATCGATCATGCGTTTGTATATACGTATGCCGCAACAGTGATGATGTTTCTTCCTGGGCTCATCATACTTGGTTCACTTGTTTTTCCGATCCAGTGCAAATTCATGAGTCTGCACTCACCGGATGCGCTTGCACAATCAGTTGCACAAGGAACGCTTTTTAAAGCATCTTTCAAAACGCGTGCAAATTGTCCTCTTGGCTTGGAAAGTCATTCGACCCTAAGTAGGTAGAGGTAGCAGCATTTATCACTGGAGTGCTGGCGGTGGTGTGTGGCTACCACGTCTGAAGTGCCTGTTACTAAAAGTAGGATTTTTGGCACAAGTTTTTTTAGCAAAGTCGACTTTTTCCCGCTTTCAAAATCCTCGAGATTTTTTACCCTGTTCAAATTCGTCCAGAAGACTTATTTGCTACTTTGAAACTCTTATTTGCCATGATCGCGGTTTCCGGTATCGTTATGATAATCTTGATTTGGAGGAACTTGTTCGTACCTTTAAATACGCTTGCGAACCACTTTTGCTGATGATTAAGCGAATTCTGGAAGTCTCTAGAATCATTTTTGCCTTACCGCATCTAATTTATTTTCGGCTTTTTAAATTTTGTTAAGGCCCATCTTCTACCTATCGCTAATTTGCAGCCATTGTGCACTGCGCTGAAAGCTCTCTTGAAGTTCAACATTTTAAGGCGTCAATGTTCTTCGAGGACGCACTTTATGGGCTCCGCCTCCCATATTTTATGACTCCTAGCTTATTATAGATGATTTTCTTTTGCTCGGTATCTAATGTTGCAGTGACTCTTGCCTAGTAGCCACAATCTTTGTTTCGTCTGGCAAAATGAGCCTCTGCTAGGCATAACGATTCGTAATTCGCATACTTCATCATGTGGAGATAAATTTCTTCGACCTTTTCTTGCAGCTGATTTTCAATCGCACGGTAACCCTGAAGGAGGATCCGGGCAAGTCGGCCTACCAGGTGAAGGACTGAGGACCTTTGAGGAAGCTTCCCCAATTCTGCGTATCGTCAATTTTCCTACCTCTCCTTTCTTCCCCCCGTATCCTCATCCCTCTGTGTTCGTGTCCGTAACCAGTAATATGGCTGTTTGTGCATTCGCGTAGTTGGGCCCTACATTGGCGAACCGACGTTGATTACTCGCTACTTCTTCCGCCAGCGTGCGAAAGTAAAGGCGTGCAATGCCAGAAGCCGCTTAAGAACTATGTTAAAAAAACACTTTTCACATGAAAATTGCAGCCAACTTAGTGGTAATACTAGGAACAGCGCCCAGCTCGGTTGGTATTTTATAGACTTCCGCCAGATTTCATGCTGGGAAATGCAAATATCATTGTGAGTTAGTAAATAGCCACTGACAAGTACCGAGGGGCATGTTTGCAAGGTTTCTTATCAACTAACAGCCGAAAGACTGGCTGAGAGGTTTACTTGTTTAGCTGACTTTGTAATTCCAATGCGTTTCCCCATGCGAATGTGATTCTTAGGCTCATACCTGGAAAACCGCGCATATGCTGATGCGGGTTGGCAGTTTTAGTAACGCCTTCGCTACCTACCTGCCGGATGATCGTTTTCTAACGCCATGTGGAACAGATAGCAACCAGTCGGTGATAAATAGAGGACGTTTCTCTTCTGCGCGATCCCCATAAGCGAGCATTTGCAGGAAGGGTACATCAATAGGTCGGGAAGCATATATTAGTAGCGGTTGGGACATTAGGAGTTGTTTGCCTCAATGCCTTTTCAAATGCTATGAAGAAGGAATTAATCATCATTTACCTAAAATGGAACCGAAACAAAAGAAAACCGAAGGCGATCGCCTTTAAGAGTCGTTTGGAGCAGAAATGAAGAAAATTTAGTTTTACAGGTTAATGCACGCAAGTAGATCCAACGAGTGCCTCTCCATGTGCCAACAGTTGTAGACTATTTAAAAATCGCCTTGAAAAACACCAAACCTATTATGCGAGGCAATTTTCATCAATGCGCAGTGAACACTACCGATTCCTGGGCTTTCGAACGGGTCTCACCCCACCCCAAAAGGCACAATATTACGAAAATATTACGAAATTAAATCCAGCTCGCTCACCGTTTTGTCGGCGACTGAACAAATGATCTAAATATTACGAGTGATTTAAAAAAACCCATGAGATTTGCAATGAGCTCCATACAATAAAGTGACACTGACATCGTTTATTTCTTCACTTTCAAAAGAGCAAATTATTTGCACAAATTATCTCTGAATGCAGCCTGATTTTGGGGCTGCAAATCGCCTCCAAACGCTCACTAAACGCAGAAGTAAGGTCTGGATCCGTCTAACAATGGAATCTCGAGTACTGGGAAATATTTCCTGCAAAGCTTATCAGTTTCCATCAAAGATGAGTAACTTTATATGTTCAGGGTAGCAGATATTATCTTGACGACATGTTGGGTAGCGGGTCCACAGTACTATCTTTATGACATCATTGATTTGCTCCACACTTCTTTTATATTTACTTATTTCTAGCGGCAGTGTACCTAGTGGGAATTTGAAGCATTAATGAGACATCAATGACGGAAAGGGAGTTCTTACTTCTACCAAAGCGCTGTCATAAACGTTTAAAAATTTTGAGAAAGGTTTGGTTTTTTAAAAACGACAAATATGTATGGCTTGTGGACTTAAAAAAATATACAGCATTTATGGTGAGCAGGCTTATATTCAATGTCTAGCAGCGCTAAAGCTGTTATTGCAGAACAGTTCTCCTTCAAAATCTTAGAAAAGGACAAACGCTATCTTCGAATTCGTCCACCAAAGTGAAGCATGTTTTCTCTGCTGGCAGTGTAAATTTCCCTTAAATTTTAAGAAAAGGTGGTAGAAAAGGGCATACTTGTCCATGACTGGCATCTATTTTATCAGAATCGGTCTTATTAAAAAATACAAATTAATTCCAAAGCAAATGTGACGGACCGTACCTGACAGAGGTGATACTATCTTGACTTTGCTGAAAGTGACAGCAGGAAGCGTAGTTACACCAACTTAATGTAACCAGGCCGGCTAACGCCATAATTTCGCCCCTAGGCATGCAAACCAAATGACCTCTTGCCAAATGTGCAACTTTTTGGCCACTTACTTCTCTTTATCAAAATGCAAAAATTTGAGTACTAGGAAGTTGAAAATTTGACAAATTGACAAAATTTTGGCCACCTCAATAATTATCGCTAGCAAACTCCCGACAGTAGATGCATTTTCATTACTTCTTCTGACTCAATAATCCGGTTGTACTACTTCACTAGATAATTCAACAGCTTTCCCTAGAGATAGTAGCCCTGTGCATGGCAAAGGCAGCTTCTAAGCCTCCACTTTATAAGAGTAATAAATTTAAGGGCTATGGGATTACTTAAGAAGTAAGTATATTGAATCGACGTTATTAGTGGAGAAGATTCCCATGGTTCCTCATAAGGGCACTGAATTTTTCGACCTCTTAGTTTTTCATGCTCTAGCTTATAACTTGTAAATTTAGTGTGCTCATACAAAATTGCTTCAAACTGGGTTATTTGTAAATTGAAACAAATTTGGGTATTGCCGGCAAACTTCAGCGGTGGGTGCCAATTAATGCTGGTCTCCCCAGGAGTGCACGCTGTTGTGTCCAAGATACGACTTTACTTCCTGATTGCCTAAGCCGGAGATGCCACGCTAAAGGAGATTACTCAGTATCTTTACTTTGCACTACAACTGTGAAACTGCCAAGCGTAACTTAGGGCTTCTCTGTGATGGCAGCAGATGCGACATAAATACGCACTCAGATTTTGTGCGGTTGGAAATATGGAAAGGTAAAAGGAGGCGCCCCATACGGCAGCTGAACTTCGCTAATCTCTATTAGAATAAATTGAATGAGGAATTCCTGTGCCTAGGAATCCATCTCAAATTTTTTATAAATACAATTTTCCAGATGTTATCCAGCAATGCTACGCTCAGACACAATACAAGGCTTAGATCCCATAAGACGAGGGAATGTAGATATAAATCGTCTGGCCAAGTAGTGATACCCACGTCTGCTTCACCGAGCCGAAAAAGCTGACAGTTTCTGGGCTTTTTGCAAAGTCTTCCAGGGATTAGGAGTGAGCAAGCCGTAATCTCAGCTCACCTGCTCCTATTCCTTCTAACTATTCATAAGTCTGGGTAAAAGAGCACCTATAGTTAGTAATTTAGAGTTACGACCTATTTGAAAAAAGCAAATTTTGCTTCCAAGACCTGGTGCCAATGTGCTGTTCAGATGCGTAAATTTGGGCAAAAAGATGCCCTTTAATCAGTCAGACATTTAAATTGAATTTGTAAAATAGCGGTGAAATGGAATATGTTTATTGACCCACGAGAAGTTTGGGAATAAGTTAACATATGTAGAACATGAATATGCAGCATGGTAGTAGTTTGCAGTAGTAAATTCACGCTCTGTGATACGTTGGTCATTCTTTCAACTCTCGGTTTTGGTAGAGGGGCCACTTAGGTGCATCTTTATTGTACCTTCATCGGGTGGGCTAGACTCCGAGCCATGTCAGCAGCCCCAACCCCTTCTGTACATCGGCAATACATATTCTGCCCGGGTATTATGCCTTCTTTCGTCTTCAGGAAAGTCTTGGGTCTCTACAGCTCTTCCCCTTGAAGAATCGTTCTTCAGTTTTAATTCAGGTGACACCTCATAGTCTTTAAAGTGATCCACCAGCTTCATTTGAATGCGTGAATAAATTCGATTCCTCCAACCAGGTTCAAAATGAACGTTGCACATGTTAGTATAAGGTAACCAAATTCCTGTGGTAATCATTCTTGCTCAGACAAGTCTAGTCGCTTGCAAAATCTACTTCACTGCATGACATGATAGACAAGCTTTCAATATTTTCAAATACATTCCCACTACCCTACTGCTCAGTTGGGAGTATTGCTCCCTAACTTATAACTTGGAATAGGACTGTGGGGTTAGCATCGAGTCCACTTTCGTGAATAAAATTGGTGAAGTAACACGAGTCTAAATCACTTAGCTTTCAACACACATCATTGAGCACATTAAATGGGTACCGGACTCAAGTAGAGAAGTCACGTGTTTACACCTCAAGAGCTCGTATTCACTAGAAACCCTTTTATAGACCAGGAAGCCTTAAGATACGTATTTTGCTTTACGTAGTCTCATGTAGCTCTTTACAAAACAAGGTGGAACATTTCACCTTAATGTTGATTTGGTGTTCAAAGACTACACCATGTTGGGTGGAAATTAAGTTGCAGATCCTCTTAATATGCAAGCGCGCACAGCACACCCTCTCAGCCGCTGGAATGCGACTAGTATTTGTGAAAGGAAAAGGCATGCAAGAATCAAAGGGCAGTTTGACTAACAATCATCCATTTAAATCAAAGGGTAATATTTTGGATTAAGCATAAGATAATAGAGCCGTGAATGCCCTCAAAGTTGGATTAAGTACTTTGGGAAAAGTGTATATGATCCAACATTGGCAGATTTTCTTCAAATGATTCATTCCGATTTCCGCAAATTTTAACACACATGAGCGGAACGCACCTCTTTTAACACTTGGAATAGGTGTGTAAATAATAATCCTGGCGATTCAAACTGGGGCGCCATTTTCTTGGACATAGTTTTAATCAGTAATAAAAAGTTTCGTCTACGAGTGTAACCGTTTACTGGATTACTTTCATTCGTGCTGTTACTTGTGAGGTTTCGCTTGGTGTCTAGCTCATCTTTTCACCTGATTTGAGGGAATAATGAAATTGAGTAGCCGAGAAAATGTTGAGAAGGGTTAAAGAAGAAGTAATCCTTTGCTTGGAGAGGCCTCAGTAAGTCTGGGTGCGTATAGTAGAAGTAAATCAGGTTATTTTATAAAGGTTTGTAGGTCGTTCAAGCTGCAGTATTGTATAGGTAATAACATCATACAGCATGTACTCCGCGCATTCGTGCCTTAGGATTTGCGGAATTTTTACAGGAATCTAACTAGTTTCTAGTCATGATTCTTTACAGATCTGCGAAATTTGTGGATTTCTCTAAAAAAATCTCCACGGAAGTTTTTATATTTATTTTCTTAAGGTAAAACTATAGCAAGCTAACATTTGAATGGAATCAGGGTGCTTGGGGAGCGTGACTTGGACCGTATTTTGGAGTTAAATTTTAGAATTAAGCATTTGTAGGCATCTTGATTGACTCCTACCAAACATTCGCGGCTCCTCCCAACCCGCGGCAGGCTCTGAGTCCCAGCCTCTCGAGGGTAGGTGGAATCACCACATTCCACTATGTGGAGCCAGGCGGAAGAGACGCTGCGTTCGAGGCACGCTGAACACACCACTGGAAGCCCCGTAAGTTAGAGTATTTCTACTTGCAACATCTTCGCTTGTGAAACGGGCTGATAACTAGAAGTATTGTACTCCTTATCACTTCGGTTTTTAACCCATTTAGGTATTAAAGTACTACGATGTGCCAGCTGCTTGTTGGATTTGAAACCTTACGTATGGATAAATTTACCTTATATACAAAACTCCCCCCTCAACCAAACAACATGTGACAAGTAAATGATTGAAAGCTACCTCATTCTGAATGATTAGCTTCAACAAACGCTGACGGTACTTCATTTATTTTCGCCACGTCTCCTTACATGACCACCTTCAAATGGATGATTGGACATTCCACAGTGAAAATGTTAGAGACTTTCTTGACATCGGATACATATGATATTCTTCCCTGATGCGTTGTGATCTTGTTTCGTTTCTCTGGAAATTTTATCACACATTTATATGCGGTAGGTAAATAAAGTGTGTATAAGCCCGTGTTTGTTATTTCGGATAACCCACCATGAAGGCCGTAGAAAAACCTTTAGTTATCAGCTATCGCAGAAGCTCTTTTTGACGCTTGAATTTGTTATCCTTTAGAACTGGTAATACCAAAGCTTTTGTTTTGAAGTTTATTAAAAATACAATTCCTTAAGTGTTCGGGAAGAATTCGATTTCGATACGTCATGTGCATTTGAGTGATTCAATCACCATTTCATTTGGTCAGAGTCATTTATCCATTGCTAACTTGATTCTTGACAATTTTAGTTTCTTTGGAAAAAAGCTACTTGATGATACACCACTTTTGTATTTCAATGGCAACTAATGTCTACAAATACGTGGATAGTTGATTTCTGAGAGAAAAAGGGAAGTACAGTAATTACAATAATGAATGGATGAGGAAATCACATCATTCCAATAGATATTTCTCCCCATCAAACACATTATTTCATTTTTACAGTTAACCGACGAAGCCTAAAATGCAGCGACTTCATACACGCAGTTAGGTAGGTGTAAGTCCTTGTTCTTTTCTGTAAGCTCATTTGGTCTTTCCCTTTGGTGAGGTAGCTGCTACCAAAAACATTCACATAAACCGCAACGAAAGTGGTAAATAATACCCAATAAATGAAATAACAACCCTTATTCCTTTGATAACAACTACTGAAAATACAAAACCGTATTCCTTATAATGATGCCGAATGTTAGTGCAGCACACTTAGTTTAAAGCAAAGCTATTATTATACATTGCATATTACAAAGGAACATTCGCAGAGATTTCACCCTAACACCCAAGTGCTCTAAGGAGATCAGAAGCGTTTGGTCGGAGGTGGTTCTTGCTTGTACTCTTCACCTGACTGGGAAATGCAACGAATGCGTGGTATTGCAAGAATGCCGCAGAGGGCAAAGAATATTGTCCTTTCATTTCGTTCTGCCACTCAGCCATTGGAATTGCGGTGGGAGTAGAAATTCTTATGGGAATTTTGCACCCTGGCTTTTCTAATTTGTCTTATTAAAGAGGAGTTGATGTAATTCTCAATTTCATCTACACGTACGCACTTTTTTGCTGTCGCTACTTTGCATGCTAGAAAACTTTGAAAAATATAACTATGTTACCAAGTTTACATAAATCTTAGTGTGCATTTTGCAAAAGCGAAAATTCCTCAAAAACAAATTGCTTAGTTTTTAATTATTCCCTCTACTCATTGCTAAACGCAATTCGACTTAAATAGATCCATCGGGAGTCAATGTCACAACGTTTAAGATCCATGGCTATAATACTTATGAAAAGTCACTATCCCAGCAGGTTCACAATTAAGGACAGCATTCTCAGCCTATTTTCTGTAGTTAGTGGGAATTCAAAAGCATCTAGAAGACTCAAGAGACCATGCTTTCAAGTCACTTTGGACCAGGTGAATCCCGTTTTACGTGCATATACGCGGAATATTTGGGATGAGTTTCACATTCAAAGTCACTATATGCATGCGTCTAATTTCTCTATTTGGCCTCGCCAATAAAAAACCATGCCAACATACCATTTTATAGCCGGATGTGGCACGAGGAGATAGAAGTGTGCCAACATGACCTGCTGTCTAAAAAGTCTGCTCTCACGTAGTTTTTACGTTCATGCGAGGTGTCTAACGTTCCACCTCAAAACCAGTTGCTCCGTTCTTCCTAGTTTTGAGAAATTCCCAATCTCGAGCTGTGCTCTTCAACGTCCACAAATTACCACCAGTTCGTAGTGAGTCGAAGGAAAACCGTGTTTAAAGCATGTAATTCAATTTTCTTGAATAAGTGCTTTATTTTTAGAAGTATTTTAAAAGTTAAACCAACGACCTTTGAAATAAAACGGTGTTAAAGAAAATTGTCGTCAATCTCAAAGCTTGATCACGAAAAAGATCCTGCCCAGTTTCAAAAAGATGGGTGCTTTATATTTGCGATAAAAATTCAGCCTGCTTTCATTATTAAGGTATTTTTAAAAAATAAGCTATTTTCTAGTGGAACTTTTGGTGGCTGTCCGCTCACTCTCCTACGGGCTGCGCATATCCTAAGCCTCAAAGTATTTTTATACACAGGCGCACACACGCCTACCTACAGCCTGAAAACGAAACGTTTTCACATCCAAAGGAAAACATTAAAGAGGCCGCAGGGATGTGGGGGAGGAGAATTCTCAGGCGCTGAGGCGCCAAATGCTGCTTGCGAATTGGTGCATGTATACATAATGTATCGAGGAAGATGTCGCGATATCGCTCGTGTCAACACACACCGCCCAAACGTCTGGCTCATTAATTAGGGGGGACGACTGTCTGACTCGCATTGACCTGTTTGCTCCCAGACCCTGGAGGCCAGCCTAGCCAACAAGAGGCGTTTCGCAGCTTAATATTATTTTAAACCGAGAGTCGGCACGGTAAAGTAATATGGAAACGAGTACTTGACGGTGTTCCAAGTTTTCTCCCAATTCAGTGAAACGCGTAGTAAAGTTTATTTATAAAAGGGTTAAAAGCAGTATCTCAGAGGTATTACTGCTTACCACACCTCCTAAAGCTTGGGGAGCTCAAACTCTGAGAACTAAGGCATAGAATTAAATTCTTTTTAACATTGTGGCACCGAATCTCGTTAAGTAATCCTCAGCATAAAGTTTCTGCTTAAATCACTTGAGATTTTTCATCATTCATCTAAACCACTAAGAGGTAAGTAATTAGGATAAACGTTAAAGCCGCTCCCATTATTTACAAATTACATAAAACAGTAAATTAGACTACTAGCTACAAATTTAACGGATATGTAGAAAAACCCTTTGGGCAGTTGAAACGCTTCCTATTACTGCCCAAAAACACACGTTTTCGGACAAAGGTGCTTACTCTGATGCATTGCTTATAGGCGTTACTTTACAGCCCCAGAATTTGAGCAGCGCATAAGTCTTGGTCATTTCAGAATTTGCGCACCTCACCTTAACTTATTCTCTTAAACACACATGGATCTTAAACAATTGAAAATATTAGTGTAGAACTTTTGACGCTTTCTAAGCTTTTGGAAACAATTGCAGTCGCATAGCTCAAAGTAACATTCTCGGGCCTAAGTGATGGCTGTGTGGAGTGCAAGCACAAATGAGAACAAATAAAGGTTAAAGGGACAAAAATTACGGCCTGATACGAAGGCTCGAAGCGATGAATTAGGCCCTACGCTGATGAGAATAAAAGGCGTTTGCACACCCCCCTGGCAGCAATCTATCATCATCGGAAATACGTGCCCACACCTCGATATTGCAGGCCCAAGCGATTGTTCATTAAACAGTAAATGAAAGACGCTTTCTTTTCTGACTCACTACACTGAAAAGACAAAATTTACCATAGATCTCGGGGACCGTTCCCTCTGAGTGACCTGCAAAATTCCCAAAAGGTATTTAGAGTGCCCCTATTTAAGTGCCATTTTCTTGACTCCTTCATATTAGCAATTTATTGAGGCGAAGTTCACATTTCAATTTCATTGTGGGATGAGCAAGTGGAAAATAAAGGGAGAGAATAGGTAACTTTTCATTTAATAAAAAATTATAGTCAAGACCAGTCTTATCTATCTGTGGGAAAAAATTCTTGACATATTATTGCGCAACGATCGTCTTTAAACTCAAAATATCCATTCTTATCAGTGGATAACTACTCGAGCTGTCTGGTTGAAACCGCTGACGCCGAATCGTACATAAACTGCGGCTATTTGAGGCGACTGCCAAGGGAGGTTGGTCCGTTCCGCTTAAAAATGGTAAATAGGGGAAGACCATTAAGAAATTAGCTTCATTAAGTGTTCACCTCCAACGAACCGAAGAAACAAGCTTTAAGCGAAAGCAGTGAATAAAATCCTGTTGTTTTTGCTAACACGAATCATGTACTGACGGTTGTCGTTTTACCGTTTAAAAGGAAAGTGATATCATACAAAAACGACATGACAGATTTTGTTTCATTTAGCATCTGCTGCTACGTGAGACTTTGCTTATTTGGAGGACTTGCAGTGGGCATATGCGTGAGAGCCGCGCTTTGTTGGATGTAGTTCATAAATTGTTAGATGCTCAGGCACTATTTTGATGGCCCGGAAGAAAAGGGAATTTGCTCACTATTTACCATTTGTGGTGCAATCGCTCTTGTCCTACGGATCGCTACACATCAACACAATGCGCAAAAGTGACACTTGCTTCAACTAAAGGCCGTGAATGGCTGTCCACTTTCCCATGTATCGTGCTCACTGAAGCTACTGCTTTTGTTTTCTTCTCCTAATATTCTATGCTTTTGGCTCAGTCTATGCCATAACGAAATTTAAAGATCATCTCAGAAGTTTCACAAAAACATTTACTTTATTAAGAAGTTGAATAAATTTTAACACTGCAAGAGTGAATGTAGACCAAAATTTAAAACTAAAATAACCTTGCACCAATTTGTAGTCACGTAGATAGTATTTGGGTCCTTAGGATATTTAATGCCCACTACTGCATGATTTATTAGTTCGGAAATAAATTTAAGGTTATAAATCGCCTATTGGCATTGCTAAGCTATGCAGCTCACCAAAACCACTCAAAGTGTATTGACACTCCAATTGGCAGTAAATTACGGCGCCAACGGTGATAGTAGGTCTCGGAAACCTATCATTTTAACATTTGATTTCATTAACCGTCTCTTTTGCATGCCTAGTAAGTTCCCTGGCTAATTATGCATGTCTCACTTAGATGTCCCGAACTGGAAAATTTTTAATTAACTTCCAGGCACTTTTCATCTGACACCGTTCTTCCAGCGTGGTAGGGACTTTCGCTCTCTAACGTTTGCATTACTTGGCACAAACACTTTGAGTTTTCGGCACTTTTGCGACGGAAAAGGCATTGAATTGGGAACTGACCTGGGAAGCTAAATGTAGTCTACACATTTGAACCTAAATCACCTACATGGAATTTGTTTAAGACTACGAATCTGATAAATAGGTCAAGGATATTAGCTACTACCTTCTTCTCCTTCATTTTAATTACATAACAAAGAGTTAATTGGCTTAAAACATATTCATTTTTTGGAATTCTTTGATGCGCAATATTTGCAACAGTTATTGGGGGCTCAAGAGAAGCTGATGCGCCACATGTCGTTTCTACTGTTGCAGCTCCTGGTGGTAGTGGTGGTGATATGTACAAGATCATTAATAACTCTAATATACAGGATGACGGGCTTTACACATCTGGACGACGTCGGGAAGTGATCTCATGGCGTCGTCAACCGATGAGAGCCAAGAGCCAAGGGGTGATGAGGGCGGTGAGGATGGTGCCCACGTCTGCGTCCGCTCCACAACTGCGATGGTTTAGAGGGGAGTCGTAGGAGGAGTGGAGGACTCCGTTGAGATGGAGTGGTAGGATCTGGTCGGGGCGCCGTGGGGTGCCATCGTCACCTTGCATGGCCGAGGGGTTGACCGCCGCCACAGTCGCTGCCTCTGTGTCATCCCGACCCGCAGTCTGGTAGCGGTAGTGGCAGCCTGTGGGCAGGCTCTCCATAAAATAATTCATTATCAGCTGCACCGCGTCTACCGGACACTGCGATGATAGCAGGACATTGAGGCAGTCCAACTTCTTCCTCATTGCTCTACATCGTAGTATCAAAAACGGAGGGCCTTAGTGACTAATCTCACTTCCGATTTAAAGTGCAAGTAAACACGCCAATAGTGGATGAAAGTGGGCATGAATTCGTTGAGTACGACAATTTTTCGTCAAAACCTTAGCAAAAACATTAAGAAGGAACAGAGATGTCCTCGATATATAAAATTTTGAGCAATTAGCGATTATCCTGAAGAAATTTGAGAAATCTTAATTGATATCATTTTCTGTAAGCAACTTCTTCTGAGAATGAGGTCAAAAAAGAAATCACTTCTTGCCTACAGTTTTCAGCCAATCCCAGTTATGAAGGTTTACTTTTTGTGGTACCAATAAATAGACCACAAAATTCAAGTCAAACTCAATTGTAGACAATCCGTTTCATTAACCCGGTTTGTTAAAATTTTATTCCAAATACTACCAAAGTATTCTGTTTTTCGTTTCCATTGATCCATTTTGGATACGGCCTAACCCTAAAGGTATATTTCTTTACCGGAACTAAAAATTACAATGCATAATTTACAAGAGAATTAGACGGGATCATTACCGTCGATGTGTGTATCTCCTTCACAAAGCATTAACATGGTCCCTACAAAATGAATAGTTAAAGGCGGGAGATGGAATTTTTTTGTGAATCAAGGTAGTTGTTCATACGGCAACAGGAACCTCCTTCATTAGTCCAAGTGAACTGATGCTGGACGACTTATGCTGGAAATAGGGTGTCGCAGTATTCGTTTTTCCAGTCCGGTGCCGGAGCGAAACGTGCCGTGGTGTACGTGGTGCTGTAAGCACGATAAAATGCCCTGCATGTTGAAGTCCAACACAAGTAAGTAAAGGATATGCACCCTCTGGTAGGTGTAGAGGCAAAGGGATGGTTTTTCAAGCAAAAGGTAGCTGGGCGTTCAAGTGAATTAATTAATCTTCAAGTCACCGTAATCGTGTGACAGAATCAGGAATCTCTACGATTGGGGAGCTTGCTTGGCTCTACTTTACAAGTCGTACTTCTAGCTAATTCGAATTATAATTTTGCACTGAAGAGCTTAAATGACACACATGAGACCTAATGAAAGACTATTTACAAAGGTAAAAAATATTTTGAATCAAAACAGAACTTCCTCTTCCCAAATGATAGGGCAGTGTATTCACGAAAGAGTGGTGTTTTACTCTGGACTACGAAAGTCGTTTATGGAGAGCGTGCACAAGGTACATATTGTAAGCACTTTAATGTATCACCATGACCGATAGAAGTACAAATCGACTGGCAAGTGTTACACTTTGCCTGGTTTAGGGAACACAGCCTCATTCAGCAGTGTCTACTTCCAATTTGACTTATTGCGTGGAAAAGAGAAGGAGGCGATGGGACAAGGCATGAAGGTTTTTTACACTCTACAGAGAGGCAGTTTAACATCCGGCAGAGCTTATGCTCACCAACTGTAGCCATCAAAAACGGCACAGGGAAGCAACTGCCTTGGAATCATACTAAAAGTGAAAAAGATTTGACAGGTGATCGTACCTTACGTTGGCAATTGTTTAAATGATGGAATAGTAAGTTTACTTCTTTTAGCAAAAGTTTATATTAATAGTTGATATCTAGCTCTTGACTGAGGACATCTGCTCTATTGTGGCCGTAAATAAAGTGTCAGGTGGCCGAGAGGGTTCAAAGGATTTTTGGTTCAGCCAGCTGCAACGGAATGGTGTTACTTGTGAGCACTTGTATAGTGCTGTTGTTCACGTGCATTACAAAGCGTGGATGTACATCAGTCGATTGCTTCAGTACTCGGCATTATGCCCTAACCTATCCACTATTTTCCCGTACTTTTGAACCATCTTACCATAAAGTGTTGGTTAAACCTTAACCATGCGGTCTATATGATTTATTCGATGCTTGCTTGTCTTTATCAGT